AGGGGTTATGGGTTCGATTCCCACTAGGGACAACTATTTGTGTGACCCACAGATAGGTGTTTCGCATCTGGGTGTTTGTCCGCGTAAAATTTATGTTTGTAAAATGTCCTTACAACACAGGATAATGTTATCTTAAAGTAAGATCAATGTTTAAAAAAAAAGAACTTTTACTGATACTCCGAGTTATCTACGAAAATCATTCCTACAAGTTTACTCGTGTAGAGGTTATCAGGCCCTCTCGTAACGTAAACACAATAATAATAATAAATGTTTTAGGACACATTTTTACAAAACGTTCTCAACTCCGAAAGTAAGCAACGCTTGTACTAATGATACTAAATAACTGATAAACATACTTAAAAATACTTTTCTTTTGTAAATAAATACATATTATACATATAGAAATCCAGATACTAGAAAAACACTATGTTCACAAGACTATTTTTCCAGTAGTGGGGATCCAACCTACACCTAGCGACGCCATTTAGGTCGTCGTTTAATTGGTTTCATGTGTATTTGATATTTGTTGTGTTTATTTTCAATAAATCTTTGAAATTCTCATCCCATAGGTTTTCATAACAACATGTGATATTACGCTTTACGATAACTTTATATATTTAAATTAAACCCGTTATCATGCCTGTACTTTGTTCTTTCCGTTTAATGCTATCATACGCATAAAACTGAACTACGTACGTCAAAGTAAGACCACTTAAAATCACAAATCACTTTAAAGCCACCATTTTCCTAGTATGTTGTAATTGGTTGTTTCTCTCAAGTTTTCTTAAGCGTAGGCTAAAAATGTAGCTGTGTATAATAATTTCTTATTTTCACGCGAATCTGAAAACTTGTTGATTGTGCCGTGTTGTACAATTAATATTCCGTTTCATGGTCGTGGTACCGATGACTTTGCACAATGAATGTTAATTTTGCAAAGTATTCGAAACCTTACATGTATGTTGAGAAGTATTTCAAACGGCTCGAGATTAAACGAAATATTTAAGTCTTAAAAAAATATTTTGGTTTAACAACGCGTATTTGTATATTTGAATTCATAATATAATTATATTTCAATGTACATTTTCAGTGCACATGCACTCGAAAATGAGCCGTGAAATTTGAAAATCGAAATTATCTATTTCAATATTAGATTCAACACCATCACCCGCACTCGGAAGCCTTGGTAATACCGAGTATTAACGTTACTTACGTGTGAAGTGTAATCTTATTAATAGATGAAATGACTGAAATTCACAATTCAACGAATTTGATCAATTTCATGTACACTAATGATCTATCGCAACATCTTTTGACTTGAATACTTATGTTCAAAGTTTTAATTGTATAAAGTAGCTATAGTTAACGTCCGAAGTCGTAATATGACTGTAATTCAATAAACTTAATGAATTTTTGTTTTTGTCAACATTTCAAAAAAAAGTTGTCGTCAATATTTACCGTTTGCAACAGTTTTACGACAGACTATTATGTGTTTGGACATTGACGATGGAACGTAAACAATAAACGTGTAATTCTCATTGTTTTCATATTATATGTATCATAATTATATAACATTTAGCTTTCTGTACTTTTGTCTATATAAATTAAGTGTGCCAAATCTCACATGGCTCCGTGTCTGCAACAATATCACTAAGAAAGAAACGTATTACGATACCCAAATCACAAGAAAAAGTGTCTGAATTTGTTTACGTGAGAACATGGCAAGCGAGATTGAGAATTATCTGATGTTTAGTGATAACCGCCACCCATGGACATTTGCATCACGCGTAGGGTTGCAGATGTGTTGCCACCTTTAATAGAGTGGGCCCTCTAGATTTTCAATATTTCGACTCTCGTATTCGCTCCAATTTCCACCAATAAAGAAAACTGGGTAGTAATAACGTTGGGAATATTTTAACCCACAATTGTGTCTCTAATTTTCTTAACTTATCTCGGCTTTGTAAACTTAGGTCGATTTGCGCCGTCTGTTACGTTCCCATCATACTCTGAATATTTCAGAAGGCCGCTTGGGGCGAAATAACAGGTTAAGTTTCTAGCCCTTGTGACTTGTGCAATTACGCTATTAATATTCTTCAGCAGAAGTCGACTACGGCAATTAGGTCGGGCCCACATGATTGCCGTCACAGCGCCTCGTTCCCACGTTTGATTCCGTCATGCATCGCTTTTATTTATTGCCACCTGAACGTTCACACAGACTAAGTTTTTCATGAACGCCCTACCCGACCCAGTTTTCAGCATAATATCCGACTTCAATCGGCTGTATCATTTAATATGTATCCATTCGGATGTTTCACCCCTTTTTACCGTGGCGACATTTCCCACCGTCAATACTCCGTCCTTATAAATTATACTTCAAAGGTAGAATTTAAACGTTGAATTTAATATTTCCCTCCAAAGCTATTTAATATAGAAATGATACTCAAATGAAATTGTATGTTATGTGTATATTTATATAAAAAATGTACACTTTTTACCAAATTATGAAAAATTAATTGCACTGGCCTTTAAGTGCCAAAAAAATTATAACGATACTATACCTCTTGTGAGTAATGAGGCTTAGTGGGCATTCTTTGAAACTATACCGCCGTAAAATTTATTGACAACACTATGTAATAAAAGGTGAATTTTTCAAGCATGTTATTTCGCGAATGCTTGAAAGGCTCTAGCATTTGCGTATATACTTCTTAACAACATAAAGAAAAGAAAAAAAAATGTAAATATTTCAGGATAGGTCCTGCATTTTATGCATCTAAGCTTAATCAGAGCAAAGCTTGTACGATAACTGTTTATGATATATTTTTTTTAAATAAATGTATATTACAGATTTGAGTCTAGGAAAAACACCCCCAGACACTAGAAAACTATGTTTATTACTGATTTTTTTTTTCCAGTAATAAAAATCGAACCCACACCCCCTAGTGCAAGAGACAGTTTGTCCGTCCACTACGCCAATCGATTTGTCTGAACTAAGGAAAAGTCCCACTACAAAAGCTATTAACTCCAAAGGACAATTACAGCAAACAACATAATGGCAGTTTTATTAAATGCTATCTTATTATTTCTCTTTACTTATTTGTTGGTGGTGGGTTGCCGGAGCAACGATTGTCTTTGACGTCGACTCATCGGCGGGGCTATTAGCTATTGACATATGCGACCTACCTAGAATTCGTTTGTCAATATACTCGCACACTATCCATTCTAAACGGCCATGGCGTGCATGTTTATGTTTGACCATTATGATATTTGGATGGCCTTCTGATTGATCTTCCAATCGCCGTGGTGGTAATTTGGGTTGACGTACCCATTAATTCTGCCCCATATTGTATAACGTCGAGTGTACTAGGCATTTTTGATGGCGTCGATTGTTTTATTTTTTCAGTCACAGAAATATTAACTTAGAAGCAAAATTCTTAGAACACTTACTCTTAACTCAAACCATCAGTTGTGACGGTGTTGTTTGCCTGTTATTTGTTTATGAGTTAATTGCTTGACTATTGTTAATCTGTATTTCAACATCACTATCATTCCTATATAAAGAGCCATTAATATACTCGATCAACCTTCTTTCGATCCCCGGTGCCTCTACCGATTAAATTGTTACTATTAAGTGCTGCCTGATCACTTGCTCAGCGGTGTAGGAAACCTGCATATTTTCTAAATTATAACAAAAAAAAAATATTTCGTGGTGGACTATGTCCTGATACCCTCTGTACGGAGGAGGACTTTGCCAAGAAGTGGGATTGCCTATACATAATAGGCTGTTCTTTTTATCATATATTGAAGCTTGGGTCGTTACATTAGGATGCTGCAATCTCTACACAAATTTATCCCACTGAATTCAAAACATACTGTGTAAAAAAGCTTAATTATTATTATTTCGTGATAAAGGAAAACCTTATTTAAGTATAAGACATAGAAGTTTATCTTTTTAGACCAAGTTTCTGCGTTTTCACCGCTGTATAACACATCCGAACATTTAATTTTTCATTGTTTTATTATTTTTTTATTTATCTTTGTCGCTCTTTGTCGTATTAAATTCTAAATAAACAACTTCTCAATGCGGTACTTGTGGCCATATTCGGGATAACTCATCACAAACCTTAAAAAATCATCAGCTAAATAGAGAAAGAAAGAAAGAAATATTTATTCGGCGCATTACATTATAGGAAAAAAAATGAAATAACATTAGAATTGTAAAAATGTATGCACGAAAAAGGTCTCTGCTCAGTACATAGCCCTGGCAGACAATATCACGGCACTGGTTTTCTGCGGATACCTTGTAAGATTGGCGTTCAGCTCCATGCATACAGCCAACAAAAACAACATTGAAATAGAATAAAAACAACAAAAAAGGAATACAAAAAGTTAAGAACAATAAAATCAAAAATAAAGTATAACAAAAAAAAATTTACAAAAACTATAACATATCCTCGACACAATACGAGTAATATACCGCTATGAGATCTGAATTGACTGAGTGCAACTTTATATATAATATAGACAGCGATATGATCGGTTTTACTCCGTCTTTTGCAAATGAAGTAGAAACTTTTTGTATTTTGCTTTAAAGATATGTAAAGACGAAGAGTTTCTAATAAGTGGTGGGATGTTATTCCAACACTTTGTGGTGGAGTATTGAAAGCTTCCACGGAAAGCCGCAGTACTAAAAATAGGGCATATAAGTCGTCATAAACCTGAAATGCAGTCGTCATCTCATCTTGCGTAATATTTATAGTTGATAGCAGGCCATCCGAAGAGGCGGTGGAAATTTATTGCAATTATGTTCATTTTTAATTACTTCGGAATGTTATTTTAAACAGCTCAGCGAAATTTATTCGTAACACCGCGATTACGTATCTGGCTAAAGAGTTTTTGTTAGACAACATTTGAAAATTCAAAAGCAACTCTGTGCTTTCCTCCCGAGCGGTGTTTAGACAACCCTATGTTTATTTTGGCCGCTAAAGTAAACCGCGCAAGGTTTATTTCGTACGACGCTTTACTGAAGGCGTAGAGCGGGAGCGGTAAGCGAGAGTAGCCTGCTGCTTTGATATCGAAAGCGACAAAGTCGAGAGCGTACCTAGCGCACCATCGAGTGGTGTGCAGCTTGGTCCGGGGTGTCCTCATACGGTGTCGCCCGCTAAGTCGCCGTTTCTGGGCGTATTGGGGGCGGGGGCGGGGGCGCTATCGACGGGGCGGCGCGCCGTGCGCATGTGCAGCACTGGCGCCACGGGGTCTCGCGAGCGGCTAATAACGCCGGCGCGCAGCCCCATCGGTGCCAGTCGACACGCGAACGCCTCATAAGGCGGACGCTCCCCCACGGAACTGCAGACTCCGCTATGACACCTCACGCGCCTACCAACCGCCCGCCGTCCGACGCTGTGTACGTCGACAGTGCCCCCGACGAGCCCGCAACGGAGGTGAACGGTGGAGAACTAATCGCTGTCTGTATTGTTCCAGGTCCACACCGGCCAGTCGTGAGCAGCCGAGTTGAGTAATAAGGTGAGTGACTGTTTGACCGCTCTTTTTCGAATGGTTCGTGTTAACGTTCCCCGAGAAGACTAGGCCGGGGAACGTTATTATTTTATAAAGCCACTTTTGTCTAAATGTTGATAATATCTTTTCCACTTATTTTCGATCGACTGGGAGCATTTAGAATTCTTCGAGGGAATTCCATGCGCACCTTCATAAATCGTAGTTATGTAAAGCTGACAGATGCGTCAGACTGTTGGGTAGGGCTCCAATTCTACAGTCGCTTCGACGCGAAATGCGACACATGTTAATGACATTAGATGCATCGTTTGAACTCGCGTTGTTCTTTTACGACTACGCGACGTTCCCTTCGAACGCTTTTCCTTTGTGCGAACACCTGCCGCTAGCTCACCTCAGTGTCTGTCCGCACGTGCGTTTAATTGCTGCATATTAATTGTATAACTTTTCAACGTTCAATCGTCGGCATCACTTCGGCCATTAGTTGAACAAAGGAAACCCTTTAGTGTTGCGCAAAAACATGAGCGCCCGTTCATTAGTCATTATTGTAATTAGTCGACGCGACACGCGTTTCAACGGGGGCGATTTTTATGTGTGCGCCGCGCCTGCATTATTGGGTCGCGATCGGTTGGGCTTCGGGGGCGAAGGAGGAGTTAGGACTTTGTTACGGGAGCTCTCCTGGCGAGGCGGCCCCGACGGCCGTGCACCTGTGGGTGCCACTGACCCGTTTCACCTGCCACCTCGTCAGTTGGCACCGGCTTTTTTTAAGCCCCCGCGTATTTACATTGCGCTGGCGGTCTATTAACGGCAACGGCGGTCCCCCTCCCCTGTTTTATACCCCACGATGGATGGACTCGTAAATTTCGCCCGTCCTTGCATTCTAGCCGGGTAAATAGTTTTTACGGCAGCCATATAACTCTATGGACGTTATCGTACAAATACTTTTATAGGCGTCTATAGACTGTTATAAATTAATGATTTATAAGTTGATATCACATGACATTTTAATTAATAATAGGACGCAGATTTTTCTTGGCACGATTTTTTTATATCATATAAATGTATGTACAGCGTGTCGTTACCATCGCGACAATAAATGAACACACGTCTAGGGCTACTTGCCAATAATCATTAAAAACTATTAACGTTAAACAAAATCCATAATTAAAAAAATATATTTTTCAAACAAAGTAATTAAGTAAAAAAGAAATAAAATTTGTAACATCCTATACAACTCGCGTCACAGCGTCGTATTACAAGCCTCTCCTTCTAACAGTATGTTTTGTCTCTTTTAAATTCATTCAACCCATTCATATGCTTTGTGACCTTTACAAATGAACTTTACGTTACGCTTTTATAGGTAAGGGTGTTCTAAAATTCTTTGTTTTGGAAAATTTAATAACTCTGTAAATATTGATGTTTAAAGAATTTAAATGTTTAATACAACTTTAAAAAGTTATCCCCTATATGCGTGTTCATTTATTGTCGCGATGGTAACGACACGCTGTATAAATAATGTTGTGGATTAGGTTTGATACATTAAAAGAAGATGCATAAACGTGAATTTTAAAAAGTGTAAATATCAACTTTATGCTTAATGTCCTTTTAACTCAGTTTAATTTGGTAAAGCATGAACGTAGTGTTTCGTTCTATTTGTTAATGTATTTTGGACATACTATTATAGTAAATACATTTATTATGATCTTACCTTTGTTATATGCATATAAATATATATAAAATATATAAAGAAAGTAGTGTAAGTACGGTACAATGTTATTTGTATATTATAAATATAATACTGCGCTAATTCATGTAAATGCATGAAGGCATTTGCTCTTGTCACCTCGGCTAATCCAATTTAACTCGGGCGTTATAGTAACTGGGAAAGGTTTTGCATAATATTGTCACTATACAACAAAGGTCAATATGAACACCTTGTAGTCTCTGACCCTTCGCCCATAAAGGTATACTAATAATACGTACAGTTAAAGGTGCATGAATGCATAATAGTTTAGCTCCGAAATATTATCTCGTCTAATTCACCGAGCCTGAAATATTATTTTAAACATTCATTTTAATTAATAACATATAACATAATGCAAAATATGTATATATGACGCACATAATAAAAACTTTCCACATTCTGGTCGATCATTAACATAAAAAAACAACCATTATGTTATGTGAGATTGTCATTATATTAACTGTGGTAGGGACAAGCAACGTTCTTCGCTGTTGCACGAATAGAAGTTGTGCTTCTGCGTTTCGTCTGGTGAGTGAGGTATCCGGGGCCCACGTTATTAAAGGTGGCAACGCTTGACATTGGCAACGGGTGTTGCAAATGTCAAATCAAGTGAACCGCGAGTTCGCTTTTCACCTTCTCACTACAATCAAAAAATGTCGTGTTTACGGTGTCGACATTCTCGTTACATTCTTTTTTCCCGATTTTAAATTTCATTTTATTTATCTTAGCGCCATTTTGGACACGACTCTTACAAAAGTAATCGCCAAAAAGAACGCATAAATCATCCCGCTCTCTGCGCCGATTTAAAAATTGTGTGATAAGATCTAAGTAATTTGTTTACGTTGACCTGTTTTTCACACCGAAACATGCGTATATGCCACATGTATCTCGCAATCGTATTTCACTTTATTAGTGTCTTTTTGGAAATATGTCTGAGGGAATTACTTGTCGCAAAAGCGGCTTACCTCGCCTCGTGATAGGGTTTTAGTCAATATGTTATTATAGAATTTATTAAAATATGGTATTAATATTTAATTTGATTTATTTATTTTTAAACTTCATGCACAAAACAGTACACAGGCGGACTTAATGCTGACAGCATTTTCTACCAGTCAACCTTAGGTTGGTACTGATAAATTGAGGTAGGTGCACATAGTTATAAAAGAAAATAAATACATAATTATTAAATATAAATATATAACACATAGTATAATTCTATCATGCAATACTTTTAAACGATACAATAAGTATAACTTTACATATACATACATATGTACAGACATATATGTTATATACATATAATTGAAAAATCATACAATTGAAAAAAAATCTTATAATGACGCTTTTGTTTTTATTTCGTAGTAACCTCAAAAGAAATATCGTGTAATATTCCACTGCTGGGTCGACTTTCTCTCCGAAACCTTCATTTAGCATGATGAACACCTGACTACCTATATAGTAATTGTCGTGTATATTCTTTGGTAAAGTCGTACATCGGCTTTTATGTCGCACGAATGGACTGGCTTGTCCAGGGAAATATAGACTGTGTAATTTTGTTTTTCGTTTGGCTAGTAAGGTAACCAGGCTTTTGCATCTCTCTCTTTCTTTTAAAGGTTTGCACCTTCCATTGGCCGCGGTAATCATTTTACATCAAGTGAACCGTCTGCTCTCTTGCCACCTCCACATAAAAATTAAAAAGTTCTAAAATCATATAAAGTAAAGCAACGGCGTATATATGTCCCACCGCTGGGCAAAGGTTTCCGCTGTACAGAGGACATTTGGAAATAGTCAACCGCAGGACCACACTGGATTGGTGGACTTCATATATCAAAAGAATCCTTTTTATTATTTCGAAAATATTCAGGTTTCCTTAGTATGTATTCCTTCACTGCTGAGCACGTGGTAAGTCAGCGCTTAAAATTAACAATTTCATTGGTACCGGCACTGGGGATCGAACTCAGGTTGCTCGATTATATTGAATTCAAAGCGAGCGCCTGGACAACAAGCTATAACGGCTCATAATCGTATGCAATCCGCGAATAAGTTCTTTTGAAAAGATTGCATACACGACGCACATGTCGTTTATTGTAAACAATCTTTTTAATATTGTTTTCTGTTCGATGCTTTATACGTTGAAGACCACTGGCTGCTTGAAAGCGCTTCGATAAAATGCTAGCTCCGGCGGAATGCTGCGTCTAGCTTTCGAAGTGATGTAGATTTCGATGCAAAATAGCTAAGTACGCGAAGCTTTGTTTTTTGAAGCACGTGTATTGACGTAAGTAAAGCACTGTAACGCATAGCGAATTTCGTTGTATATACGGTTCATTATTGTTCATTTTTTCATTTCTATTGCATTGAAATTTCAGTTGTATGCAGCTTATATCTGGTTAATTGTCTAAGTTCAGTCTTAATAAACACACACAAGTGGATAATGGTGTCTCGTAGTAGTAGCCGCTATTTGACTTTTCTCTTTTTGTTTTATTTACTAAATTTAAACTTCAATTCGTTCACAAACTATCACGAAAATATGTTCCAATTTGCGTGATATGAAAAGCTATCACCGCAAGTCGGCATTCTATCAAAGTTCAAATTACAATGTTCAGTAAGACGTATATACTTCTTATACATACATACTGTGGTAAGCGAAGATCTCCTGTTATAATTGGCAGTTGGTATGTAAGCAAATTTCATCGAGATCGATAGACAGGCGGCGCTCCATAGGCTCCTCTCATGCTGCCGAAACAAACTTAATAAACTTCAATTTAATGGAGATGAAATTCCAAATCTTTTGTACTTTCAATGTTATTTTTACGTATAACTTTTGGCTTTTAATGTAAAAGTTTTTATCCTCACAATAGAGAGAGCGAACTTTTATTGGCATCTATGTAACGAAAGTTTTTGGGACCGCCCTGCCGCTTTTAGGTATAAAACGTATCCTAAGTTGTATATTTATATTGCACGTGTATGTAGTCCACGTACGTAGTTAATTCGATAGGGTTTTAAATAAGCATCCCCGGAGTCTCATAGTCTAGTCCAACGCATGGAAGTTCTTATTGAAAGCCATTTGCTGCTAACCGAACGCAATGAAATTAGGCCAACAGTATTGTTCGTTTAATTATTTAATTAAAATTGTGAGAGATATTATATATAATTAAATAATTGTTTAACTATATTGTTATTATTATTCTTTCATATTTATACAATTTTTTGAATAGCTTAATAGCAAAATTTCTGTTTATTTCATGTCTTCGTTTCCTTTACGGGCACTGATATATTTGTGCTTATGAAATGTCGATTCCTCTTATATAAAGTTAATGTTGAACAATAAATAAATACGAAAAAGAATTTTTCGTATTTTATAATCTGTGGTTGCTTCAATATCGTACGATTCAATATATACGTTTCTTTCCGTTTCTTTTGTACTTTATCAACTTATGCACAAAAGGAACGCTTAGGGCACTTAGGTCTTTGCTTCTTTGTCTAAATGAGTTATTCTTACTTTAGAGTTATTTTTATATGCCGGCTGATGTTATTAAATATTCAAATTAACTATTAAGATGCCGAGTCGTAAGCTTTGTCTTTTTTTATTGTACATTGCGCCAATACATTTTATTAATTAAGTACTTGATTACTTGTTAAGTGCGGTAAACTAAATAAACTGATGACTCCGGAGGTCGTGGTTCGATTCCCACACGGGACAATTTTTTGTGCGCCACACAGATAATTGTTTCGGATCTGGGTGTTTGTTCACCTAAAGTTTATGTATGTTAAACATCCTTAGAACACAGGATAATGTTATTAATATAGCAAGGGCAGGCCAATGTTGTTAAGAAAAAAAAACTTGTCATTAACATTTTACTATTGCACATGTTTTACTTAATATCTCGTTCTAAATCCTCCAGGTAGTTTTATTTCTGTTAGTTTTTGTTCTCTTGTTTATTTAGCGCCATAGTTGAATAAAAGGTCTTGTAAAGTAACCTGTTCATTTAATTAAATTAGTCATTAAAATCTCGATCGAGAACGGTGGGTAGGGCAACGCAACAGTGTTCGCTGTTGCACGAATGGGCAGGTCCGTCTGGGCTAGTACCACGACCTCACAGAAGACCGGCGTAAAGTAGAAGTGTTACACTTCTGCATTTCGTTTGGTGAGTGAGGTAGCCGGGGCCCACATTATTAAAAGGTGACAACGCATCTGCAACCCTACGGGTGTTGCAAATGTCCATGGGCAGGCGGTTATCACTTAACATCAGGTCACCGCCAGCTCGTTTGCCACTTTCTCACATAAAAAAAATGTTTGAATATGCAATCAAAAGCGGTAGATCCAAAAAAGGGAAATCCGAATTGACGTGACAAGTTTGTCGTAGGCTGAACGATGAAGCGTGACGCATACGGCGACGACGGCCCAATGCACAAGCGGCAGCGTCCAACCGACGATGAAGTCACCTTTCTCATCCCCAGCAAGGTAACGATGCAATTGAGTATAGTAGTAGTTTTCTAGTTTTCGCCCTAACTCGGAAAAAGCTTATTCATCTTTGCCTCGATGAAATTCTAATTTTTGAGATGACTAACCTACCTGTACTACGAGTGTTGCAATGTCCATGGGCGGCGGTTATCATTAAACCTCAAGTGAACTGTCAGCTCGTTTGACATTTTCTAACATAAAAAAAACAAAACCTGTTTATGTGTTTACCTGTTTATTTATATAATCCAAGCAAAGGAGTGAATCACTTTGGCATCGTCAGTTCTTCTGTCCGATTATGATGTGATTGTCTTCGAGGCGAGTGAATAGGCTGTTACTGAGCCAGTGCGTTTATCATCTAAGATTACTTCTTTACTAACCATCAGATGGGATGGTAGTGAAACACCGCCCAGGTTTTGGGTAGAGAAATTACGCCACTAAAGTTGTTGAGGATAAATATGCCACGCCAACAGTCTTCGCTGTTGCAGGAAAGGGCAGGTCCGTTCGGGGAAGTACCACGATCTCACAGAAGACCAGCGTGAAGTGGAAGTGTTACACTTCTGCGTTTCGTCTGGTGAGTGAGGTAACTTTAACGGGGCCCACTTTATTGAAAGGTGGCAACGCATCCGCAACCCTGTCGGTGTTGCAAATGTGCGGCAACGGCTATCACTTAATCAGGTGAACGACCAACCCGCTTGCCATCTTCTTACATAAAAAATATATCACACACACAAAAACAGAACAACTTGCAACATAGAGCATTAGAAAACGTCAGTGCAGCTCTGTGTTTTAATATTCTATGTTGTTGTGGGCAGAGTGCTAAATATTTCAAACTCAACAGGTGGCGGGGTCTATTATCGGAAAAGGTGGCTCCAATATCTCCAAGTTGAGAAATGAGGTCAGTATAAAAATTATAAACAGGAAGTGCAATTCCCTCCCAGTTAGTATTTGGGCGACAGTGTAGTAATTCATTCGGATGTGAGTTACATAAGAGACTTACCTAGTTGCTCATTTGATATATCGCTTTCTTCATGTGCTTATGAATAATTACGTGTTTATTTAATCTTGTCATATTCCTTTCCGTTGATATCTAGACGACTGGTAATAAGGTAATGTGTCACTTACATTTTTATTTTGTCCGAAGCCGTTGATGTAAGTAAAATTGACATAATCTGTTTTTACATGTACCATGAGCATTATGTTAACTTAATGGAATGAAGTTTTTCCGCCGCAGGTAACCAAACTAAAAAGTCTTTCGTACTACCGCTCGCCGCTCCCAAGGGGTCAAACGGGTAACTTGAAGCCGTGACCCTCGAACCTTTTAAAACTCTCACCTTTGTTTTCTGCCTTTGTTGTTTTCGATCTATAATCTAATCTAATGACAACGCAGCGTGCGCAATGGCCTCCTGGCCACTGCTCGTACCAGCGGCGAGCCAATAGACTGTAGACAGAGTAACCCCCCGGCAGCCAGTTGCAGGTCCTTAACGCCCCCGAGAAGCCAACGTGGCTAGTTACGCGACGCGTCCCGCGCCTCCGTATACGCCCGAAGCCCTCGGCAGTTTTGCGACCGACTCACCGAGCGACGACACCCCCCCAACAACTTCCAACTTCGCTTGCGCGCAGCACACTAACGCGAAATACGTAAGCGATCGGTAGCTACGCGCCCTGTTGCAGATTGAAAAAAAAAACAGAGAGCTAACCGATTGTCTATGCGTCTCTGTTGCGAACTGACGAAGCGAGCTGACAGCTGTTAAAATTAAAAAAATTAAAAAAAAACTCCTGTCAAACCGCCGATGCGATGGCGCATCGATTTCTTTCGATCGCAACGGGCGCGAAAGTCGTAGAACTGCCGGAGGGGTTTTCTTTGGTTGGGGCGTCGGAGGCGCGCGGCGCGCCGCTACAGCGAGTCTTGGTTGCCGGTCCCGCCCCGCCGCCGCCGCCGCCTACCCGCCGCCCCGCCACGCAGTACAAAGCCTCTATAACAGTCCCAGATTGCCCCGGCCCCGAACGGTAAACCGACAAACTACTCTCAAACTTTGCTACCCGAACTCGACACCTTGTACAACCGTCAACAGTCAGGAGTTTGAGCAACCATCCGGCGTTAGATGCTTCACACCCCTACCCCCCCAACCCCCATCACACCACCCGGAAGACGCACGAAGGTAACGCCACCGAAGCTTCAGAGACCTCTGGCGTCCCACCTCAGAGACCGCCGTACTTGCTCCCGCCGGAGTACGTATGAACTCATCCGTGATAGTGTTTCTCCCCATATCCGGGATCTTTCCAACACCAACCGTCGAAGTTGAAACCCCATCACCATCATGCTTTACACTGTAATGACGTTGCCCGGAAACAGACCTCCCTGACCGTTGATACGTTACTACGCTCATCATAATCGTGTTGAGATTTTGGCACCGGCCGCGCCGACGGACTCCGCTGACGTCGCCTTTATTTTTCAGGGTTCTGTCGATAACCGCCTCTGATATCGACACTATTTTGGAAATCGTGAAGGACATTCTGCCGAGTTTGGCCGATGTGAGTATTTTATATAACAACGTATTTAATTGTCTATAATATGTTTTTAATGTTACCATATAAAACGCAGCCCAACTTAACTGAAATCGCACTGTGAATTAAATGTCCACGAAGAAGTACATTTAACATAAGTTGAAGAACTCGTTGGCTACTCTTCCCTATAAAGTTAAAAAGTAAAAACTGATTGGTATAGATGTAACAAACGAACACATGATTAAATATTTATAAGTGGTCGAAAATTTGTAACAATAGTAGACAGAATAATCTCTGTCTTCGCCTCTGTATGACACATATGTGACATTCTGTGCGTGTTTCTTAAATTTGAGGATATTCACTGATGTTTCGACATTCTACCAGGGCGGAATCAAGTCCAGCGCCGAAGATCTGGACGTCCGTCTACTGATACATCAGAGTCGCGCTGGTTGCGTGATAGGAAAGGCCGGCACTAAGATCAAGGAGCTGCGAGAGGTCAGTGAACTTTTATTTCCCCCATTTCCTTTTTTATTTCAGGTTTATTAACAACGATTTTCGTGTGTAAATTTAAAATAACAAATCCTTTACGACATAGATTTGCTGCTACTCCTTTTGAGTACTGGATTTAACGATTTCGTTTCATTCAAGGAAATTGACCATACATTATGATCCTAAAAACTGAGGGCGATATTTGAACAGCTACTTTGTCGAGTTGAATGAACTTTTTCAATGGATAGTCTGCAAAAAATACTGGCAACAATGTATGACGATGACGTGTATTGGGCTGATTGTAATTATATATGCCGAGGCGACGACCGTTTCGGCACGTGTAGAGACCGCTAAGATTAGGGCGCATCAGCACTACGCAACTGTCGTTATAAAGTGAAATGAACGGATCCAAGGTGTGTTCATACAAAGCCCCGTGCCCCGTTCCGCTCGGCCGCCCCGTCAGATGTGTACCGTGCGCAGGTAACGAAAGGTGGCGAGCAGATGGTGCCACGAAGCGGGGCTGGCTAATCGACTGTCGAACGATGCACCGCCACACACGGAACGGGCGGTATTTTTTTCCCCGACCGTACCTTCGCTCGGCCACGTGTCCGATGGGGGGGCAGATGCGACGGCAGCTGCCGTCGTCCCCTGGTTATCTCCGTCGGCGGATGTTGCCCAGAATCGACGATCTAAACAAAGGCCGTAGAGAAATTTCGATGCGGTTCTAAACTAAATAACGCTCTCCCGTCGGTTTGTCTATGAAGACGCCTCATAGTTCTATAAGGTTTTTAACTGATTTCTTACACACTACAGACAGACTAGGTAATCTGCCTGTAGTGTGTCTTACTCGAAATAAGCGCGAGGTAAAGCAAGATAATATGTCTCTAATAGCTTCATTCGCTGTTGCCCAATGCGTTCCATTTTTCCTCTTCGAAGTAAACTCATTTAAATATGTGGTAAACGCGTAATTAGATCGGAAAAGGATTTTCAATCGAAACTTTATGATGCTTTAAATCGGAACAGATTCTTCCGTGAATCGCCCTGCCAACCCGTCACTGGCTCTGGCTTATATCGCCTTCATATTTGATCATGTGTCAATTATCGAATTTTCAATCATTTTTGGCGAAATGTCTGAAAGAAGTAGAAGTCTGTACTGTTACATTTCCTCTGGTGCGTCAGATAATCGACTCCCCGACTTCTTAAAGATTGACATGTCAATATTTTCTATTGTCATTCATCTTTGAATAAAACGACTCTCTAATTCCTGTGTCACGAGGGGTTGCACAGATATGAAAATCACGAACACAAATCGCTTTCAGATTTGTAATACCTATTCATGGATCACACAAATGTATGTTCCGTCTTGAAATCGAACCCACTACGCCGACGTCGGCACGGCGAGCAATGGCATTTGGCTAACCTAAACCATTGAGCTAATCAAGAAATTTACCTGCCGCCAGGTGAAACGTTCGCGCGACTGTCAGATATTTTCATTAAAAAAAAAAAACAAGTTCATATATATAACAGAATCGACCATTCGTTAAATCGTTCAGTGCTGGTAGAAAACGAAAGTTTAAACTCATTTGCGTACGTAATTAACTAGCTTCTAAGTCGTTGACGTATTATCGCGTAAGTGACAAACGTGCGAAACTTTGCGATCATTGCCATCTCGCCGCTTAACATGAACAAACAACGGTGTTAGGAGTTTGACTAACTACTGAGTGCAGAGCCCGTTTTAGATCAATTACCGCGCATGCCAAACTCCGCTGTTCGACTTTCGGAACAAGCCATCGACCGTTTCGAAAACTTTGTCCCTTTGTAATATAGCAAACCATAATGTGCCAAGTTCGTTTCGTCGTTATGTTTAACGTTTTCGTCCTAAACACCTTATTTAACATCTAACGCTTTATGGCAATCAAAACGCTAATATACAATCGCGTTACACGGTACAATTACCCCATAATTTCGTGCTTTTCTTACTGATGATCCGTGATAGTTTAATTGTCCTCGCGCTCGCTTTTAATTCAAAATACTCGAGCAACCGGAGCCCAATCCACGGTGCCGGCAGCAATGAGATTGTTAATTTTAAGTGCTGACTTATTATTATAGTGTGCTCAGCGGTGAAGGAAAACACCGTGAGGAAACCTGCATACTTTCGAAATAATTACACAAAAATATTTCGATTATATGCGAAGTTCGCCAATCCCCAGTGTCGTCGCGTGGTGGACTATGCCCTAATACTCTCTGCACAAAGGAGGCCTTTGCCCAGCAGTGGTTGTTACATCGCTTTGTTTTCGCTTTTAGTTGTAATTACAATAAAATTTTTTATCTCAGTCTTCCAGCACAGAAAAGCTAAAGGTCGACGTTATGCAACAAATCTAAGGATAACGTCTGCGTTGTGAATTCTTTTAATAATACCAAGAATTCTTTTCATAGTACCGCTCATTGAGATCGTTCCTTTTTTTCTTCCGATCAGCTGTTCCATAGCTTCGTCCCATTGTCCGATTGTATCCTATCGCCGATTCACGATGAACAATGTCACAACTTACCTGCTCTGAGTACATACAAATAACAATGCAATGTATATATCGTGTCAAGTAAATTGGCGTGTTACCTCGATTGTCACTTAAAATTTCCTCTTACTTCTAGACTGTGAGTGTGGTTATTTAAAGTTGTGTTTCATGTTTCGGCTATGATCGCACCTGTAGAAACTTGTGATATGATTTCTCATTAACTGCCACTAATCTATCGATGGACGTCTGGCTTGATTAAATTCTACAACGTCGTAAACTTATTCGTTATCGACAATTAAGCATTTATTCATAAAGATAATGAAGTAAAAGTTACCTGAATTGGTAAATGTATCTATTATTTATCGGCACTTTGCCATGTCATGTACTTAGTGTCTGCCTACGCCGCTCGGTTGAAGTTGTGAAGTGCATATCATGGTGTATATTATTTAATTAATGACACGATCGAGTTCAGTACATTTTTAGGCGTATGCACTTTTGTGCACATCATATTTCATCCTTCCAATAAATTTTGGAAACCTTGCGACAAGCTTATAAAGCCTACCTAAGTACCTACCTATATCGATCAGTTAGTAACTTCGCACTGCACACGAGTGGTTAGAGTCGCGAAGACTTTTATGAAGACGAATATTTCTTACATTAAGGCGATAAAGTCTGCCTACACCGCTCAGGATGAGCCCCGAAAACTGAAGCGAGCGCGAGGATTCGCATTGTCCCATTACTTCTCGCGTTAAAGCGATAGAGTCTGCCTACACCGGTCGGTGTGAGCCGCTAAGACTGACGCGGGCACATAGACGCGCGCGGTTTGCATTGTCCCATTCCTTTATAGGCCCCATTGGGCCAGTACACATTGGGCCAATGCCATTGACGCTCCTTTGATGTGTGCTCAAAAAACCGACACAATTCGGTTTGCTGGCCAACGTTCGTGCCAACTACGATTTGTCACAAACGTTTCACAAAATAGCCCTTTCCACATTGGTATTGGACCAATGCTTTAGTCCAATGTAAATAGGGGCCTAAAGGAGAGCTAATGCACAATGTGTGCACGCCGCGAACGCAAACGCTTTGGCCCAATATGTACAGGGGTCATATCATTGAGGCGACAAAGTCTGTCTACGCCGTTCGGTGTGAGCCGCGAAGACTGACGCGGGCCTGGCGGGGCGGCGCGTGCGGCAGCTGCGGCGGCGGCAGGTGCTCGCGCAGCCGCCGGAAGGCCGCACAAAAACGCGCGCACCTGGGCCCTACCCACTTGCACAATGCCCCCGCCATAAGGGCCCTTGCACACGCTAAATAGAGACTCGCGACATGTGCGCCCGCGTGCGTACACGCCCGCAGGTAACCAGGCCTAGTCCCGTCTCCTCTCTGGCCCGCTTAGGCGTCTTGATTTTTTCTACGACCCCACCCAACTCCTTTGTGTTTCCCTCACAACAACTTCCAGCGATAGCGTACGTAATAGATAGAGTCCACCTACTAGTACACTATATAAGAGTTGTGTAGGTGACCGCGGTCACTGGGCAGCAAAGCGGCTCCAATTTCGGTCGTGTAAGTTCAGGAATCCCGAAGAAAACAATAGCTTTTGCGTTCGGGTTTCGTTATTGAAAGGGTGGCGGCAACACGTGTTGGTGGGGTTTCATCCGTCGGAAGCGCGGCGCCGGGCTCGAGTTACCTAGCACGTGACGAGAGGGGACTTTTTTGTGGACCTCCTTCCACATCCTCTCCCGTGTTTTCAAAAAAATAAAAACTACGGATATGCAGCGAGGTTTTGATTTACTCCAAAAAGCGCTCCCATCGGCTTCCGCTCGACTCTATTATGCACCGCGTATCCGTTGTTCTTTGGAGAAATGTTAAACGAAAAGTACATTCAAAACATAAATCAAAGTCGAATATGGTGATATGATGATAGATTAATCGATTACGATATCAATGTGTGCACGTATATGTACTATATTGGACATTGGTAGAGGTATACACGTAGAATGTACATTGTAAAATGTGTACACGAGCCGCACAAAGGTCGCGTGCCGTCGTCGTTTCGTGGCCGGGCCGGAGCGTATGTCGCCCGCCGGTAATTACCGTAGGGGACGGTGGCCCGTCGACGGTGACACCGGCAATTATTGCGGCACGCGAGCTTGCTTCCGTTTCCGATCGGACACGGCTTCCCACCGACGCGCTCGATTCACCACCGCATCGATACCTTCAGTAGCAGTCGTGATAGTTCTGTTCGGTCTTCAGCCGACTTCACAAAAGGCGGTGGAGGTTCTCAATTAGGTTGTATTTTAAGAACTCATTTTTCATTATGTTCGGTATGGGTCCTATATTAATCTTCGATTGGTCATTGGACACATCAATTAACTCAAAATGAAATAGAAAATGTGTTTGAAATGATGGTTTTATTTTTTTATTAATAAAAATGTACTTTGCAAAGGGCGTTCCTCATTGTTTTAAACTAACATCGATTCGCAAACATAGCACGGTGGAAGGATCTAATAGAAAACTGCCTGGTCAAATCAAATAAAATGTAGCGTAAATTAATATCGAAAGCTTCGTAAATTCGATTGATTAAGTGTTCACCGCTTTCACACACCTGTCAGTTACAGTCTCGGATCGAATATATCGAATTTAATTTATCATGCGTTCGGTGAATGTCGCATTATGCCGTCCGTTGATTCTTCGGCTTTTGCACACTCATTCGAGTGTTCTCGTCTTCGAGGCGTAGGCGCGCTGGAGCCCTACAAGTGCGAGGGCCGCCGGAGTGGGGGCTATCACAGGTGTTCCACGGCACCGTCCCCCAGGCGGCTCAGGCTCACTTCCACTCCGAACGTGGTCGGGTACGGACGCGTCTCTAACTATCCGGTGCCAACGTCTCGGGAAATACATCGCGAGTTCGATCAGCAGTGCCTTCTTTTAAAACGTTAATAAACTATGTTTTCTGAACGACGGACAGTGCTTTCGGATTCGGTCGTGCCGAGTTTTACGTGAGTTTTGATTAATTTTGCTTGTTGTAGAGTATTAGTACATCGACTTTCTTCTTGATTTTGTTGTTTTACAGTTATGTGTCTATTTTTATAACAAAAGGAGGGCTTAGGCATTATCCACCAGTCAACCTACGGTGTAGTGAAAGCTCTTAGCAAGGTGCAATAAATTAAAACAAATAAACTATAATTAATAAATAATATCACGGTTGATCGCGGGCTTTTCGCGTCTAAGCCTCGTTCCGTATGAAATAACGGACAACGTCTTGCAAGCTTATAAGGGCGTTATTGTCCCCGTACTCGTGTTTAGGTGTTGTTTGTGCGTGCCGGCCGCGGCCACGTGTTTCGGTCGATGGGTCGGCGCTTGCGCTCTATACGCTCAGCGGCACTCCACTCTCGCTCTTTGCCCTTAAAATTAATTATTTACTATCGCGCCCACTTACGTCTTCACTTCTTACTCTGCGGCCTCTGAATAACTCGAGACTTGGCGTAATCCCCGGCGGTTTCACTTTGCGCGGGTCGGCAAGCGACGACCCGGGCGCGTGACCCCCGCCTGCCCCAGTTTCGAAGACGTCACCCGATTTCTGCCTGATTGATTGCCCGCAAATTTCGAATTGAGACAGGGAGAACCCTTGACGTAACGGTGTCGTTAGTTAGGTTATGGAATGGCCCGTTGCTAATGATCGGTTTCACGGTCGGATGTACGCATTCCGCTACTATGTTGGTTTTAGTCGATTCAAAATTTTGATACTGTACGAACCGCTGTTTAATATTTTAACATGGCTTACACAATTAATGCATTTGAATTAAAAATATTACAGATTTTAATTGTGCTTGTGATACACTCCAGTCCACGATGAATTTAAGGATTGATTTATAAATTACCATTGTGTTTATAAAACTTTTCACAACACGATTTTCGACAAAGGTTGACTGGTAGAGAGCGATATTAGGCATTAACGGGCATTGTAGCCTTTATCTTATGGTTTAGCAATAAAGTTTAAATAAATAAATGAAATACCTAAATCTTTTCGGTTACACGATTTAATGTGATTTAATGTGAATGAAGATGTGTGAAGTCCGCCATTCCGCAGTGGGGCCGCGTGGAGGACTATGCCCTGATACCCTCTGTATAGAGGAGGCCTTTGCCTAGCAGTGGGACATGTATAGGCTGTTACTTTACTTTTTACTTTACTTTACACGATTTATGGAGCTTGTATTTAGTTTTTTTAATTATTTTCACATTTTTTACAAGCTCATCGCAGAGCAGCAATACATGGACCACATGGACAGTTTGTGTTAAAAATGTTTTTATGTTCTTGAAAAGGTTTTTTATAACGGATTAGAATGTTCTATAGTTTTATTTTATATCGGTCAAAAAATATGCATTCAAATATACATTAGATTCACAGAAATATTTTTTTTTTGCAAAGAATGTTATTTCTTATATTTCTTCAAAACTAGGCTTTATGTGTTATTTAATGATGTTCAACTGGTTTATAATCATCATCTAAACGTGAAGAGAGTGATGAATGTAAAAAAAAATTATCTCTTTTTTATAAACTGTAACTTATCAGTACGTCTCTACGGTATAAATTTTCTAATAAATTTTAAACTTCTTTCATTGAGAGACTTGGAACTTGAATTTGTGCCATATTCTTTAAATTACATCTACTCTATGCAATAAGATAATTCGATCTGTATCCGTTATAAAACAACATTGGTACAAACAATTTAAACACAAAATTTATGATTTATATACTAGCTCAGTGTTTACCATTTTATCTGATTTTAAAGCTCTTGACCTCTCGTTAATTATGAATTATCCCCCACGCGACACCACTGCGTATTGGCGGACTAAACATATCATCGGAATATTCTTTTTTGATATAATTTTGAAGATATACAGGTTTCCTCACGATGTTTTCCTTCACCTCTGAGTACTTAAAATTGACAATTTAATTGATGCCGGCACCGGGGATTGAACTCGGGTTGGTGGAGTATATTGAATTAAAAGCGAGCGCCCGGACAATTAGCTATCACGGCTCAATAATGCTGTAGCAGTCAATTATTATCTCCCGTCCGATCTATTAGGGGCGTCGGATTGAAAAGCAAATAAACAGAAAAATAGTAATTGTGTATGGGTTTTTATGCGTTCTAGGGTTGAACCAGTATAACTTTTTAGACCGAGGGTTTTATTTTTTAAAACATCTGAATTTATTTTCGTTTACATTTAAAGAAAGTTCCCAGTCGAGCTTCTGCTAATATCCTTAAAATAAAGCTTTACATCGAGACTTCGATTTAAATACGCATTTTTACCATCACACACGAAATATGTAAGCGAATAGCTAAACTTTGTATTTGTACAAAGCATTGGGAAAATTTTATTTCGCGACTACCGCGCTTTCGATAATATTAAATTTTCATGCAGTCTTTTTGCTTTGACGTGTCGTTCCTTAACTCTCAAAGCATGTGGTGTGACGTTTCAGAAAACCGGCGCCCGGCTGAAGATATTCTCGAGCACGGCGCCACAGAGCACCGAGCGTGTAGTGCAGCTGGTGGGCAGCAAGGAGTCCGTGGCGGCGGGAGTTCGGGAGGTCCTGGAACTCATTCGCCAGGTATACTACGCCTTCATGGAGGTTCCGATAGATTACATTGCCAGATATAAAGGCCGTTAGGATGATCGCTTGTACCTATTTTATGCGATTTGCATAGGTTCTTGTACCCATTTTAGGCCAAATCCCTGAGTTCGCTTAGTACCCCACCCCATCCACACCTATCATGTTGCTGTTCATGCTTCGACGGTTCCAGGTGCCGATCAAGGGCGCCATCCAGAACTACGACCCGCACAACTACGACGACTACTACGCGGAGGAGTACGGCGGCTTCGGGGGCGGGCCGGGCGCGGTGAGGGGCGGCCGCGGCGTGGGCGGGGGCGGCGGCGGCGGAGGCCCCCCTCGCGCGCCCCGCCCCCCGCCCCCGGCGCGCGGACCCCGCCCCCCTCCGCCGCGCGCGGTGCCCCCCGGCCCGCGGGGTGGCTTCGGCGACTACGCGGGCCCCCCGCCCCGCGCCGGCTTCAACGGCCCCCCGCGCGGCAACTTCGGCGGCGGCGGCGGCAACTTCCCCGGCGGCGGCGGCAACTTTGGCGGCGGTTTCGCGCGCGGCGGCGGCGGCGGCAACCAGCAGGAGACCAGCACCCAGGTCACCATACCGAAGGATGTGAGTCGACTGCCTATGTCTCAATCGCCGATACAATCATTTTCCCAATCCACAATGTACTAGCCCTTTCAACGATTTCAATAATCGTAGGTCATTAAATTTGATAACTTTTTCGTAGATTGCTTTAATATCATTGTCCTTTTTTTTCCAAATAGTTCTCGACTTGCTATTCTTTAGTTGGTATAGATGCACTATATAGGAAAAGAAAACAGTATGCGATGCCAATAAAACATATATGGTAGTTATGCTATAGCGAAACGTGCGTGAATATTTCGTGAGAACGACACCAAATGTGCAGTCGCCAATGAAGGGCATTTAATCCGCAGCTGGCCGGTGCGATAATCGGCAAGGCGGGCTCGCGGATCCGCAAGATCCGCGCCGAGAGCGGCGCCGGCATCGAGATCGCCGAGCCGCAGCCGGGCTCGAGCGACCGCATCATCACCATCACGGGCACCCCGCAGCGCATCCAGATGGCGCAGTACCTGCTTCAGCAGAGGTGAGCGCTAGTGAATCCAAAACCGCAACGAACACGCCAGACAGACACACAAAAACGTTGCAAGTATTAGTTATTCGTTAAATGAAACTACAACAGATTGTTTTTTCCCGTGACTGATGTGTTCACTTTACTAGTTGAGACGTGGAAAAAACCGTAAACTAATTTTGTTTAACAATGTTACTAATCTGCTTGCCTACTATCTAAGTCTAAATTACGTTCATTCTGCCATGTCGAAATTTAGAGAGAAAACCTTACATACTGTACATAATTTGTACAATTGTGATCTATTTGTCAAACCCATGGCAAATGTAGCCTAAGCCCCAAATCTAAATGTAGTCTATATTTTACTTACGGAGGATGAAACTTATAAATGCTTCGGAGATTACTTACATTGAAAAATTTTATATCTGCCTTGACATTTTCCAACAAAACACTCTTGGCTTCTGCGCTGTTGATACAATTCATCTAAAAATAAGCATCAGATACAGAACATCTGTAAGATTCCTTGTTATTACGCTTTATATTGCCCTCGGATAGGTGGCGCTCTTCTGCATATCTATTAACCATCAGCTCAATCAAACAAACTTTTGGTGTGAATTAAATGGTCAAAAAATAAACTGACCTTGACGAAAATTGTTTTCATGTTCAATTTTTTTTAATAAATTTTATTGTCCGTTTTGGTTAAAAATGGTAGTAAAAAATAAATATAAAAGACAATGATTCGAGGATAATTTCAAGGAAGATGTATAATATAGATGAGATACTTTCTCATATGTTTATGTCTCATTGTTTTCAATTTTATAATACCTGAAGTATGTATAATAATAAATGATATAAATTTACCGACATAAAAATACTCATCAAATATTCCTTTTCCATTATAATTTGTCTAAATAAATAAATTATAATACTTTTTATTAATACTAAAACAATTTCGTTTACAAAGTGCACATGTCTTTTAAACCGCTATGTGAAATAGGCGAGCTTAAGAATGAATTGTAACTATCATCATTACTAACAACATTATTTTGGTGATAGAATGTTCGAAGAGTTCCCCGACTTGGCTCCCAACCAGACTAAAATTAATAGAATTAATTAATGAGCTATTAATGTGGCATGGATCAGATGATCAGGTAAAACTGCAGACAATTGTTGGTAGATGTGTATTATTGGGATATTCATATATATTTATACATTTCAAGATATAGTTTTAATTTTGAGACAGTTGACATATTAACTAATATCCTATCATTACAAATATAATTAGTAATGCTCAATGTTATATGATTATTATAGATATTGGGGAGTCGTTTTCTTATTGTTGTTGATGTGTTCTATTTGTGTCTAACATTTATGTGGTGAATAACAAATGTTTTAGGTGTGTGAATCCTCGCTACTACTAACGGGCACCTGCCGCCGTTCGCTCGTTGTATGGAAGACTAGTGATTTTGTTGTTTTATTTGTTATAACAAGGAATCACTAATCTGCCTACAAAGTTGCGATACACGCATCGGACGAAGAATGTGACACGCGTGATCTTCTGTATCAGTTTTTTTTTCTCTGACTAACATGTATTTTTTTATTTAATGTACAATGTAGAGTTCTTTTGCTTGATCCTATTTTGATCTTTCTTCTTTTCTTATTTCAGTGTTCACGAGAGCAACCCGAATCTCGGCCGTGGGAACTTCTGATTTTATAGCATTTGATAAAACTTTAATAAATCCTCGCAGCTTTGTTTAGTCACCTTAAGTAATATGCATTACAAGAAATACCAATTTGCACTTAATGCCTTTCACATGGTCACAAATGCATTTAACTGAAGGCTGCACTGAGTGAGGCTAATATTTTTCATATTCTTTGTTATAAAGTTTGCAAGCAACTGAGATGTTTGGAAATAAAAGTAAAGGAATACTACAAAAATACAATTTTTATGTTCATAGTAAATTCATAAAAAAAGAAATGCATTTATCATGATAATTATAGAAGTTCTAAGATGGTGTCAATGATTTCTGTTACATCGATGTATTTTTAAGTAATAGAAATAAAATAATAGTTTATTTTGTGATTCTTTGTTTTATTTAAGTATATCATTATTCTATATAAACCAAATAAGTCTCAAGTGTGATTATTTAATATGACTAGTTAAGATTTTAACAAAGATTCTAATAATCCAACATTAATGGTTATGGTGGGCTCACTGTAATCGACAGTTTATACTGGATTTTGTATTGTAACAAAGGACAGCAATTGGAAAATTTTTGTCGTTAAAGTATACATATAGGAAAGTAAAAAAAAAATCACGACATTTTTTAGGTGTTTCGTCGCAATTAAACACAACCTTGTAGTTGGTCAGCCCAACCATATGTAATTACTACATTTGAATATCATTGTGTTTGGGGAAAATGCTTGAATGTTGTAAAACTTTACACATTATTGGTCATTGATTATCTAGTGCGATTACATCATTTATGAAATCATGATTCATTTATAGACATGAGGGGATTCATACTAAATACATTTATATTTCATCTGAGTAAAATTTACATATTTACTGTGAATATTATCAACATATTAATTTATCCATCAAGCACATAAGTATTATTGTTATTAAGTAGTGTGACATTTTTTTAAATATTATACAGCGTGTCGTTACAACCGCGACAATAAATGAACACACGTCTAACACTACTTACCAATAATCATAAAAAATATAAAACGTTAAAAAAGTATATTTTTCAAACAAACTAATTAAATAAAAAAAGAAACAACATTTGTTACATCCTATATAACTACAACTGACTGATTCATACATTCAGATACTTCATTCGTTGCCACAACGTCGCATTACAAGTTTATCCTTCTAATAACAGTATGTTTTATCTCTTTTAAATTCATTCAACCCATTCATATGTTTTGTGACCTTTACAAATGAACTTTACGCTACAGTTTTATACATACCCTTACGTATAAAACTATAACGTATAAAACGTTCTAAAAATGTTTGTTTTGTAAAATTTAATAACTCTGTAAATATTGATGTTTAAAGAATGTAAATGCCTAATAAAATTTAAAAAAGTTATCCTCTATATGTGTGTTCATTTATTATCGCGGTTGTAACGACACGCTGTATAATATTTAAAAAAATGTCACACTACTTAATAACATTAATACTTATGTGCTTGATGGATAAATTAATATGTTGATAATATTCACAGTAAATATGTAAATTTTACTCAGATGAAATATAAATGTATTTAGTATGAATCCCCTCATTTCTATATTCAGAGTTGAGACCTTTCGTCTGTACATTGTGCCACGGTTAAGGTTAGTCTAACCCTTCTAAACATGGATAATTCCCTAGTGTTGGAATTGATATAAACAGATATTTATTTAAACTGCCTAACTATTGCGGAATTATGGTTGGATACTACCGACAAAATAAGGAGTTGGGTGGATATTGACTGGGTATAACAAATAATTTCGTTCAATCTATCAAAGAGTGTCTTCTAGCAAAGAAACAACGTAAAATCTAGTTTCTGCATACAAAACTGCAGAAATAGGCTTTTGCACAGATGTGTTAAATCGAAATGTCTTTTAAAAATATAGCTAGTTTCTTTCTTTCCATAAAAAACCTTTAAAATGATTTAGTGACATAATTAGCACCGCACAAACCAGTCATAATTCCAATTTAATGGTTTGGTAATAGTTTAGTGAAAATTAATTAACTGTTGCTCAATGATGCTTGATGCGCGTGAGCGTGATGATGTAGTGGGCAAGAAAATGAACAAAACTATATATAAAACATATTAAGTTTATTTCCTTAAAAACTAACGTAAATAATTTTAATGACCAAATCAAACACAAGTGTTTTGGTTATCACCCAACTAATTTATTGTAAATATTTTTTATTTATTGTAAATATACAAAACAGACTTTATTAAATGGTTGATTGAATACATTTGTAGTAAGGGTAGCATCACCAAGTCAAATCATCAGTAGATATGATGTGAGTGTATGTAGTATGAATCTTCTGCTTTCTTGGTAGAGACATAGGTTTTTTCACAATTTTATTTAACTTTTATTGATATTTGATGTACAAACCCATACCCATACCATAGAATTAATAATTAAAGTTTGAATATAATTGAGTTTGCTGAATAAATAATGTTCTTAAAAAATTTTAAAAGTATAGCATTACTTTTACATAGAAAAGAACAGGACCAGAAGTTTAAGTTAGTGGAAAAATAAGATGTTATGTCATTATTGATAAACTATATCAATAACGTATTAACAAAAAATATTATCTATCCAGTCATTATGCAATTACCCTTAATGAACAAAACATATCAATTAGTCATAATGTGAAATGTTAAACATGTCCAATTTAAATTTGTTAAAATAGGTGTCTTGTAGTAGTAGATTCTATGTTATACAATTTATGTCATGATTTTCATCCCTATTAGAGTTGTACAGGTACAAGACTCTAGTATAAATATAATAATATTATAAAAAGGTGAATAAATTGAAACTAAAAAACCTTAAATACAATTTATAATAATGGATCACATTGTTGTCTTAAGATACATACATTATTATACTTTTCTGTTTTTAATGTTTGATAAAAATATATCCACAACTTAAAGCTTTTACATCAGATCAAGTCAAAAGTACAGTCATCATGTTGGATGTAAAGGTGGAATATCAGAATGTTCATGTTTATCCAAGTAAAATATGACATATACTAATGGTATCACAACACCAAGAATAAGCATACAGCAAACCAAATGAAACCATTTCAGACCAAAGTCAGCACCATGTGATGTCAATTCCTTCACAACCACTGCCTCTACCGAAATCTTTGGTTTGTTTGGTAATAATTGGGTATCTTCAGACATTACTTCATTTTGTTCAGAATCTGTATAAGGAATTACAGATGGAGTCAATGTGCTGTTTAACACAACTGCATTGCAGTCTATCGCACAATCATCTTCTTTATTTTCTATGTTTTTAAGATTATCATTTATCTCCTTCTGAATTCCATTGGAGGATGTACTTTGTAATATATTATGATGTATGCTAAAATTTGGTAGGGTCTGCTTTGAAGTGGATGGTGTAGGTTGAGGTTCCTGAGGTGGGATCAGTTCAGTAAGCACTGAATAAGGTGTAACAGGAACTTTTATGGTCCGCCTCGCGAAAATTTCATTATCTTTATGTATATGATTTATTCTCTTTAACTCTGAAATCTAAAATATAAAAACCATGTATCAAAAATTATAAAATCCGATTGTAGTTCAGAGATAAGCTTATTTTTATCAAAATCACTCCATTTGAAAAATTGTTATGAACAAGACTAGATAAGATATATCGAGGTATGGGACTTTCTCTTTGAAATGTATGAATGTTGAGTAATAATTTGCATATTTTAAAAATAATTCAGTTTATAAAAAACTTAATGAAACTTACCGAACAATAAAATCGTAAAGCTATGGCTTGTAATGTGTCTCCTTCTTGAACCTGCGCTTCGATAAAATGATCTTGTGGTTTAACTCTGTGCAATTGAATTTCATTGTTATGAGAATCGTTTGTTCTATTCATATTTATGTTCTGACTGAATAACTCATCTCCATTAAGCATTTGGCGTGTCCTGGAACGAAGTAATTTTGTTTACACCTAAATTATATCGCATTAAATCTTAAACTAAAAATACCTATTATTACGATATATACTTGTACACTACACTTACCTTTGTTTCATTTTTTAAAACTATGATTGAGCTAATATTAACTAACATGACCCGATAAAAAATGGCAAAGCTACCTTATAGTTCGTATATAAAGGTTTTACTTTAAATTATCATACACTAAATCTGTTGGAACAGCTGTTAATTATATTTGCAAAAAGTATATTTTTGTCAAAGTAAATTTTGACATTTTGCCACATTGACATCGTAAATAAACACAGATAACAGGAAATAGTTATGGACGTAAAGAAGAAATATTGCCAGTTCTTTTGTTTTCAGTTTATTAAACGTTTTGCTTAATAGCAACATTTCACGCGGGCAGGATTTAAAGAGTAATTTTCGTGGTACTATAGTAGCCAATGACTTTTTCGGTGGTAAATTAACTGACATTAAGTTTTTTCGTTAGTCTTTTTTTTCGTTCCTTGGCTTATGTTTTTATTAAATATACTGAACTATTTTAACTAATTTTTCATTTTTCCCAAACAAACACATTGATTTTCAGACAGTAGTATCTCACATGTACGGCAAAGGGATGTTTCAAGATATTGGTAATTTTAATATGAAATAGACATATCTATACGCATCATCATCATCTATATTGACATTATCAGAGACCTGTACCACGATTGCACGTCCATCGTTAGGACCGCTTTGGGTGACATGAAACTCTTCCCGATCATTGTCAACCAGGGATCAGCTCTTAGTCCATTATTGTTCAACGTAGTGCTAGATGTGATTTCGACTCACATATACGAGTAGCCTCAATGGCTGATGATGCATGCCGATGACATAGTGCTCGTTGGCGAGAGCCTGCTGAAACTGTAGCAAAAATTAAATCTCAGGTAGGGTACGCTTGAGAACGGCGGTCTAAAACAATGTAGCGAAGACCCAGTGCATAGCTATATTATGTTCTGCTACCGCAGAATACCAACCAAGCTCAAGGGACAGGTGTACAAGAGCATCGTGCGAACGGTACTCCTGTATGGTAGCGAGAGTTTGTACATGAAACTCCTGTTTGGGAGATGAAGATGCTATGGTGGATGTGCGGCTTCATGCTGGCTGACCGCATTCGTAACGCATTCTTTCAACGTAGTCTCTGGGTCCGTGACGTTGCTTGTAAGCTCTAAGGGCAGCGCCTGACATGGTATGGTCATTTCGCACGGTACCGGTCGTAAATCTATGGCGGCAGAATAATCCTTGATATACCTGTCGACGGATCTAGACCTCCTGGTCGCCGAAGGACGCGATGGCTGGACGTCATGAAGCTGAATATGAAAGCCAATGAACTGACTGTTGAAATCGGGCATAATGGAGGAGTAGGCTTGCAGACACTAACAATAACCGGGATTAACGCCAGGTAGAAGACGCAAAAACACTAACGCCCGGTTTCTGAAACACTAATCATCGTAGAAGTTAACTAATCAGCTGCCAAATGGCTTTTCAAATGTTATTTTAGTTGCCAAAAGCATGGTTAAACTCTTTGAATTGATCATTCCGATCATTAAGAAAATCATTCTGACAAGCAGCGATTGCGATGCGAGGTAGGTGAACTAATTTTGAAGTACCTGCAGTTTATGCATGTTTGTGAAGCCTACGTTTGCAAAGGACATACACATGTATTATGGGTCGTACGTATGACTTATATAACAAAAATTTGTCTTAAAAGAATTTTACTTGCGGCGTTAGTTATAGAGACCGATCCGAAACGAACGCTGCTGTCTTTCATGTTTTTAATGGGTGGCAAATGACATCCTCCTTAATCATTGTGTTCCATTCCTCGATGTTGTCAACTTATATCTAAATACTTATACATTATTTATAACGTATATATTTATATATCGTGTTTGCATGTGTATTTATGTATAATTATTAATATGTATTTATATTTTGACTTATAAGTTTCTCTTATTAATTCAGTGTACACCGTTACCCAATGCTACTGTTTTTACTATTTCCTTTTACTAGGTTGCCTGGAAGAAATCGCTTCCTAGCGATAAGGCCGCCTATTGTACAGTTTTGTATTATTTTAGTTGATTCTTCAATATCCGTTGGTTGTGTACAATAAAGTATATTTCATTCATTCATTCATTTCATTCATTCATTTCATTCATTCATTCATCCTTTTGGCTAAAGTGACTCCTAATTACTTGTCCTTTTCGATATCGGCTTATTTAAAATGCCGATAACCGAGGCCTCTTTCCAGACGTTTGGAAAGGAGCAGCTGCAGCGTTAGTAAACAGATAAGGGGATCAGGAAGGACTTTTAAAACACCCAGTCAGATAATAGCTACCGATCGAGCCGAGGTCCGGCACTCTCGGGCACCCTCGAATCGGAATGCTAAACGCGTACTGAGTGACAGCCCAAGCCGAGGTCCCCTCTCGGGGACCCTTGAGCCTGGTCACTCCATGGAGCGCCCGCCAAAGCGCCCTAAGAGCTTGGCGGCCTCCCAAACCGGTAATAATAATAGCGTGACGGCCCGAGCCGAGGCTCCCCCGGGAGCCCTCGAGCTTAGTCACCATAACGCGTAATAATAGTACGCCGAGGTTCAGGCTAGGCGCCTCGTGCGCCAGGCCACCTCAAGCCCGTCGGAACTGTAAAGGCCCCTAAGGCCAACAGTGGCTCATCCAGCCCAAAAAAAAAATTAAAACTTTATTATTTATTTTATCTGGGCCTGGGCCTAACACGGGCTTAAGTTTTTTAATCATATCGTTCCTTCCTCTCTTCTGAGGTCCTTAAATTCAAATCGGCTCGAGATTTTCCAGTAATGCCATTTTCTGATTTTTCACTTTAAGTTGCATGCTTAATGACAATATGAAGATCATGTCACGCATGAAACGTAAGCATATCTTTTAGTCCAATATCCTTCTCCTGGATATGGTCCTTCACTGCTGATCGTATCAGGAGTCTCAATCGCTCAGTGTTTCATATAAATAAAGATAACCGACATAACTCAGAAGATTAGTCAGCTGAGGTGGCAATGGACCCGAAATGTAGCTCGTAGAACCGATGGCATCCACATATTGGCCATTATGTACATATGTGCGGGAATGACGTGAATGACGCAAGTGGCAGGTTCGTGCTTTGTGGCAGTCTGTGGGGGAGGCCTATATTCAGCAGTCTACTCCTTGAACAGGCTAAAATAATGACGATGTTGATGCTGACGATAATACAAATACTTCTGTGCGGGAATCGAACCCGCGACACATTTCACAGCACTACGTCCAACGTGATGTTAATTGATGAATGATCTAATAAAGAAATTTAAAGCTTAAGAAAATTTTATTTTAATTATGAATAACAGGAATGAATGTAGTCCATATATGTTATTACAATTTTATTAACTTGAAAATTTACACAACAGAAAGGTACAGAATATAATTATGGAGAATACCTTTGGTACTGCGCCGTAGTGATGGTACTAATTGCAAATCTTTTTTTTTTTGTCTAGCTACATTATGTACAAAAAATATTTATTAATACAAAAACTGATTTTATTACAATCTATAGGTATAGGTAACGTTAATTTATATGAGAATGATATAATAGCGGTAGTGATTCCATGTTTCAATACTTAGTTATATCAGTTTCTAAAAAACAAAACACAATCAAAGTCAAAATATTTTGTAATTTTAATTACTATGAATAATTTAAAGTTTAGATAAATTGTTGTAAAAATTTTCGCCGCTAGAATTAGAACCTGTGCCTTCCAGGTAAGTACATTAAAATTCTGACAGCGGCTATAAATCTTTCGTAACTTTATCTATGCATTTTCAGTTTCTGCTTAAGTGCAGAGACTAGCACTAAAAATAAAAGACTAAAAAGAAAGTCAAATATACTGTGAAAAAATTATCAAAGTATAATATGCAATTAAGTAATATAAATAATAAGAAACAATAAGTTTCAAAAATTACATAAAAACGTCAATCAAATATGAAAAAAAAAAACGAAATGACATAAAATATCACAGAAAAATTGATTGATGAGTATTAGGATTTCCTGAAATAAATTATATAAATGTAAATACATAAATAATTGTGTTCGAAAAAAATTTGGTAACTTCTTCGTTATTGAAAAGAAAACAAATTCTTGTTCATCATGTTCAAACGTGACATGTAATAGGCTAATAAAACACACAAATCAATTAATTTATGTAAACCTTTGATTTAGAGTAAGTTAAAACATAATTTAAAAGATAATACAAAATTTAGCAAACATATTTATCATGCTACAAGCTTAAGATACGGCAAAATACTTAACTAAAATAGTGATTAATAATTTCAATACTGTGCCAGTAAATTTATAAATACATAATAATTGTCACTATTTACATAGCAATATTTAAAATATCAGAGTAAACTTATCATTCATTAATGTAATTACAAAATATTTTCTAAAATAGATTTTTATGTTTCAAATAGTGAACCTACTATTTGAAACTGATTGAGAGTAAAAATGCAATTTAAAAACAAGCATCCCACAATTAACTCCATGATTAAATAATAGCATACATGTAATACATAATAAGGTCATGAATAGTATGAGTTAAGGGTTTTAATAATCCACTGAAGCATTAAGAAGTTACTGTTTTAAATTAATACATGAATCAAATTATACTTTATATATTTATTATTATTTTTAAATGGGTTTAAATGGGTTTTAATTATATGATTTCTTCATGTAATTTCTTTTAGGGTTGTTCTTTTTCCTTTTTTTCGAGAATGAAATGTTTTAAAAAAGACTAATTAATTTTAATTCTCTGTCAGACTAGTTTCACATACTTTAGTACTTACCATCTCATATGTCAATTAAAATTTAAACAAAAAAATAGGCGTTAATATAATTTTAAATTGAATTTCCACCACAATTTTAAAATATGGTCAAAAATTATAAATATAACACAGACATTAAAAAAAAATTAAACACTAAAAGCGAAATAAAAATTCATAGGGCGTTGCTTTTATATATCACAGGTTGTCTCTGAAGGCATATATGAATCTGATTGGCAAATATTCAATTTCCTATATGCCCTGCCATAATAAATACCTACGAATAGCAATAATGGCATCTAAAATAATACATAGTTATTATACATTATTTATTAGGTAGCAAGTACACCTTAACTCTAATGTTTCCCATGTGACAACATGATGAAACCAGATGTTGATTGCAACTGAAGTAGATGTATTGATATATGATGTTTATGTGTTTGTAACAAAGTAAAATCAATAATTTAATTAATGCCAGGTCGTAAGTTCTTTTTATGTTTAGTTTTATACAGTTCCTAAATCCTTGCAGCAAAGTATTTGAATCAATTTTTCGTCAAAAAATTTCCCAAGTTTATTATTTGTATAACATTAGACTTAGAAGTCACCTTGATTTGTAAAAGAATGTCTTTACAAGAATTTAGGGGCTAAACAATGTCAATATACAATTCATAATAATTAACGTTCTAAAATGTATATATTAAACTAACACAAATTGAGATCTAAAATGTATATTATATGTATAAATAACTGTTATTAATTTGTGACGGGGACAGTGCATTCTACGATGAGGTGAACATCAAACTCATTCACATTCAATTCACTTACCAGTGTATGTATGCTCTTTACATAATAATTATCTTATAATAGATAAAATTAGTTTCAGGGTGGCTTTCAAACGAGCGAGGTGGACGTCAGCAGACTCCTTGGTGACGGGGACTTTCCGTGGAGCGAGATGGATCCGAACGGGGGGTTTGGGGGGGAACTAATTTTAAAGATTGTCAATGCATTCGCAGGCCATCAGGTGTTTTAAACTTTGCAAACTTGACCGCTCGTTGGATGTATCGCATAATTAAAAAAAAGTACAAACGTCAGATTTGACCGCACGGCGGGCTCGTTAGATTCACATAAATTAAAAAAAAAAGTGCAAACGTCAGATTTGGCCGCACAGCGGGCTCGTTGGACGTTTCAGATGGATTACAAAAAAATAAAAAAGTGCAAACGTCAGATTGGAGCGCGCGGCGAGGCGAGCGGTCTCAGGCGTTGTCGAAGCCGCGGAAGTCGCCGGGCCAGTTGTCGCGCCTCGCCGCCCTGTCCGAGCCGGTGCACGCGAAGAACGCGTCGCCCTCGAAGGGGTCCGAGCCGCGCGTGAATATGTTCACCGAGTCGGACTTCTTGATGTCGCGGCGCTGCGGCGGCGGCGCGAGCGGCGGCCGCGCCCTCAGCGGCAGCGGCCCCTCGTCCTCCTCCTGGGGGTGTCCAAAGCGAACAGATATACCGATGTATCGATATTTTGATGATTTGACGCCTACACTCTAGTGCCGGATTAGAATTTGAAAAAAATATCGCTTCTGACACCATATTCGATATTGAATATTTTGTATCGATATATAAATAATAAATGCGCCATAAACATTCTTTATTGAGAAATGTAACGGGCGAATGTGATTGAGAATATGCTGCTTTCTATAAAAAAATAAGTGCTTTAGCGGGCAGTTTGAAAGGTGTGACTTTTGTGTTACAGTGATGCGCACGCATCTTGAAATTTTGCTCTCATCATTTTTCAACGCGCCTAAAGAAGTGTAACTTCAAAAATGTCGTTATATCGATATTGTTTCGACGTTTTTCAAAAGGTTGTCAACGCATCTGAAACCCTCGGGTGTAGCAGATGTCCATGGGCGGCGGTATTCACTTAACATCGGGTGGACCGTCTGCTCGCTTGGCAACTTTTGACATAAAAAAAAAAAAAAAGAAAAGACGTCCGTACCTCCTCCGCTATGGAGGCGGCGCGGTGGGGCGCCGTCGCCGCGAAGTCGTCCTCGAACGCGGAGCGCGGCGACACCGAGTCGGAGTCGAAGCGGGAGCGCGCCGCCGGCGAGTCGGCGTCGCGGCTCGCGGAAGCGGGCGACGCGGCGACGTCCTCCGGCTCGAAGGCGAACCTGCGGTTTGGTTTGCCTGCTTTAACTGGCCGACTGAGGTGTTTAGTGACCGTGGCTTTGACCCCCACGGCGAAGTCAATAGGAACACACTACGCCGCCGGCTGTAAGGCCGAATGGTTCCGAATGGTTCTAATAAGCAGTCAAGCCTTATCTTGTCAGCCGGAGGAGTTTATTGGCCGTGCAAAAGGGACCGAGTAGGAAGGCACGCTGAATATTCCAGCGTGCCTTATCTTAATTTTAATAAAATTAATAATAGTAAATTATTATAAGTTCTAAATAAATGCGTCGCATTTATTATATACGTCGAATTTAAAATTGATACATATATAATTTAAAATAGTATACTTTAAACACTTCGAAATTAACTCACCTGGCCCCCTCCAAAGTAGAGTAGGGCGTCCTCTTCTTCCCACCGAGCGTGGGTGTGTCTTGGAAGTCGTTTTCGAAGGGCGAGGTGTGGTCGCGCTCCCTAGGCGAGAAGTCGTTGGAGAAGCGGTAGTCCCTGCGCGGGCGGTCGTCGCGCCTGCTCCTGCGGCGGGAGTCGCGTGAGTGAGTCGCGGGAGTCACGCGAGTCGCGCGTGTCACGGCCCGTGTCGCGGCCAGAGTCGCGCGAGTCACGGCCTGAGTCGCGCGGGTCACGGCCTGAGTCACGCGGGTCACGCGAGTCTCGCGAGTCACGACCGGAGTCGCGCGGGTCACGCGGGTCACGGACGGAGTCGCGCGAGTCACGGTCGGCATCGCGGCGGGACGCGCTCGTCGTAGACCGACGACCCGGCCACCCTAAGGTCGATCCATATCTGGAAAAGTATTATTTACTCTTATATTTGTTGTGCCTTAATAGCACATTGTCCGGGCGCTCGCTTTTAATTCAATATACTCGAGCGAGTTGCCGATGCCGGCACCAATGACATTGTTTATTTTAAGTGCTGACTTATCACGAGCTCAGCGTTGAGGACTAACTTCGTGAAGAAACCAGCATTATTTTGTAGTGTGTACTCATGTACGCACGTAAAAAGTTATACTTTTTTTAGTGTTACAGAACAAACCAATCAACAAACCAACTTCATGATGTCGCTTTTTGTCAATCTCGTTTTTTGCAAAGGGGCCAAAAGAAGTATAATTTCAAAAGAAATCGAATTTATTATGTCGTCGTCGTTACGTCGGCTTGGCAATCATCGTTTATGTTTCTCAATTTGTCTGTGTTAAATGAAATAAATTTAATGTGGCACCTGCGGTCGTTTGGATCTTCGCTTTGCCTCATCTCCTGTCGTCGTCTGCTCTCGCGCCAACCTAGCGAGCCGTAGTTTCTCTCTAGGAAACAATCAAACAATCTTTCAAATTGGCAAGTAGGTAATTTAAGAAGCTTTATGGAGACATGTACATCTATTTTTAAACACTTAAAAGCTTGTTTGTGCAATTTCACGCACCATTTTGCATTTATCTATTGCTTACATATACAAAGGCATTTCTTTTTTACCTTACTACTCATATTAAGTTAAAGTTATGAGATGAAACTCGCGTTTATGCAAACCTCCTTTCTATTTATTGCCTTTGCCATCACTCTTTAAATACCAACATAAAAACTTAATTATAACAACTTCTTCATATTAATGTACCGTCTCTCCGCCAACGCTCGGGCCAGCGTTCCCTGGGCGAAGACCTGCCAGAACCGCATCCGTCGCTGTACTGCAACAGAACATTCATCATCAAAGGTATAATTAGAAATAATAATGATAATAATAATACTTTTGGAAACGTTACAAACTTTTTTTAATAATAAAAGTAATCGTTGGTGATGATTCTCTCTACCCAGTTACTGAAACACTGATCTTCGTAGATGTTAACTAATCAGCTGTCAAATGGCTTTTCAAATGTTATTTGATTTTCCAAAAGTATTGTTAACTCTCTGAATTGATCAAAGGATCTTCTTAATGATCAGAATGATCAATTCAAAGAGTTTAACAATCAGTGTTTCAGAAACCAGCCATGAAGGTAGAGAAAATCATAACCAACGATAACTTTTAACTTTTATCCTAAATACACCCTGGATCTCTAGACACCCTGGATACAGTATCCAGGACTTATTTTGCAACCCTTATTGATAAAGATAATATTATAGAATCTTAATTATGGTAGGGCCACGCAACAGTTACGGCTGTTTCACGAATGGGCAGGTCCGTCCGGGGAAGTACCTCGACCTTACTGAAGACCGGCGAGAGGTGAAAGTGTTATTCTTCTGAGTTTAGTCTGGTGATTGAGGTAGCCGGAGCCCACTTTATAAAAGGAGGCAACGCATCCGCAACCCTACGCTTGTTGCAAGAACATTTACTGATGAACATTTGTAACGAGAGATGTCGCCTTTGCTCTTAATTTTTTTTGGATTTACTACTATTTTTGGTCCTTGCCTCTGTTATAAAAAACTTTTTAAGTTTCATCTTGAGTCTTCATAGAAATCTGTTAAGTTTTTAGTTGCTTATTCGAAACTTACTCTTCATCCTCGTCGTAAGAATGTCTGGCCTTTCTGTGCCTGTCTCTTTCTTTCTCTCTATAGTCCTTCGAAGGTCTCTCCCTGCTGCGCGAGTCCCTGTAATCTCTCTCTCTACTGTAAGTCCTCGTCCTGTCCCAGGCGTCGGAATCTCTGTCTCTACTCCTACGGTCGCGCCTGTGCTCTCTATGGTCCCTCTCTTTGCTGACGTCGCGTCGGTCCCTCCCGCTGCCAGAGTCCCGCCTGTCTCTAGCCGACTCCCTGCTATCTCTACTTATATCTCTCTCTCTATCTCTCGTCCTTTCTCTCTTGTCACGGACTTTTTCCATTTCACGTCCGCTGCCCGAATCCATACACTCCCTTGAGCCTGACGAGTTTTGCCTGTAAAAGTAATAATTTTTTTTTCTTCGACGTATTTTTTTATATTTGATAATATTAAATTACTTGTTTCAATTAAATTGTGAAAGCTGCAATTGAGATTATCGAGAGATATTTTGTGGTAATTAACCCAAAAATTTCATTTTACTACATTTTGACGGTTGTTCAAATGAAATAAATTAAAAATCGAACCTGGAGTCCCTCTCACGGTGACGGGACGTGGGCCGTTGTAGGCGCGTCGAAGGCGGAGGCTCCTCATCCCACGGGGAAACATCGCGCGATGACGATGAAGTTTGTACTGGAATGTCATACAAATTATATTATTGCTAGCACATTAATAACAAAAGTAAAACATTTTTAGCAAAAAAAACCGATATTAAGTATCTCACTCACTACACATTTTCTATTTGATTTTCAGAAGTTCCCTGATGTACCCCTGGAGTCCAAGGCCCGATATCAATGAAACTAATATGGGACCACATGGATACTAAACTAAATCCAAAGCAGCAGTAATATTTAGAATCGGTTCCCAATTGATAAAACTATGTTCATGAAAAAAAAAAATTAAAAAAAATTAAACCGAATTAAGAACCTATTCCTTTTTTGAAGCCTGTTGATAAAAACGCCCGAGTAAAATCGAGAGAAAAGGTTAACTTAACCTTTGCTTTGGACTCGTAATGGAACTACAAAATACTTAATTACAATGAAACTATTTTCACATATCCGAATAAAGACGTTGTTCACGACTGTGTGGGACGAACGAATTTAGAGTGAGCGTGTCTTCGATTCCTACATGGGACAAGTAATTGTGTAACTCAGAGATAGTTATCCCGGTCCTAGCTTATTCCCAACGAGGGTTGATGTCGGCAGGCGGCCGATCGTAAAAACCTAGCCAACCATTAACAACATGGTTCTGACGCCACCTAAGTGGGATATGGGTCAGAGAGAGGAGAAGAATAAGTGTTGTGTGTCATATACAGGTAGTATGAGGTGGTACCGATGTGGGTGTGGGTGCGTGAATCGTGGTGGTGGTGGCGGCGGCGGGTGCGCGTGTGGGGCTCCGATTCGCGCGAGTCCGAGGACCAGGGCGAGACGCCGGCGCCCCCGAGCACCGCCCATCGGCCCGCGCTCGCCGCGCCCCCGGCCGCGCCCGCCGCCCCCATTGAGCCCATCGCCCCCGTTGAGCCCAACGCCCCCATTGAGCCCATCGCCCCCATCGAGCTCATAGCCCCCATCGAGCCCATCGATCCCATGGCCCCCACCGCCGTCGACGACACGCCGAGCACTCCCGCACCCTTCTCTGTGGACATGTTACGATTACATCATAAACAAAGCTAGAGAACTCACAAAGATTTATTTATATGTATGCACTGTTTTTCTTCGTGTTTTTCGCACGTGGTTTTCAAAATGAATTTATACTATGAAAATATTTTAATAGAAATTAATTCTTTAGTTTTAAGGAACAATAAGAAGATTTATTTCAGCGAATGTGATAGAAAAAACCTATGAAGTTCATCATAACCAACTTTAGAAAATCTTTATAGACGTTGCAGGAATAACACTAGTACATTTGTGCGGAAAATTTACTAAATAAACAATGTAAGAATTCGAGTAAATGAATAGGAATTCAATATAAATTTTACGTGCATATGCACATTAGGCTAAATTCCCACACACACACACACACACACACCTACACACACGCAAGCACGAACACACACATGCACGTACACACATATACATAAAATCCCAATATCTATCTACACGTCCGTACATTTACTTTTTACTGCGCTGTTCTTCAGTGTGTCGCTTATCCGATATACGGTTTCCAGCCCTCTGTACAGATATTTTTACTTACTTAATTGTTATAAAACGTAATGTAAACACACCTTTAGTCTCCGGGGACGATCCGCTGGCGACGTCGCTGATGGAACCAGCCGAGAGGCGGACGGGAGCTTGTATCTCCCTCACGGCCATCGTCTCCAGGGGCGACTCCTTCTTCTCTTCCGCTCTCCTCTCGTCCTCCTTCTCCTTCACGATCGGGCTCTTCCTGAACGCGTCCTCCACGTGGGCGAAGGACAGCGAGCTGTTGTCTATGCAGTCGAAGAAGTCCGAGTTGTCGAAGCCGTCGGACCTCTCGTCGGATTTCTTCCTCTCCTTCACCACCTCAGCCGGAATGGACTCGAAGTCGTCCTGCTGCGGCTCCGTGATCGTTATCTCCCTCAATGCCGCGTACCTGTGTACAGACTTTGAGATGTGTACACACTATGCGTTGTAAACAGATTGTGTACAGATTCTGTACACAATCTGCTTACAAATACCTTGGGCATATTTCACGAAGACAACCTTGAGCGTTTGATAGTGTTAGGGAAAATAGAGGGTGAAAGACCTAGAGGCCATACTCCTAAACGGTGGGCGGATCAAATTACAAAAAACCTGGAAATCGCCATAAGCGCCGCACTCCACCTGGTGGCGATGGTGCGAAACCGATGGAGACAGCTCGTCAACCGAGAAAATATAAGTCACGATCCTCAGCAGCGAGGGAACGACTAATGCCGGTTCCTATATTTAATGAACTGATGACTATGTAACTAACGGCCGTTCGTTGAATATAGGAACCGGGCATAAGAAGGAGCCGCGTACCTGTCGTTCTCCTCTCTGAAGTCATCGCCTTCTCTGGGGGAGACGCTGCGCCTGGCGGTGTCGCCAACCTGGAGGCTCGTCAGGGCCGTCTTCATGTCCTCTATCTTCGCGTCGACCGTTGGCTTGGGGCTGACCGAGGTGCGGAACATGTTGAACGTGTCGAGCGTGAGCTCGTCGAGCGTTTTGAGCGGGCTGGGCACCGGAGCCGGCGCCTCCTTCTTCTCCAGCTCTTTGCTCTGCAGCAGGTCCCGTGGCGCCCCTGGCCCCTCCTCGTTCTCCGTCGGCTTCGTTTCCACCGGGTCGAGGATGGACCTCGCCTGCAAAATCATATTAATCGACATAGGAAACGTACATGACATAAATAGATAGTATTTTTTTTTTGTTTTAAATCTACCACCGTTTCGTAATGAGGTTCCCCTAACGAATAAGAAACAGGCGAAAGAAACTCCATATGTATCCGATTTTTACTCATTTTTTTTTCTCCATCAAAACGTTAAAATATTATACAACTGATTTCTATTCTTTTAGAAATATCATATCACAGCTTGGGAGCGACCAACTCATTCCCAAGGGTTACCGTTATCATTGTTTATATAACATTATTTATGTCTAGAATTTAATTAAAAAAAATGGGTACACTTAGAAAAGCCTCCCCGTATATTACACCGCCCCGTGAACGAGTCACTTACTCTAAGGGTCTAGTAACTTGCCTTGAGCTCCTGCGCCTGGATCTCCCTGAACACCGCGTATCTGTCGTAGGAGGGGTTCGCCTTCCTATCGAAGTCCTCGAAGTCCGCCACGAACGTGTCGCCGCTCTCCGGCGCGAAGTTGTCCTCGAACTGCGGCTGGGAGCGAGGCGTATTTATCGTGACAGTTAATTATAACAGGTTTGTGAAACACTGGTCGTCGTAGATGTAAACTAATCGGATGTCAAATGGCTTTCCAAATGGTTAAACTCTATGAATTTACCAGAATGATCTTAATGATCAGAATGATCAATTCAAAGGGTTTAACCATCCTTTATGCAACTAAAACGAAATTTGAAAAGCCATTTGATAGCTTTTTTTGGTATACACCTACGATGATCAGTATTTCAGAAACCGGTTGTAAACCCGTTAAAAACATAAATAACAGTTCCTGTTCGGGCACAGTGTTCTTTAATGCAGTGTCACAAGCTTTTATCTATTCATTATTACGATTGTTACCTTAGTTAGAAAGAGTGAAATGTTACACCCCGTCACGGTTGTTACCGACATTTTTCACTATCACAAGCTCTTTCTTTGTCTTGCATAGGTCAAATACCTTTATTAGAAAGGTAGGCCCGTGCTTCCCTTTCTAACAAAGGTATTTGACCTATGTCCGTACATGCAGTATGATAATTTCTTTTACGCGTCACCATGTTCGTACATCCGAAGTACATACATAAACAAATAACAAGACAGCCTTAATATACTAGCCATACATAGTATATTACTTTATGGTAAGTTACATAAACTGTGACAACATAGCATGAAATAAGAGGCTGTTATTTCGTAATGGGTATTTGTAACAGTATTATGGTAGGGTTAAGTAACAGGAACAGGCATAACAGGTTTAACCTAGTTAGTTTAACCTAGCTAGGTAGAACCCGATTTAACCTAGTTTAACTCACTCCTAACTGGGGTTTTAGGTCGGCGGTTATCGAGGCGAGTGACAGCGGCCCCTTTTCAGTGGGTGGGGCGATAGTAGGGGTGGTCCTCTCCTTCTCCACCCGCGTGCTTGGATCGACGTGAATGTGCTGGAATCGAATGAAAGCAAACGTTTTATTTTACAATGAAAACTAATTTCGTTGCTTATAATGCAATACAAGTTTCATTTTTAAAAGTCTGTTGAAAAAGAAATTAATTCTAGATCTAAAGGTATCTTGAGTTGCATAAGATTATAAATGGCTAATTTTTGGACATGGTTAAGGCATTATCCCATTATTATATACTAATTATATAAAATAAAATAGCCTTTATTACTACTACAAATTTCAGATTTTTATTTTAATTAATATTAATCTATTTACAGTAGTTGTTATGAGAATTATATAATATACCTTAAGTTTTTTCGGTTAAATGCAAATCACATTTAAATGTAGAATAATGTTGTTCGAAAAATCGTTAATTTCAAATTATTAAATAATCAAACAATCTAGACCGGATTTTCAATTTGCCTCACCATCCTTTCATTGTCAGCCGCTAAATACGACCTGAGGTACTCCGTTAATTGTGGTAGCGTCATAGAAGAAAGGGTCGCAGCCGGCACGCGGAGTCTGCAAGTAAAACGTACGGTCAAGCCTAGAAAAAGTACAACAGTTCTTAGATTTTTTCACAATTAACGATAGCTTTAAAAAACAAATAAAAAACACTAAAGTCTCGGTTTCTGACACACTGATTATATTAGAAATTAACTAATCTCAAATGTCGCTGTCAAATGGCTTTTCATATGTCATTCTGATCATTAAGATCATTTCGATCAATTCAGAAAGCCATTATTAAGAAGAAGAAGAAGAAGATCAATTCAGTGAGTTTAGCCATCCTTTTGGCAACTTAAATGACATTTGAAAAGCCATTTGACAGCTGATTAGTTAATTTATACCATGATCAGTGTTTCAGAAACCAGGCGAAATTGTTCTATTTAAGTTCTACCGGTATAGGACTTGAGTTTACTTAGAAAGTTGTTATTAATAACCTCTTCACCACACGAAACACAAAAGTATAAATGATCCGATGTCTATCCTTCTGTAAAAAAGCTAATCGAGGAGCTTTTCCGAATTAGCCAGACCATTCATGACAAACTGACCACTTCTTGTCACGTGGCCACTAAGAGTGCTAGCTTTTATAACAATTCATATATCTTAGAAACACACTCCGCTTAAATATTGTTTTTTTAGTATTTTTCAATCGACTTCAAAAAAGGTTCTCAATTCGATTGTATTTTTTTTTACGTTTGTTATTTCAGAACTTTTGGTTGAGTGAACTGATTTTTATTTGAAAGCAGGTGCTTCCCATGTGGTCCCATAATAATTTCATTGGTATTGGATATTGGCTTTCGGAGATATGCAGGGAATTATGAAATGAATAGAGTGAGATATTTGAAGTCTGTTGTTTTGTTTTCCGTTAATAAAAAATTGACTTGTTTTTATAGCAGCAACAGATATACGTCATCTGTGAAAATTTCAACTGTCTAACTATCACGGTTCGTGAGATACAGCCTGGTGGCAGGCGGAATAGGGTCCCGTTTTGCACTTTGGGTACCATGGAACCCTAAAAAATTGAAGCACGTTTCACATTCCCGTGTGGGAATCGATCCCGCGACCCGGGCGTCAAAGCCGACCCTACGGCCACTGCGCCACGGAGCTGCGGCCCTCACCTGGCCGCCAGCTCATCCATTGTGCAGGTGAGCAGCTGGCTGAGGGTGATGTCGAAGCGGCGGGCTGCGGGCAGGGGCGGCGGCACCGGCGTCAGGTACTCCTCCTCGCTGCTGTTGGTGGCGGCCGACGAGAGCCGCGGCTTGGTGCTGCGGTCCGCCTGGAGCAACGAACGACCATTTTATTTGGACACGCGCTTGTGTTGTTTTTGGATGGCACGGCGGTCCAAATACCGGTGGTTATATCCTTATTATTTGGACACGCCCTTGTGTCGCTTTCGAATGGCACGGTGAGCCAAAGACGGTAGTTACGACGTTTTATTCGTCGGAATCTTCGTTACACGTGTAGGTATAGTTTGTGTTCTAGCGCGCCTCGCTTTGAGGGGTGTCGCTCGGTAGGGTTTTAGTCAGTGCAAGTCCGTCATAACCTCACCTTGCTCCCGTAGTGGGAGGGGGAGGTGTATGCTAAAGGACTTTCCTCCTTCACTGCTTTTGATGGCGGTCAAAAAGGCTGAAGGTCATACGGTCACCGATTGATTGATTGACATTTGACAATAGCGGTGGTGTAACTCTGTAATGGTCATAACCGAACGGCGCTTCTTCCTGTCGTTTTAACTTTAACCCGCAATTGTGCTGTGGAACGGGATTCTGGCTCTACTCAAGTGATTAAAGGACGGCCCCATACAACAGTCGCTTCAAGTTGGCATCTTTAAATCTGAGCCATACGCCACTTACCAGGGGTTCCCTTTTCCTCGCAGGGCGTGGCAGCGGCGGCCCCGCTTCTGCTGCCTCGTCCGTCTCCGGCTGGAGGTCGCGGTCGTGGTCGTGGTCGTGGTCGAGGCTCCGGTCGTGGTCGAAATTCGAGCTCGCCAGCGCCAGTACCAAAGGCACCTCGCCCGGCTTCTTCGGCGGCAGCGGCGGCGGTGAAACGCCTGCCAGCTTCGAGCTCGGCTGCGGCCGCTGGCGGACCGCGCTCGTGTCCGTCATCTGAGACAATTTAGCCCTTATCCGTCAGACGGCAAGGTCGAAAACCGTATGGTGCGTCTAGTCGCGCGCGACACTACATTATTGCATTAAACGATAAGAGGCTTCATCCTGAAGGTAATGTGTTAACGCCTGTTGCAATTTAGCAGCAAACTTACGTGCATTAGGATAGTTGTAATTTTATGTAAAGTAAATAGAAGTTATGTTTTCCTGTCTACCAAATTATATTAGTTAGCTTCATTACGCTTTCGCATTATACGCCTTCACCGCGCTAACTTTTATTTCTTAAAGTCCGGCAATTTTCTCACAAATTGAACTGTGTCGATAAAAATAAGCCTAATAAATTGAAAAAGGATGACGACAGCGCCCTCTACTCTGAAATATGCTCTGGCGCTGTCATGGACAGAGAAGAGTTCACTGATCGAACCTGTCTCTGGAGTCTGGGCGATTTGGGCGACGGCTCCGGCGGCAGGGTGACCTGGAGCGGCCCGTTGAACACCTTCCTCGCTACTTCGGCGACCAGCGCCGCCTCCGGCCTGTCCGGCTCTATGGGCCTCGTGGGCTCCTCGAAGCGCGCCAGCGGCTGCGGCTCCTGGACACTGGCGAACGGGTCGTCCTTGAACGTGTCCGAGAACGGGTCCGTGTTATCAAAGGGATCCGTCTCCGCGAAGGGGTCCGACGCGAAGAGCGGCTGCGGCTGCTTTGCGACCGCCACGGAGCCGCCCGAGTGGCGGCTGAGTGACGTCATCGTGGTCGCCGCCCCGTAGCCCTCCGCCCCCGGCGGCCCTATATCGGTTAGTAGCGTGCGCGCGCTCGGCACGAGGTCTTTGAGCACTTTCTTTGGCGGATTTTTGAGCTCCTGAAAGAAGAGTTTCTTGTCAACGTACGGCCTACTCCGGCCGGTGCCGAGGGGGTCTAGTTCGGTGAATACGTCGCGTTCGAGCGGCGGGGCCGTGGACGCCGCGGCCCGGGTCACCTGCAACACGGGCATTCTCGTGACAATCCTGCTCGCTCCCGGGGCAGGGGCTACGACAGAACGGGGCGACGGGCGACAGGCGACAGGCGACAGGCGAGCTATGTCAGCGATTCGGAGTTGGCATGCTTCGACTAAAGCGGTTGGGCAGGGCGCCGTGTGTACCGCCATTCGCAGTCTGGTGTAAGCGTGGGCTTCGTTAGAATACAAAGGGAAGGGGGAGTAATAAATATGTACACAATGTTCCATTCGGCATTCGACATTCACCTAGTCTGTTGGCAGCGTTACAGTGCTCATTATATTTAGTAAGCATCGGACGGACATTTCGACTAGTTAACCTAAGTTCTAATCATGCGACTCGTTCCATTACGTGTAGCGAGAAGAAACAGATGCGCAAGTCTTATTCAGATGAATTCGTTCAGTTCGTAAGATTAAAACCATGTCAAGCTTGTTCCTAAATAAATGATTGCACCAACGCGCTTATTGTTTTCAAATTACCATTTCAATAAAATATTTACATTTAGCCGCGTTCACACGCGCGATTTTTTGGATAAAATATTTCTGAAAAAACATTATTTCATGTTTTTCAAACAACGCGGTCGGAATGCGCAAACACAAGATCGCATCTATTTATTCCCTATCTAGACACAGAGAGTTACACACAGACTAGTGCGATGTAGGTGGGGTATGCGCACCTGCGGCTCTGTGAAACTGTCCACCAGCGGGGCGGGCTTGGGTTCGAAGTCGCCGGCGACCGCACTCAGGTCGAACGGCAGCGCCGGCGGCTTGGTGGGGCTGAATGCGGCCCTGGCAGGGGTACCCCGGCCGCGGCCCGACGCCCCGGGGGGAGGGGGGAGGAGACTCTTCTGCAAGCAGAATAGTAGCCTTCGAAGTTGTACCGCTTTTGGCGCGTTTGGGGAAAATTGTGAATTATTAGGATGCACGACAGCGACTTTATGGTGCTACCATGGTAAATGAGAAAAAGTTGTTATTTGTTGCGACCAATTGTGCGTGTAATGTCATTTTTTTTTACTCAAACAAAGAGCACTGTAAACCAAAAAAGAAGTCTGACGAATATTCTAATGAAAATCGGGCTGCAACTTGATATTCAGGACTTTCCCCAAACTTTGGTTTTTGTTTATTTGGATTTTTACTTAGACAATTTGATGGGATACGATCGATGCTAAATTAAAAAATAAAATTCAAATTTCGAACTCACCGGCGAAGGGGCCAGGAACGAGTCGCCGAAGGGGTCTGTAGAGGGCGTCAGCCCCTCCACTTGAGTGAGACCCCTCCTCAGCGAACATAGCTCCTGTTCAAGGTCAACGAGCTCCGCTACCCCTCCCTCAGCCCCGCTTTCGGAGCCCTTCGCTATCGCGCCCGTATCGGTCGACGATAGACTCTACGGAAGAAGATAAAACAAATTTAAAAATAGAATGCATGACACAACATTAACGAACATCTTTTTAGAGTTCCGTACCCAAAGGACAAAACGGGACCTTATTAACTCTCTAACGTCTGTCTGTCTGTCCGTCTGTCACTTGTATCTCATGAATCGTGATAGTTAAACAGTTGCAATTTTTTGCCGTTTTTATAGATAAAAAACGGAATGATATTCATTTTAGTAGCATTGTAGTGTTATTTAATTTGTTACTTTGTTTTTCTTTTATTGTTTTATATTACTGTTTAAGCAGCTATGCTTTGTATACACAAACTGCATACGCAGTGTCCGTCTGTACTGCAATACATGTTGTACTTTACCTGAGTTTATATTAATCTTATATGCTATTTACAAAAACATGTATTTTATGGATATACCTTAATAAATAAATAAATAAAGGAACTCTTCGTGAGCAAGTTCGACTCGCACTTGGTCGGTTTTTTTTTAATGGCTAGGCGTACGAGCTATCTATTCGCGTAACAGCAGCTGTTGCGTGGCCCTACCACAGCTAGCTCAGTTTGTCACAATTGTGCGTATTCGATTGGCTCGCCACGAACTGTGAGTTATAAGAGTGATCAAACGTGCACAACGTTAGTTATTCTTGTGTACTGTGTAACGAGGTTTACTTAGTAGTGGATCTCGTCGCTGAACTCTTATAGCACTGGCAGGAAATGTTCGATCGAAGTCTTATTAAATCAACCTCGACTAAATGAGTTTTTTAAGGAAAAAGTCTGTAGAGATGCTACGGTATTTTTAACATATTCTACTAAATTAATACGACCTAACAGCGGATATATTCCCAAACTGCCCTATAGTGTTATCGTCTGAAAGCCTTTGTATTGCATCTAACGAATTGAAGTGCATTGAATAACATATAAATCCGTTGATAAGTAAAATTTCGTTTCACCTGTAACAGTTATAACGCTTGTTTTGTAAAAAAAACCATAGCAAATTTCATCATTATCATCGAAGTCCGATTTCGTGTTTGTCCGACATCTGATGCACGATAGGAATGATAATTCCGAATGAATATACATATTTTTGTTAGACACAACCTTATTATGGGTTGGTCTATTTATCTTGTCTTAGTGACTGATGACCCTAGGGAGCAAACACCCAGATCTGGAACAAATATCTGTGGGTGATACAAACACTCGTCCCCTATGAGAATCGAACCCACGACCTAGACGGCAGATGCTATAAAAACTGCAGCATCGAGACACCTTATTCCTTTGCTTCTTGTAATTTTTAAGGAGAAGCTGGTAAATGAATAAGTGGTGTCTACACCTGGTGATTCATCGTCGCCGCCCTTAGACAATATAGGCAAAAGCGTTGCCAGCCTTAAAGGTAGATATTTTGTAGGTGTGCTAGTGGTATCGGTCCGGAAATAGTGCGGAGAATGATTGAACTGAGAGAAGAGAAGAGAAATGATTGATCTGTAAACTACCGAGGTGTTAACGGTGGGACATGGGGTTTTGTAGTGTTGTACGGCGGACAAACTCCGCGTATTAATCTGAACAATAAAAAAATGCAGAGACGCAACAACTATTCGCAAGGCTAAATGATCCAGGCGATCGGAGAGAACGTCTTCGTCGTTCAAAGTAGAGTAACTTAGATATTTATATATATGTAAAAATTTTGGACTAGTCTATAAATAACTTGGTCCAGTGTTTACGAACAGTTCTTGTTACCAAACAAAAGCAAGTAACGGGAACTTATGTAGAAAGTCTTGCGTAACATAAGTTTACAAATTAATATATAAATAATATCCTTGGGGGTAGGTAGAGACTTCAGTTCATCATTTGCACGATACTTGCAAATTATATCCGTTCCGAGCGGATACAGTAACTATTTCATAACTGTTCTGAATTCTCGCTATTGCTTGCAGCACGCCGCGGACGCGTAATTGTTTGTGTTTAAATATACGAACGCCTAAAACCTGCATAGTATTGTTTAAGTCATTGTGGAATAACGATCGCGATAGTAAACGAGCAATACGGTAGGTTAATCATTGAACGGTTATGTAAATAAGTTAACCTACTTGATTTTTAAGACGCTTAAAAACATTAACATTATGGTAATATTTTTGTATTACAAAACCCTAACAATCATGGCCATTTAAGTTAAAACGCTTCCCTATATTTGCTAACTACGTCCTTGTTAATAATTGGCTCCAATATCAAACCTGGAGATGAGTTGAATCATCATTGAAGCAATAATATCACCCCGACTAACAGAACTTAAATAGAAAAAGAAACCGCTCACCTTATCTCTATTAAAGAACGAGAATTTCGTCGATTGCAGCAGCCGCTTCTTGGACATATTTAAAAAGAACTAAATCGATGCGTTCAGGAAGACAGACAGTTTATGGCCTCCATTCTGGCACCATCCGTCGACTAGCCGCGGTCAGGAGCATAACTTTGCATCGATACAAATCACCGAAGCGCACAAACGAATTCGCGAACTGGTGTCGCACAGCTGATGCACGACTGCCGCTATTGGGGGCCGATTGTTTCGCTTACGTCATCGTGCAACGCGCGGCGCTTGCGTTCCGCCATCGAGCGGAGCCGTTGCGAGCGGTCAATGTATATCGAACCGTGCGGAAGGCTCGAAAACTTTGCGGGGCAAAACACGATACTAGTCACGCTCGAGAAATATGCCCATATATATTGACAGTATTTATCGACTAGATTGTTTGCCCACTGAGCTGTACATTACTGTATTGTCCGTACAAATGACACAACGCATGTATTATTGTTACGTTTCATTGTTTTGATATGGACATTTCATTGCCGATTCATGAGCATAATTAAACATAAGCAACCTCGCAACCACGAACGAGTACGAGGTTGAGGATACGCTACACCTACAAAATTATTCTTAATTCTAATACATTGTCAATACTTACACTGTATATGTTTGAACGTGGCGATAAAACTAACGCATTAAAATTCTTTTAAACAAGTTTTACATACATCTAGGATAGAACTTGGAAAAGATTGAGGAAAATAATTGAATTAATACTAATTCAAATACTCCACGGAGCTGTGACAATTTTTTACAGAATGTACTCTTTCGTATTGAGCTCTCTAAGCAGAACCAGCTTATCGCCCGTTTAGAAAGTATTAATTATATTGAACTGAATTATACTGAACTGTGAAATGAAATTAGTCAAGGGCTTCACGATTCCAAACTTCGACTACTGAGCTGCCACATAACTGAAGCAGAATACCGTACAGAAATAGGCCGATTTGCTATGACCCATGACCTGTTATGGCATTATCCTACACATTATGCCGATGGGTTTTATCTGCGCGGGTACGTACCCACTACGGCATCCGCCGGCATTATCAGTACTTAATGCAGAGCATAATTTCGCGAACCAAACTGGGCTGGGGCGATCCCGGCGGCTCTAACAATCGTCGGGAATGCCGCTGGGCTTATTGGTGGCTTACCAGACCGGCATAGTGTGCAGAAGCCATTAGAGACAGAAGAACTAACTGTGGTAGGACCACGAAACTTGTTCGCTGTTGCACGAATGGGCAGGTCTGTCCGGGTTAGTACCACGACCTCACTGAAGACCGGCGTAAATTAGAAGTGTTACACTTCTGCCTTTCGTCTGGTGAGTGAGGTAGCCGGGGCCCACTTTATTAAAAGGTGGCAACGTATCTGCAACCCTACGGGTGTTGCAAATGTCCATGGGCGGTGGATATCACTTAACATCAAGTGAATCGCCACTTTGTCATATAAAAAAATAAAGACTCGATTTAGGTAATTAGTTGTTTTAGTGTTACCTTGGGCTTTGTCTCTGTGGCAGTGCTGGTGTGGCGGATGAGGCTGTTCGTGACGGTTTTCCCCTCGAGCTGCTGCTTCGCAATCTCCACTTCCTTCTTCTTCAGCTCGAACACCACTTGGAACAGGTCCCGCATCGCTATCACCACCTGAGGACCGGCGCGGAACTCTTCTTCAAACGGATCACGAGCTTATCAGTTACTTTAAAAAAAAACATTGCCCTTACTATAGCATAACATTGACCTGTGTTGTAAGGACGTTTTACACATAAAAAATCAAGAAATAATTGTCTGTGGGTTATGGAATTAGTTGCCTCACGTGGGAATAGACTCCCGGCGCCGAATCAGTATCTTGGCAGCAGTAATCAGTATCGTTACATCGTCTAAAGACTTCAGAGCGGTACTCAGCTTAGTTTGAGAATGTGGCAGATTCGTGTGACGTAAAGCAATTCACTCGAATAAGGTAAAATAGCTCTATTTATTGCCCTATGTTAGGTGGTCACCACCGTCCGTCATAGGTAGTGTGTAATGTATAAAATAATATTAGGACAATAACTACATATAATAACAATAGACAGAATGGCGCATTTAAATTGCGACAAACGTTGTCTCTCTTCAAAGACCAATTTAATATTTTATAATTCATTTAATCATGTCTCGAACATTTTTAGTTAGCTTTGAAGTAATCTAATGCAAACAACGCCGTCACCGGATCGGGATGTTTCGTTATAACTTAATTGTACTTTATGTCTTACATGGGTGGCATGACAGTGTGAGTTAAGGTGATAAGTAGGGTGTCTGTATCAATGTTTATTCGGGTATTAAAACGAATTAAACACTCTTCTCTACGTGATAGATATAGGGATCGCGCTGAAGACATCCGCAGTAGAACAAAGGTTGCCGGCGTAGCTCAGAAGATGAATAAGATGAAGTGGCAATTGGCCAGCCATATAGCTCGAAGAATCGATAACGAACGATTCTCGTGTGGCAGCCTCGTATAGGCCATCGTAGTGTATGACCACAGACTAGATGGAGTGACGATTAGTGCACGTGTGCGGGAAGTGGATGAATGGACAGGTTTCAGTAGTAGGGCCTGTGGGAGTTCAACAGTGGATTGGAACAAGCTGAAATGATGAAATACTGTTATCAACTACTCACTTGACTGGCCGCTTTGTCGGTCTTGATGCCGAAGAAACGGTGCCCCGTGTCCGGGGAGCCGAAGATGTAACCAAACGCCCTGGAATCGGTCATGTCCTGCGCGATGAACGATATCTTGTGCACCGGGTGGTGGTACAAGGAGTCCTGCAAAGGTTCAACCGAGATATCAACACGCGTACTCTCTTACCGTCGCCGTTCAGTGCGAGTTATTCGACGACAGATGGCGTTATTTATGCATGGGAATTATTAATTTTCCATAAGTTCTTCTTCTTCTTCTTAATAAACAAAAATTAATGTTGGTAAGCGCATAACTCAAGAATGGCTGGACCCATTCTGCTAATTTATTTTTTGGATGTTCCTTAAAGTCCACGGAAAGTTTTAATACTATAAAAAAAAAGAACGAAGTCTGACCGGACAGCTAGTCATATTATATTTATACATGAAGCGAAAAATTTGAATTCGCAGACATTTAGGACAGTTAATACTCTCAGTTATATACCCTCCTCCACTTCCTAACTAGCAACACCATATAACTACCGCTAGATGGGAAACGTACTAAAATAACTACTGATTTTCGCCTTATACAAGACGTTAAGAATTCAACTATAAGAAGACTTCTACGTCTAAAAGATTACGAACTTTATTGTGCTTCACAGTGATGGCGTAATGGGCTTCACTTATCAATGACAATACGTCATGTCTCAAACTCATGTATTGCTACTGATGTTTGTGGTTTTCTTTTCCAAATGGGAAACTCACTTATTGATTGTCAAAATACTGGCAGTATTTTGACAATCAATAAGTGAGTTTAATGCTCCTATGTTGAATAAAGATATTTGAATTGCCGAAATGTGTGAGTTCGGATGGAAGTAAAGTCGGTTAGAATATGAATATTTAAATTTTTACGGCGCTAACATATACACTTTTGATGAAATATTAAAATTAGTAGAAAAACATTGACAATATGATTTTCGCCGCTGCGGGAATCGTACCCACGTGTTCTGGATGTATTTTTCGTCTATTTTTTATACAAATTTAAATATAAATAACTTTTTGAGAAAGAGTGCCAAATTAATTATATAAATTTCTTTCACTGTCTAATACATTATCGGATAGCTATTTGTGCAATAAAAATGTAGCAGTTCATAAACTAAATATTTTTAAGATATCAAATGAGCACTAGTTTGGATGACGCTCGTGACATGTACACACTGTTATCGTGGAAGTTATATATTCACCTATTAGCGAAGTTCCTCAATTTGACGTGAGTTGCAAGGTCGTCTTGACATTGTCATAACATGTTATATCATGACTAAGTCATGATCAAGCTCTGTATAACTTGGTTTCCAGCAGTCTAGAACGGAACTTTGTAAAAGGAATATGTGTAAAAAGTTTCATGTTAATGAGTTGGGTACTTTTGGCGTGAAACCATAACCAACAAACTTACATTCACATTTATAATATTATAATAATAAGTACGGATAACTAGCGATGTAGAATTATGACTTTTTGAAAAATCATTGATTTCGACTGGATTGTGTTGAATCTGGTTATTTATTTATTTTTTATTTTATGCGAAAAGTTGTCAAACGAGCACATGGTTCACCTGATGTTAAGTGAATACCGCCACCCATGGACATCTGCCACACCCGAAGGTTACAGATGCGTTGACAACCTTTTGAAAATTGGGCTCCGGTTACCTCACTCACCAGACGAAACGCGAAAGTATTTGTCATACTTCTACTTTACGCTGGTCTTCTGTGAGGTCGTGGTACTTACCCGGACGGGCCTGCCCATTCGTGCAACAGCCGAGGCTGCAGCGTGGCCCTACCACCGTTGAACAGGTATTGTTAAAATATAACATCAACGGGACCCAACAAATACTGAGCTGCCGAAATCCGTTATGCAAAGATGCTAAATTTGTTTGTTTAAGTATAATATAATATAGCTGACCCGTCTGCTCGCGTGCATTCACTCATTTTCCCAAAAATAAAATATTTGCTCAACCGATTTATTCCTCTTTCTTCCAGCTATAAATTCCAGACGTTTCGAGCGTAAGCAATACATTCTTGATATTTTCACGGAATCTTGTTAAATATTCCGTGTAATATCGTTGTACTTTGTGCTTCGTGTACGTAATTACAAAGCTCACCGACACACAACACGTTTCCCTTAAATAATTGAGGCTTGCCCTCAAACGCTCACGGAATACCGTCAAAAGGAATCGACATTACGTGAAGAGTAAACAGAAACGTTTCTCGGACTTTGTTTGGACGTTTATTATGATACAATACTTGACCCCTGACGTTGGACATTGAAATAAAACGACTTGTATTCCATATGAATCGTCTCATTCGCCTTGACACCAGTGTATATGGTTCAACGTCTGCGAACAACCTTCTATTTATCTGTCGTTCAATTATAAAGATAGGCACACAGCCGGGTTTCTTTGTACGTCGATCGACATATATTACAGACGGTAAAACATCACGATCTTTTTTTACTTACATTTCAATACTACTATCTAATTTTTTAAGTAATAGTCTTTTTTATGGTGAGAAAGTGGCTAACGTGCTGGCGGTTCACCTGATGTTAAGTGATAACCGCCGCCCATGAACATTTGCAATACCCATAGATTACAGTTGCGTCGTCACCTTTTAATAAATTGGGCCCCGACTACCTCACTCACCAGACGAAACGCAGAAGTGTGAACACTTCTACTTCTCACCGCTCTTCTGAAAGGTCGTGGTACTAACCTGACCTGCCGTTGGTGCAACAGCGAACAGTGTTGTGTGGCCCTACCACATTTAAGTCTTCCAAATTGCCATCAGTCGAAATTGGACGGAAAACAATGCATATTTTATTTTATGCATTTGTAAGTTATATTGCTTACAATTTATAGCTTATATGTAAAGTTTAATTATACCAAATCTCCCCACTCTTCCACACGCGTAATATACTTAAAATCAATTCAAAAGTTTTTGGTTCACTGGTTTGATATAAAGTGTTAGATATTATATATAACTTCGACTGTGTAGACCACGAAACCCTCCTTCAAAAGTTAGATTATTATGGCATTCGTGACATCGCCCTCAATCTCATTGCCTCTTACCTTAATAATAGAATTCAAAAAGTATCTATAAATGATGTAAATTCCACAGGGTCCCCCATGAAAATGGGTGTCCCACAAGGATCAATCTTGGGTCCATTATTATTCTTAGTGTATATAAATGATCTCCCCTTTTATGCCAGTGAGTTATGTGATATTGTACTGTTTGCTGACGACACATCGCTCATTTTTAAGGTTGACCGAAACGTGTCGGATTATGACGACGTGAATAGTGCACTTTCGCGTATCCTCCACTGGTTTACCGTTAATAATATGGTGTTAAATGCTAAAAAAACTAAATGCCTTCTTTTTACCCTTCCCAGCGTAAGAAGGCGAAGTTTTAGCTTAACATTAAATAGCGTAACCCTTAATCCCGTTGAGTCCGCTGTATTCTTGGGAATTACAGTGGATTCAAAGCTCCAATGGAGTCCCCATCTATCATCTCTTGCGAACAGGTTAAGCTCCGCTGTTTTTGCAGTTAGGAAGGTTAGGCAGCTATCAGACATCGACACTGCCAGACTTGTTTATTTCAGTTATTTCCACAGCATCTTGTCTTACGGCATTTTGTTGTGGGGTAGTGCATCTGATATAAATTCTATATTTATTCTTCAAAAAAGAGCTGTCCGAGCAATCTATAACATCGGAGCCCGGAATACACTCAGAGACCTTTTTTAAAGAGATTAATATACTCACTGTTGCGTCTCAATATATTTATTGTAATATTTTGTATGTTAAAAATAATATTAATAGTTATCTAAAGAATAGTGACAGACATAAACTAAATACTAGAAATAAGGACAAACTAACTACGCCATTGTTTCGTTTACAAAAAGTAAACAGGTCGTTCATGGGGCAAGGTGTGCGCATGTATAATAAAATCCCACAGTCGATATTAAGTCTGCCACTTGATGAATTTAAACGAAAAATTAAAAGTAAACTTATGGCTAAAGCCTATTATTCTATTGCTGAATATCTTGATGACGCCAATGTGTGGGGTTAATACTGTTGATACTCACGTAGGCTAAAACAAGACTATTGTACATGTACTATTATATTGTAAACTGTTTTTTTTTAAAAAAAGAGCAACTGTTGAGTTTCTTGCCGGTTTCTTCTCAACAGAAACTGCCTTCCGAACCGGTGGTAACTTACGAACGTGTTCATTTCTTGTAAAATTTTGACGTTTCATAAGAACGCGCAAGCGTCTATGTGAATAAAGATATTTTATTTATTTATTATAAAGATATTACATCGGCCTACAAAAATATATTTTACTCGATATAAGTGATTCACGCTGAACATGGAATCGATCGGACAAGCGTTAGGGTAAAGTTGCCATAAAAGGACGTTCTGACGTCACGAACGGTATGCCAATGAAATGAATAAATAGGAGATTACTCGAGGCCTCCCAAACTGTTTGTAAATATAAAAGCAAACAGAACTTCGGAAATCAATTACAATTCTGCCAAAGGTATTCTTTACGCGCTGTACAACGAAAGAATACAAATCAAGAGATCATCGGTTCGGCGAACTGTTTCCAAAAATATCAGTATTAAAACGCAACCGTGTCACCCATCATCTATTAAATGAACTTTTTTAGTCTACTGTTATCCCAAAGGTTTATCGGGATAACAATACACGACGACCTTATCCGAATACAACTATACCTGTCAAGTAGTTATTAAAAAAAAAAACGAATTAACATATCACTATCGAGTAACATTTCTAAAAAATAACAAAAAAACCGAGCCAAGATCTGTACGACACATGCTGCCAAATGAAATTAAGAATTAAATAAAATTTCCCCTTCAGACATGTAAACAATTTGTGCAAGTTGTGATTAACTTGGCACGGATTCAAAATCCACGTCGCGAATTTGATAGTTTAACTAGCGTCTATAACGTCCCCCGCCGACTGCTTATGTCGCGAAATAATTGCTATTACATTTCTCAAAGCCATAAAAAGTCCGCTACCAAAGAAAGCAAATTACTTTGGTGAGGATTATTAGATTTATTCGCGAATTTTTAATGGCATTCGTGGCATTGCCCTCAATCTCATTGCCTCTAACCTTAGTAATAGAATTCAAAAAGTATCTATAAATGATGTTAATTCCGCTGGGTCCCAGATGAATTATTTTTAGTTTATATTAATGATCTCCCCTTTTATGTCAGTGGGTTGTGTGATGTTGTACTGTTTGCTGACGATACATCGCTTATTTTTAAAGTTGACCGAAACGTATTAAATTATGACGACGTGAATAGTGCACTTTCACATATCCTCCACTGGTTCACTATTAATAATATTGTATTAAATGCCAAAAAACCCAGATGTATTCTTTTCACCCTTCCCAGTATAAGAAGGAAAAGTTTTAGTTTAATATTAAATAACGTACCCATTAATCCAGTTGAGTCTGCTGTATTTCTGGGAATTACAGTAGATTCAAAGCTCCAGCGGAGTCCCCATATATCATCTCTTGCGAATAGGCTGAGCTCCGCGGTTTTTGCGATTAGAAGGGTTAGGCAGCTAACAGACATCGACACTGCCAGACTTGTTTACTTTAGTTATTTTCACAGCATCTTGTCGTACGGCATTTTGTTGTGGGGTAGTGCATCAGACATAAATTCTATATTTATTCTTCAAAAAAGAGCTGTCCGAGCAATCTACAATATCGGAGCCCGGAATTCACTCAGATATCTTTTCAAAGAGGTTAATATACTCACTGTTGCTTCTCAATACATTTATTGTAATGTTTTGTAAATACGTCATAACCTTAATTATTACCTAAAGAATAGTGACAGACATAAAATAAACACTAGAAATAAGGACAAACTTACTACGCCATTGTTTCGTCTACAAAAAGTAAATAAGTCGTTCATGGGGCAAAGTGTGCGCATGTATAATAAAATCCCACAGTCGATATTAAGTCTGCCGCTTGACCAATTTAAATGTAAAATTAAAAATCAACTGATGATTAAAGCATATTATACCATTTCGGAATATCTCGACGACGCCAATGTGTGGAGTTAATACTGTTGATACTCACGTAGGCTAGAAAGGCGTATATTATATTGTACCCTGATATTTTTGAAAAAGAGCAACAGTTGAGTTTCTTGCCGGTCTCTTCTCAACAGAAACCGCTTTCCGAACCGGTGGTACCTTACGAACCTATACACATAATCTTTGATGTAAAATTTGACGATTCATAAGAGCGCGCAAGCGTCTATTTGAATAAATATATTTTTGATTTGATTTTGATTTGATTTGAATGCTAAAATCTCTAAGTTTTACTCACAAAAACCCTAATCAGTTCAAAAATACTAAGAATTAATTAATTTTTATCTTTAGAATGAACTATTTTGGGCAATGTATGACTTGCAAGAATTGCTATCAAGTAATCTAGTAGCGACACACATCATCTTCTGTTTCTGGACGAATGAGCATTAACGTCTGAAAAAGCACACAATTCCAGGGTGTTTGCATTTTGTCTAATTAATGAGACACTGATCAGTAAGATAGGTTCCGAGAACGCCGCCATTGCAGTGTATACACCCCAATAGTGCAAATGTGGAAGTCGATGGATGCGTTTGGCTCAGAAGAGCTTCGTAACAATGTAGACCTATGTCCAGCAGTGGACTAAAACAGGTTGAAATGATAATGATGTATGAGATAATCAAGATCCACTGTTATTAAAGTGGGCAAAAAATTGCAACCCATTGTTATAGATCCACAAACTGTCCGCGCAATCGCTTGACGCTGGTTGGAGTCTTTTTTTCTTATCTAAACAACGCTCGAACACGTACTGCGACTTTAGATTGCGATCGTAGAAGACATGATCAAGAATTCAGATTGTTACCAGTCTATTAAATTGTCTAACGGCCGGTTTTAATATTCTATCTGTAGATAGATTTGATTACATCATGACAGATATTTGACACTAAATCCATAATACTCACGTCAAAATTCTATCTCCAGTAACCGAATCTATCTGTAGATAGAATATAGAAACAGGTCGTTATTCGGTTTATTGACATCTAACAATCTTTTGTTTTGTTGAGTGTTTGTTCCTTGAAACTTTGGAACGGAGTTAGCTGATGAAGTGATTTTGCGAGTACGACACTTATCGTCACTTGAAACTTGACTATCCTAATTCAGACCTGGATACGGGATAAACGCTGTTAATTCTAGAGGTGTTTGTACCTGTCGATCAGTAGCCAACATTGTTAAATCTATATCTCGATATTTTCCATCTTAATACTACAGCTAACACGTTAACTTTAATAGTTTTTAAGACATCCTTATAAGCTACCAAAGATCCGCGCCCTTCGTTTTTGTGGGTAGGACATCATTTTAAAAGCTTCATAACATGTTGTATCTCAAGTTTGTTGTCTTACTTACTCTGGACCTGATCACATTGGCTTCTGACTGGGCCTCGTTAAAGGTGTCGCATTGCGACAGGCTGGTCGCGGCTCGCGGCTTGTAACCGGGCCTCGTGTTTAACGCTAGAAGCTTGTCGCCGCTCACCCCGGTCTTGTCGTCGCGCAGCCGGAGCCCGTCGATGGCCACGTGCACCTGGATCCGCTGCTTGTGCTCGCCGGCCGCCCGTATGGCCATCTTGAGGTCGGCCAGCGCCTCCTGGCACATGCGGTCCCCCCGGGCCTCGGGCACCTCCAGCACCCCGATCAGCTTCGCCCGGAACGAGACCCCCTCGCCGAGGAAGCGGCCAGGCTCGTTCTTGTCTGCGCCAAGAGCGTCACATCACAACGCGCACCCAATTCGCTTATCTGCGCGCACGTTACCTACTGACCATAATTATGAGGTCTTTGCGTTTGCGCGAACTAACTGGCCGGAAGGAAATCGTAAAAGCTAAACAATTTGATTCGTCCAAGTGAAATTGATCTCACGAGATACACCTGTACGCATTGTTGGGCGTTAGAAGGTACTTATCGATTTATTTAATGATAAAAATAAAGAAATTGACATCTATACATATTACGGTACTGAGCAATTACTTTTTACAATTACCGAAGAATTTGAACGCGCGTTTAAGTTTTGCGCAGCCTGTAAGTTGTTCCTAGGTTTTGCAGTAAAAATACGAGAATACTAATCATAAAAATAATACGACACGGAAAAAAATCTCGTTCACGAACTCGTTCCGTATAAAGACGACCTCGATTAAATAATCGCTTGTCGGAAACAATGTGTGGGTGATTGTACTCGAATTTGACCTCTGGTGATGTCGCACCGAAACGGTCGTTTTAAAATTATAATACTGCATCGACAAAATAAAAGAAACAGCGGAGAAACAGAGGTAATTTAATATTTCGTATGTGGAATAGGGGAAAGAAATATTAGACGACGAAAACAGACGAATCCGGTTCAATTCAATTCTATAGATAAAAGTGTGATGTCAATTCAGTTCTACGGACAGAAGTGTGAAACAGCGCGACATGATCAAGCAGTGTTAGTAAACAAACAAGCATTCTAAATTAAGCACGGGTAGAAGCCGAAGATGGGGAAGGCGATTTTTATTTACGAATCATATCACAATACCTTTGTTCAACAGGCACTTTGCTTCCGCCTTTTTTGGTGTCATTTCTTTTTTTTTTCTAAATACACGTGAAACGTTACGGGCGGCGGGCTAGAGCGCGAAATAAAAGTGAGCGCGATTTGTCCTATTTTGGTCGCTGTTTACGGTGCATCATTGCCCGTTTAATTGAATATCCTGTTTTTAAATTTAGTATCTCCTGAGCCGGGGAACGGTGTAATACCTGTAGTATACAGAAAATAATTCTGTGTACTATACATGGCCGTTTATATTTTTACGTTTAATATTGATATTAATTCAAGACGCACCGACGGACGTTGATACAACGACGCAGGTAAAATGGATCGCTTTAAAATTAATAGCAACTAAAAACAGCCAATGGAGTATTCACATAGGATTTGCAGTATGCGTTTAAGGGTATTGTAGTTTCCCGCTGAGAAAGTGGACCGGGCTAATAGACCATCGTAGTAACTGATTAATTACAACAAAATAGCAAAGGCACACGTCAGATTTAGAGATAAAATATTGGAGGTGCGAATCCCAAATTGTATTTTATTACATACTTCTTTAAACAACTGTCCCGAAAGATCTCCTAGGTAGACAAAGGGTTTAAAGGAATATATATAAATGTGTTAATAATAAAATCCTAATGAAAACTAAATATCAGATACATAGATGGAACAATGTTTATACGTATAAAGTCAAGCAAAGATTTTTTTATAGTTTTATACTCGAATTTACTGGTTGACAGTGCATTAATGCCGCCATGCTATTGGTATCATTATTAGTACCATAATTATGGAGAGTTGCTGGTATTTCAAAGGCAACAAACAAAAAATAAATTAAGTTTAAACTATTTCGAATCTTAATAACACACGGACGCGAAATAAGACGTAGCTCGTTATGTAATCAGATAAAACAAGATGGTATCGCGGCGACGTTTTCAATGTAAATAGGAGATTGGCGTCGCTTCTCCGCGATAACGATTTCGGTTCACTTCCCATTCCCATTGCGATGGCTTGTAAATCCCGCGTGCTGCATACTGTCCGCGGAAAGGTCAACGGACGGACTGATGAACGAAGCCGGATCAAGGTACCCGTGTACCATACAATTGAGGCAAACACCTACGTACAGTTCAATCGTACGGTTCATTGTGAAGTTGTTTCGCACTGACGCAACCCAATGTCACACGGAATGCAAACAAAAGCGGAGCGGAGCGGGAGGCGCTACGTTAACGCGTTGGCTACTCACCGAACTGCCGCAGCAGATGCTGGAAATGACACACCTGCATAGTTCGCTGTACAAACCGAATAACAAACTTCACCGCGCCGCGCCACCGCACTCACCGCGCCACGGGCCCAACACACCCCCTCTGTCCAAAATATACAGGGTACACTAATTATGGAATGGTGACTAGCATGGGGGACTAAATAGCACGGGCGGCGTCGTGGACGCAGTACGACGCGGCCGGACCATGCAAAGTGCGACGATGCACGCAAACAATCGTAAAGGAAAAATATATATATGTATACACAATCGGAAAGCTGAATGCGATTACGTGGTCTCAACACTCTGAGCAACTAAGAGCGACGATGGACCGCAGTTGGTGCGGAAATGAAACTTTAGCGGGGGCGCAGCGGGCGAGCGACGGTGACGGCGCGGACTCACATTTGCAAGGGCTGGTCTTCTTGCGGAGGGTTTGCATTGGAAAGTCGGCCGGCAGCTTGTGATTGAACATCGGGCGCCGCGGCGTCTCGGCGGCTTATATCACTGCGGGGCGGGGGCGTTCGATGCACGCGGCCGGCACATAGCGGGTGCTGTCGATGCGGAATCCGTATGTTCGGTCGGGGGGGCGAACTCGAAAACGACGTCTTGTTCGCCCTCGTGAGCTCTAAAGGAGCCCGCCCCGTCGGCGATTGTGAACGACGCGGCCGCCGAAGGAGACAAGCGGCCAGGGCGCCGGCCGACACAGCGAAGAGCGCCCGCCGAAAGCGCCGCCCCTACTGAGGGGCGCGGGGCGAGCGCGCAACTCGCCAACCCTAAATCGATATTCGCCCCCGATCTCTAGTTTATGCAATACTACGTCGGCTCGACGGCTCGACGGCGAGACTTGCTTACGGATGCATTCTGTGTGAATTACTTACACTTTGGATAGAATGTTCGTTGGATCGAGAATAACGTAAAAGTTTCGGTTCCAAATGTATGCGTATGTCGATTTTTTTAAGGACGCGCGCAAATGGAATGTTCATGTTAAATATTGAGTTGAATGTGTAAAGTATTGAACATTCTAGCCATAATTAAAGCGTCATAATGTAGAATATTCAATACAGATGCCCAATTGTTTTTTTTTAATTGTAAAGCAATTAAATAGAATGGTACCATGTCTGAAGTTTTTAGATGTAAGTTATAAATTATCTCTAAACTAAAAATATCGAGTTTATATTAAAAAAACATATAAAATATTGTCAAAATAATATAATATTTTTATTTTCGTTTATTCTTTATCGATGTGTAAAAATAATAACACCGTAATTAAAGTAGAAAATTACTAAAAATCAAGTTCTATATCTTAAAGAAGTTACAAGAACAGCCAGCAACCTTTTTTAAGTTATTATACACATACAATAATTGTCAGAAATTTTACGTTATGCATCTATATGATGATATTAATATATGTATATTTCAAACATCATGCTTTTGATAACCCAATGGTGTCAAAAGATTTGATTCTCAAGGAGAAACACAAGTACAAATATTTATACAACAAACAGATAAATTTTTTAGATCTGGGTGTTTGTCAATATGTGATGAATTTTATAATGAATTTTCTTTAAAAAGAAAGTTTATAAGTAAGTTTATCCATTACTCTCGGTAACTAGCTCAAAACAAAGACAACACTAATAGGTAAAGATAAATAGGGTTGAAAGTAATACTTCACACATTTGTTGTTATTTAAAATAACAAAACATCTAGAAAATATTACAATATTTGAAAGCAATTTATAGCTTTTAATTAATTAATAGTTTACAAATCCAAAGTCTCAGGTAATTGTGCAGAGTAATATTTTTTAAGGATCAAAGCAGGAAACTAATGTTACTCTTGAATGGTGGATGTGGCTAATGGGATCGCTCTCAAACCAAAAAGACACTTAAGGAGTGATAAGAAAACTGTTTATTTCAATTCGCACAGCAATATAATTGCAATTGTAATTGCAATCAAAATAAAACTTCAAATTATTTCTGCACTTTCTGTAAGAGACCTGGCCATACTGCGGATAGATGTTTTAAAAGAAATAATGGAAGAAGTAATAATTATAAACCAAATAATGTGAGTATAGACGCTGTTTTAGATTGGTGCTACATCACATATGTTCAAAGATAGTTCACTTTTATACAATTTGAAATCTTTAAATACACCTATAGCTTGCGCTGATAATATGACGATTAATGCAGAAGCAATTGGTAGTTGTATTACTGACACCTGTACTTTAGAAGGAGTGTTACATGTACCTAAGATTGCTAAAAATATTATTTTGGTTAGCAGCTTAACAGACAGAGATTTTAAAATAATTCTCTATAAAAATGTAGCAGTACTAAAGAAAGAAGAGGAAAAAGTACTAGTAGCGCATAGGAACAATAATGGCCTCTATATTACGAAACTAAATGCAATTTTTCCAACTGTCTCGGCGTTGCTGGTTGAAAGTGAAAATATTTGGCATAGACGGTTAGCTCATTTGAGCAATGTTAGAGATACGGCAAAGAACGTTGTAGGTTTAAACCTGTCTAGTTCCGACTTCGTATCAAAGTCCTGCGAAGTTTGTCATCAAGCTAAATTATGTAGGCTTCCTTTCAAAACTGTACGGCATTTAGCTAATAGACCACTAGAAATTATTCATACTGATATTTGTGGTCCAATTGACTGTCAGACATGGTATGGTAGAAGATATTTTGTTACGTTTCTCGATGATTTTACTCACTACGCAAGGGTCTATCTTTTACGAAATAAATCAGATATAATAGGTTGCATATTACATTTTATTCGTTGGGCTGAAAGACATTTTGATCAAAAAATTGAAAAACTACGGTGTGATAATGGAGGTGAATACTGCAGTAGCCAGCTAGTTAAGTGGTGTCAGGATAGGGGTATAATGCTAGATTATACTGTGCCATATACTCCTCAGTTAAATGGTAAAGCTGAAAGACTAAATAGAACTCTAATGGAGAAAACAAGAGCTCTTATGTTTGATTCTAAGATGCCTAAATTTCTTTGGGGTGAAGCTCTATTTACAGCTGTGTACCTTCTTAATAGAGTATGTACGTCTACAAAAGATAAAACGCCTTTTGAGCTATGGCATGGTAGGAAACCGGACTTATCTAATATAAAGGTTTATGGTTCTAAAGCATATTATAAAATAAATAGACATATAGGTAAATTGGATAAACGTTGTGAGATGGGTTTGTTGGTCGGTTATGATGCTAATTCCTATATAATTTGGAATCCACGCGTCAGAAAAACGTTACATTCAAGGGATGTCGTTTTTGATGAAAATATGAATGATTATGCGGAGATTTGTAAAAATTTTGGTGGTGTAGCTAATAATTATTTTTGTACGGATTTATTTAGTGATTTAGATATTGAAGAAGGAGATATTTTACGAGAATTTTCTAGTGATGAAGAAGAAACAATTGAAAAAGGAGGAATTCAAAAGGACACAATTGACGGTGTTGAAAATGAAGAGAGTACAGAATCAAATGAAATAGTTTGTGAAGAAACAATTGAAGATGTGAGGAATGTGGATTCTGTTGATAATCTGAATGAGGAAGTTATAGAGAATAGAGGAGATTTTGATGATTTTTTGGATGCAAGTGAGGATAGAATAGAGGACGTTGTTGATGTTTTTACTGATGCTGAAGACACAAATGAAGAGACGGAAGTTGTTGCGGAGAGTGTGGGTCCAAGGAGGAATCCACCGAGAAATAGGTGTTTACCTGAGAAATATAAAGATTATGTTATGGATTTTTTGGCCGAGTGTGCACTTTTAACGTTTGAGGAAGCTGTTAACTCCAGTGAAAAGGAGAAATGGTTGAAAGCTATAGAAGAGGAGAAATTTTCTTTAGAGAAGAATGGCACATGGGAGTTGGTTGATGAAAAAGAAGCTGAAGGAAGAAAACTTTTAACAAGCAAGTGGGTCTTTGCTAAGAAGTCGGATGGAAGTTATAAAGCTAGATTAGTAGTCAGAGGTTTTCAACAGAAATATAAAGTGGACTATGAGGAAACCTATAGTCCTGTAGTGAACAGTACTTCGCTGAGAATTATTTTATCGATAGCAGCTCAGAAGAATTTGAAATTGAGACAATTCGATATCAAGACAGCTTTTTTACATGGAAATCGGGAAGAGAAAATTTTTATGCAAGTGCCTAAAGGTTATGTTGAGAAGAAGGGGAAAATTTGTAGGTTGAAAAAGAGTCTTTACGGTCTAAAACAAGCTCCTTTGATGTGGAATATAAGGTTTACCAGTGTTCTGAAGAAAATGGGTTTCTTAGAATTAAAATCCGATCACTGTATTTTCATTAAAGAATTGAATGGTGATGTTGTTTTTCTTGCTGTATATGTAGATGATGGTTTGCTTTCTGGTAACTCTTTTGAGGAACTGGATAAGATTCTAAAAGAACTTAATAGTGAATTTGAAATGTGTGTTTGTGACAGTGTCAGTAATTATATTGGTATAGATGTTAATATTACAGATAATGGGATTAAAATAGCTCAGGCTAGCTACATTAACAAATTAATTAATAAATTAAATTTGCAACATGTAAAGTCAACAGTTATACCTCAAGATAATAATTACTGCCATCTATAGCACCAAAAAGATTTCAGGAGTATTCTCAAATATTTAAAAATTATATCTAACACATTATTTTATTTTTAATAAGTTTAGTATAAAATATTAAAAAAGGAATTTGCAGCAATAATAGCATAATGTGATATTATTACATGGCTTATATTAAAACAAAATGAGTTGTACATTTTTAAAGAATATGATACATAAGGCATTTTTTAAAGGTACTATTTATATCGATAATGTTGTTGATTAACTCTTATTTACGAGCTGTCAGCGCTAACCCCGGAATGATATCATGAACAAAAGTAAACAATCTTTCACACTTGTGTTGTTTGGTCTTGAACTTGTTCTGTGAGTTTGAATGTACTTAAAATAACATTATTCATACGTGTAAATAAATGTAAACATCTAACAAGGTATTTCTGTAACGTACCTGATTTAATATTCATAACAGTTCATTCATAAATTAGAATTTTTCACTATTCACAACAACAAACGTTTCATATAAACAGAAGTTCAATTTATTTTGCACAGTTTTATTTTAATGCAATACCAGGAAAATTATTTAATAAAATATTTTCTAAATTTACATGTGGACGTAACGATGCTTAATATAAAAATAGGTGTTTATTTACTGTTTAAACTCATTTAAGAATAGAATCCTAGAAATAAATTAAGATTTAGCAGAGAACACACATAAATTTGACAGACTACTAGGTAATTGTCTTAGTGTACCTAATGCGTCTCTATTTACCAATTTACAGGCGTTATTTAAACAAAGTGTGATTGTTAAGATAATTTCCTATAATTTACAGAAAATCCAATTATTTATCATACTTTTTATTTTATAATCTTAATTTTAAGTTTTTCGGTGTTGAATTGTTTTTCTACTCATATATGTGACTATTGTGACTTAAATTAAAATATAATAATGGAAATATTATTACAAATAGAATATTATATTATATATTTTTTGTTAACGTGGATGAAATGCCTACACATGCCGTAACAGGCGTAATGCAGATTTGGGACTCGCATCGACAACCATACCGAACCACTGATTACCTAGGCAGTCAAAAATCAAAATCAAAAAATCAAAATCATTTATTCATCGACATAAGAAACTTACATTTCATTTATCAATAGTCATATTTTTTTTTTAAATCTACCACCATTTCGTAATAAGGTTCCTCTAGCAGAGAAGAAACAGGCGAAAGAAACTCCGTAGGTATCCTCTTTTTTGTAATTATTTTTTTTTCTTAACAAAAAATTCAAAAATTATACAACTGATTTTTTTCTTTTTAGAAATAGCTTGGGAGCGATCAACTCATTCCCAGGCGTTATTGTCATTAATGTATTCATTTGTATTATTATAACCCTTTTTATAAAGTTTTTCTTTAATAAATTTCTTAAACCTGTTAATAGGCAGGTTTTGCGCATTTACTGGGATTTTGTTGTAAGCGTATACACCGCCCCATGAACGAGTTACTTACTCTATGGAGTATAGTAACTGGCATTACAAGCTTGTGTTTGTTCCTAGTGTTCACATTATGTATATCAGTATTCTTATCAAAATTATTAATATTTCTACGCACATACATAACATTTTCATATATATGTTGAGAGGCTAAGGTTAATATATTTATTTCTTTAAACTTCTCTCTCAAAGATGCATTCAGATCTAGATTATAAATAGCTCTTATGGCCCTTTTTTGCAAAATAAAAATTGTTTCTATATCGGCTGCGTGCCCCCATAGCAAAATACCATATGACAGTGCTGAATTAAACAAGCGAGGGGCCTATAGCAAATTCTTTCAAACAGTCCTTTATCTACAATGGGTTCTTAAGTATAAAGTGGTAAAAACAATTCAATACTCTTCCTTAAGGAAGAGTTATTAAGTAAGGATTTTAAACGCGCTCATATCTATGTAGATATCAGTGGTTTTAAAATCCGGGGGCCGCGTTTTGCGCGGGGCCCGTAGCAATTGCTATTCTTGCTAGGTTAATCGGGCTTGTACCCAGGGCGCATATTGATAGAGTCATGGGAATGCCTAAGCGTATATACTCGTTCAACCACGCGCTAGCCACCTCTATTGCCTCTTGGGGGTGAAAGCCCTTCTTCTCTTATTTAAGCTCGCTGGAACATTAAGCGCTTCTTCCTAACTCGGCTCCAACTCAGGTGCATCGATAGTGCAGATCCACTGAAACGTGAAGGATAAGCCAAATGCAATACTAACACTCCTCTTTATTGACTCCACCTTGGTTGCAGAAGACAGGGAGCTCCTCCCCCCCTAAAACACTCAACTAGCCTGACCTTAAAAAAGGGCCAGCACAGAGTAGGGTCCTCTTGGCATCACTGTGGAGTTATGGTCCTTCATGGCTAGTAAGCTTCGCCGCGACGACAGCAGCGGGAACCTGGTTGGAGGAATGGATAACGAACCCATCCCTGCAATACCTATCAGTAGATGCATTTTTGTTACATGGATAAAAGCTTTATCCCGCCACCGCCTCCTGCGAGAGCACGTTCGCCCTCATTCTTATTTGAACCATCTATCGTTAATAGGACGCGGAAATGTAGTGGCTAAAAAAACTATACTTACACAGAAAAATCCTTACTAAGCTTAAATTTTACCCATAGCGGAGTCCGGAGAGAAGACCATTGGATTGGTAATCGAAGCTAGGTAAAAAAAAAACCTAGTTTGGTGATTGGTTGTGGTCTGAGTGATGGCAGATAGGTATATCTATATCGGACTCGATATATCGAAAAAAAATATTGATATATCGATCAAATTTTCAGTTTTAAAAAAATTATGTAGTTAGTTCAGTCTGATTCAATAATAAAAATAGTAATTTTTATACCGAATTCAGTTATGTAAATGAATGAGAAATTTTAACAAAACGTGAATTATTACTAATTTAAATCCAATTTCTTTTATTAATCTAAATTTAATAAAAGCAAACAGCTCATTTAGTAAGATAAATCAGTTTGTTTGAGCCCTGAATCGAACCAAAAATTCCTAATTAAAAAAATGTAACTTTGTAAAAAAACATAAGAAATTGTTTAAAACGAAGTTAATAATGGATCAAAAAGAAACCCTCGGAGACTTGTCCTAAAAGACAGGCCTAGATCAACAGAATTTAGTAATAGTTGTTTGATTGACATGAAAATGCTGAACAACAATTTAAAGAAGTTACTTTTGTGGTTAAAATCTGTAAACTGCTTTAATGTGTACAATCTTTATGGATCTAATATTTACAAGATTAAATCTATCTAAAATTACATATTATCTAATAAACCTAATCCATGCCACCCAAGATATGGATAATATAAAGTACGAAGCATCAAATTGTAGTATAAATACCATAATTATAGTACAAAATTTAAAGTACAAAATGCAACTCTGCTTCCGCGACAATACTAGTAATAGAACAGACAGTTTTTTCCTGTTCATTTTATCTTTTACGGCTTTGAATCAGTTTGAATAAAAATATCGTTTTTGATACGATTTAGGTATTCCATTTTTTATATCGATATATCGGATCAAAATTTATCGGCCAAAAATATTGATATATTTTCGGCATCCCTATCAATCAATTTAAATTTTACAAAATATTCTAAAATTGGTAACTCACAAAAGTCACAAAGCAAGCCATTAATAAAAAGAATAAGGGCTAACAACTTGACATTGGCGGAATTGTGATAACTCACAAAGCAAGCCATTATTAAGAAGAAGAAGAAAAAGAATAAGAAAGAAAGACTACATATAGTGTATAAAAATATATATAAATTTTATCTAATATTTACAAGATTAAATTTATTTAAAATTACATATTATCTAATAAACCTTAATCTTATATCATTTATCATCGTTCTTCTGATAACATCTTCTTTCTTTACTACAGTTAACTTGAAATGAGTGTCCTATTTCAAAATAAAGAATGTTGTATTCTAGACCATCAGACTTACATTTCCAAGATATACAAAGCTGTTAATTCACCACATGAGAATGAATCGTACCGTATTTCAAGAAAATTATTTTCGATATCAAATATAAATAAAGACACAAAGAGTTCGCATCCCAGAAAACGTAAAAAAGACTCTAATGCTCTTCTTGACGAGGTTGCAATTAAGAACTTTAGTTAACATTTGAAGTTTACCTTTTTAACTTATTAGTAGTATACTTTTAGGCTTCTGAGGTAAAAAACATGTTTGAAATGGAATTGAAAAATATTCCTTCTGAGATAATTGATCATGTTCAAGATAAGTACAAATCATGTACTACAATTATGGTACGAACCATGGCAAAAGATCTCTTTGAATTTACAACATTTTTACATGAGGACATTTTAGGTGGCAATGATTCAATTTTGCCAATTAAATGCAAGATAAACAATGAATGTTTTCTTCTACCTGGGAATTCACGGTGGGTAACAGTTTGGAGGTGGTTATTACTTGATGTTGATTCATGAGTAATGTCATGCAAATATAACAAAGCTGTTATTGTGTTAAATGCTTTAAAAAATTAAAGCTGATTTTTTGTAATCTAAGCAAAATAATGAAGTAAAAAATATTTTGCAACAGGTTATTCCATAATTTTTAATTTTTGTTTTTACAGATTTTTTTGTGGAGATGTAACAAAATATTGTAATAAATTGGATGGGCAAAAGTTTGACATGGTAATAGCTGACCCTCCTTGGTGGAACAAGTACATTAGGAGGTTGAAAGTTGCCAATTCAAAGTTGAGGTAAATATGTCAATTTTTAAGTAAAGGACTTAAAAATTTAGCTTATATATGTTGGAAAAGAAGTTATTTGATTGATGTAAAATTTTTATATAAAATTTCATTTGAATGTGTGCATGACTTGTGTTTTTAAATGTTGTAGTTTAATGTTATTAGTTAAAAAGGAAAGAACAGTTGTTGTATTAGATCTTTAATAAATTAATGGTTGTCTGAATACTTCGATTTATGTCCTAATTATTTTTATGTCTGGTTGTTACAACAAATTTTGGCCATATTAAAAGTTAATAGGGCTGGCTAGTTTTTATTGGGGGTTTACCAAAACCTTAAGCTTTACAATTATGTGAACAATGAAATATTTGTGCTACAGATGAATATTTTTTAAAGTTTACACAAAAAACATAAATGAAATGGTTTTATTGAATTTCCATAACTTTGAGGTATTAAAATAACTATGTATTAGAACTGAACTTTTTTTATTTTCAGAAACACTTAAATTAAAATTGTAGATTGCATACAAATTGAATGTCAGTTCTGTAATGTCATAAAGGTTTATCATACTGGAGGCTATTTGTATACTAGTTAAACAAAAATCATTAGTTTTTTACGCAACTTCGAGATATACCCATGTTCCATGGACAATTTTTTAATGTTAGATCAGACAACTTTGTAATGTTACAACATGCCCTTATAGTTATAGGAATTCAATTAAAAAAAATGGTATAATCAATAATTATTAGGATATTTGGAATACTTACTGAGGCTTCCATAAATGTGAAACTGTTGCAGCTATTCTATGATGTACAATGAAGAAATTTCATTAATACCTTTGAAGAATCTTCTTGCTAATAACTGCCTTGTTGCAGTATGGTGCACAAATTCACCAAGCAATGTGAGTGCTGTCAAAGACTTGATTTTTCCTAAATGGGGAGTCGAGTATTTGACTACATGGTACTGGCTCAAAGTTACCACAAACTTTAAACCAATTTGTGAGTTTGGATCTGGTTGTAAGAAGCAGCCATATGAGAGAATAATTTTTGGGAAAGTTGGTGATGTAAAGAATTTTCCAAAATCACATTTAGTGATAAGTGTCCCAAGTGCTTTGCATTCACATAAGCCACCTTTGTTGGGTAATTTTGTTTATAATTAATTGATGTGCTATGTGTTTCCTTTTGTTTTAATGTAATTCTATCTAAAGTTATGAAACATTATAGTAAAAGTTAGTCACTAGAAAAATATTATTGGGTGAAAAAATACTTTTTTAAATTTAGCGATATTAGGTAAGTTGCATTTTTAATAAAAGCCTATTGTTGTTCTTAGATGTTTTAGGACAATACATGGAGTCTAAAAATCCACAAACATTGGAACTGTTTGCAAGATATCTACTGCCAAATACCACCAGCGTGGGCTTTGAGCCACTAAAATGGCAACACATATCTCTTTATGAATCACTAGATGATGATGACATGGACAAAACAGATGAATCTGTAAAGTGAATTAAATTGAACTTAAAGCAATAGCAATATTTAAAAGAAATTATTTGAGAATGTCTTTTAATTATAATACTTTTTAAGCAGCTACATAATTAATTGTTTTTGACTTAGTGACTTAAGGTGAATTGAGGACTGAGATTGTAAAAATTAAAACACTAACGTCCGGTTTCTGAAACACTGATCACAGTAGATGTCAACTAATCAGCTGTCAAATGGCTTTTCAAATTTCATTTTAGTTGCCGAAAGGATGGTTAAATTCTTTGATTTAATCATTCTGATCATTAAGAAGATCATTCTGGTCAATTCAGAGAGTTTAACAATCTTTTTGGCAACTAAAATAAAATGTGAAAAGCCATTTGACAGCTGATTAGTTAAGATCTACGATGATCAGTGTTTCAGAAACCTGGCGTAAATATTGCAAATTACATACAATATTTAAAGTGTTTCTGTATATTGTTAGTATAAAGGCTCATTTACACGATGCCATTTTCTTGTCCTAGAAGAGCAATAATTGACCATCAAGAATTGTAAGCTACTGTTTTTTACAAAGTCCATTGAAAATTTAATGCAAGTCTTGGCAAAAAATAATTGCAAATGTCTTTTGTTTCAGTTAGGAGATTATTGGTTTCAAGTTTTGAGTTGTCTAAACACATGCTTGTATGTGCGTGTACCTGTACCGTGTATCATTTATTGCCTTGTTGCTTAAGTATTGCACGTATTTGCGTTGACAAATTTTTCGTTCAAGTGTTGAACGTTTTATAAAGGGCTGTTTATTTTAATAAAAATGATCAATAATGAGTGTTCAAGTTAGATTCTGCCGATTTGATATATTTCATTGAGATTTATCCATTTTTGCTCTAACTTTATTTAACGATCTTTTCTCAATATTTCTTGCCTCAACAACAGAACAGTAACACAGGAACAGTAACGATTAAACACTCACTTATCGCACTCATGTTTGCAAAGGAAGAGAGAATGCAATTGAATACAAGAATTGCTAAAGAATTTATTGTGTGTGCTGTTTACACCAAGGAAAGTTTTGAAACAAAATTTGAAGCAAGTCTAGTTAAACAGTTGTTGAATGTTGTGTTGTTTAGACCATGCAACTCATTTATTGCTTCAATTTAATTGTATACAACAGGCAAGAAATTTGCACCATATAAATGGGCCTTTACTACTGAAAAAGCTACGTGCTATATAAAATCCACTAAAATGATGACATAACAATATAGTATGATTGTTCGAAATAATGCATTTTATATTTTTTATAAAAAAACTTTATACAAATTTATATATGGTTATGATATATATACATAAGTAGTATAATTTGTGATTTTAAAGAGGTTGGGAAATACGGAAACAAACATGAATAATTGCAAATAAACATATGTTAGGATGATGTGGATTAAGTTAAAATGAATTGAGACTTTTTAAATTGTTACTGATATATACCAATTATATTCTTCAAATAAAATACTTTTTATTGACATACACTTGATTTCCTTATTTGCTAATCACACGGATTAACTAGTATATAATAAAACATTGTGATAAAAATATTTTATTGATACATTTCCTTATTAACTGTTTCCATTAGCAATTATAACATTTGTCTTCACGTTCTTTTTTGGGTATCCATCTGGGTTCATTGACTGCCACCTCCAAAAATCGATACCTGAAATGTTATTATGTTTTAGGTAAATACATATTTATGAAAATGATTGTATACAAACAGTGCTCGTAATAATGGCTTGTTATTTATTCATCCAAGGATATATAATTATCCAAGGATTTTTTCTAATAAATATTCGAACTTAAAGTACCTTAGTAAATACTAAACTTCATTTAGGTAAAACTATATTATTAAAGTTAATAAGGTACACGCTCGCGTCTCCAAAAACTCGACATCTATGTAATGCAGCAACCTTAGTGTACTCTAGTTCATACTTTACAATATTCCTACTCTATTCAAATAACATTTTTAAAATAAATAATTAAACGAAAGATTTCGCTTTGCTTTTTAAATCTATGAATTTATCCAAACATTTTCAGCACTGCGATATTTTCAAGTTTTAAGTCTTCAAGCCGCGAAACGATTTTAGCAATGCTTGGTGCCATCTAATAGATTACATTCTCATGAACTAGCCGACACCACAAATAACATCTAAATAATAAGTATTTTAACGAGAGATGTCGCTTTTGCTAACATTATTAAATTTTTTTTGGTGAACCTAAAGGACCGGCGTAATATGTGAGTATTTCCACCGAAGTCTATAAAGACCAGTTGAACGGGTTTGTCATTCGTCACCAACGATATTATATACAAATACGAGGTAGGTATTGACACTAGCGCACCGAAAGATTGATGAGACATTAAAATTACTATAGACTTCTATCTCTTTCTGTATCATACGTTCTATTCTATATCATCTGTCACGTTCTCTTATATACTTATGTCATATAATGTTAAGCGAAATAATTTTAAAATGTCATCTTTATTAAAACATCATTGTTCGTCACTGTATAGATATTGTGGTACAGGTTACTACTAACACATCTCCTCGATGGTGCGTTTGGTCGACCAGCCGAGTTCCTCCTTGGCAAGGGTTGCGTCGGCCCACATCGCCGTGATGTCGCCCAAGCGCCGCGACACGTATTTCAGGGGTATCTTTGTGCTGGTCACCCGTTCAAAAACGTCCACCAGCTGTTTTACAGAGACCCCCATGCCGGTGCCCAAGTTATACACCTGCATACGCGACGGTTTTTATAGAAATTAATAGCGAAAAAACTCAATTTCTAAAGGCCGATGTAGCTGAAATATTGCCCGTTCTCGGGTAAGGATATATTTTCTCATTTATTGAACTGACTGAAACTTTAAATTGCGGAAAAATTTTGTACTTCGTCTGCAAAATGTTATGCACTAAAGTGATTTAAGATATTCATTTGGTATTTGCTGCTATTCTGTTATATACTGTTCTGATATGGCCACAATGAAATAGGTATATTTATGTTACAGATCCATTGTCTTGTGGCTCTGATTATCGATGATCAATGGACTCCGATTTTTGTGTTTAGTTTTCGGTAGTACTTCAATAGGTGCGTAAAATACTAAACTCACGTACAACAATATTAAAAAATGTAAATTACATTCCAAAACCATAATAAAGAAAATGTCTCAACGCACCTTAAGGCCGACTTGGTTCTCATTCAAAAGTTTCAACGCGGCAACGTGGCCGCCCGCTAAGTCCATCACGTGGATATAATCTCGAATGCCTGTTGCGTAATGGAAATAGCATTTTAGTTTATGGTATACAGGCGCAAACCGCAAAGGCTATGCGATATTACCGGACGATTTCCGATGAGGCTGGGCGGCGTGGCCCCAGAGAAATGATTATTTGGAAATTATTCATGTTTCCTTCACGATGTTTTCCTTCATCGATGAGCGAGTCATAAATCATATAAATTTGCAATTTAAAAGGGATTTTAACTCAATTATATTGAATTAAAAGCCCGGACATTGAGCTATCACGACTCTAGTTCAAGCTCGTAAGTGGTTTACCTAACACACTGGTATGTAATAAAAAAAATAAAGGTAGACTCACTTGCTCCCCTTCAGTTAGCCAACTTTTCTAATATAAAATAAAAGTACACAATAATATACAGTAGTAACTCGATTAGTGCTGTCTGATATGAGCTGGTCGTAGTTTCGACACTTGACGGCAAATACCTATATATTATTTATTTATCTTAAGTTTATAAAGGTTGTCCTATAATAGGTGAATTACAAACAAAGCATTTATTACAAGTTACGCCACCTAAGCCATACAGAAACAGTGTGCATATTTATCCCAAAAAATTTTTACGAAATGTTCCAGACATATTATTTCGAGAAAATACACATCGCCATGTTAAAGTTGACTCCATGAATGCAACTAAAACTATCTTATGCCTTAAAAATCTTTAATCACAGAACCGAATAACACCGTTGGCCGCAAGTGTACATAAATATGTGATATAGTAAGACGGATGTGATTTTGACTACGGCGCAAACGAGAAGCCAATACTCCCTCTCCCCTGCACAAGTGTGCAAGGAAGTGTGTATGTAAGTACATAGGCATGCACTTACCGGTTCCGTCTGGCGTGTTGTAGTCGTTGCCGAATACTGTTAGAACGGGTTTCTTCCCCAAAGCCACTTGCGCCATGAACGGCATCAGGTTGGTGAACTCCTTCGTGGGGTCTTCCCCGATGAGCCCCGACGGATGCGCGCCGACGGGGTTGAAGTAGCGCAGAGATATTATGTTCCATTTCTTTAAAAAAAGTTTAGACTTATAAATGGACTTGGTATTAATATACTTGGTATAAATTACTTCGGAGAGATAATGTCGAATTTACGCGGCTGAGCATTATTGGTTATTGTAAATAAGTATACATAATTACAGGGAGGCTTTTTTTTTAATTTTATCCATTTTTTTATAAATATTTAAAATCATTCGCAATTAATTAATTACATTCATTTGAATCAAATCTCTCAAAAAGTGCGTGATTTATGTACAACTCATTTATTTTACGCGTCATCATTCATAACTGACACGCAACAAGTTCGTTTCAAAAGTATACGACGCATTTATGAATGACTACCGCATTGTCAACAAGATCTGTTTTTGAGGGAATAGAATGGCAATTTTTTTTAAAGAAAAAAGTTTCTTTTTATTTGAATAAACGATTATACTACCGAGTCTGAACCTCCTGTGTGAATTTGGGCACCTTTATAAAAGCCACCCTCTATACCTATGAAATATATAAGGTTTACAAGATATACAAGATTTAATATACAAGATTTACTCTATTTTGAATAATAATATCTTGTATTAACATGAACACTGCATATTGTAAAGGGCCTTTTTTAAACACAAAAAACCTTTTTTAGGGCTGTTATTTTTCACTTCGTTTAAAATTCCCGACTATTCGAATACTGCAGAATTAATGGTATCGGGACAGTCCGAAAAATTACACACGTTAAAAACCGTTAAATAGTTTGAATTACTCATATGAGAAATTACTTATGGTTAGTGGTAGCAGGAAACGCGAGAGAAATCTTAGTAAGGTTTTTTTCAAATACGGAATGTCAGCGGACAGTGTGATTCGAACAGCTCCGAGACAACGAGATATATTACTTTTCTGTTTTCGTAATTAGTGTGACGACCGGGCATGGTTTGTTAATAAATTTGTGCAACTTTTATCATTACTATATTTAGAAATCGATTTCTATACATTTCGTTATGTTTGTTACTATAATCGTGTCAGGAATGACTAATCGTAGATCCTGTATCGGTGTTTAGTTCATTACTGGCGATTGATTCACACATCGCTGGCATGTGATATCATGAAATTGAAAGTCTATCAAAGAAGACGAGTCTTTCAAAGAACCAAATCCTCTTTGGAAAGTGACACATTAAAATATAACAAATAGGGATTGTATACCTTATTATTGATTCCCTTGTCTGGTGACGATCGCTTTTATTAGTCGTATTAAAAAAACTAACTGAATTTAGATATTAAATGAAATCGAGGAGATATAGAAAAAGTCGAACACTTATTTTCGGAACAAAATGACAACAACAAAGCTATGTTTAAATAATGAAAATATCGCGGAAATCTGGTGTCCTTGAACTTAAGCTCTTCTTCGCGGAACCGGTATTAACTTGCCTCATTAATTTGATCCCAATACTTCACTCAAATGTTAGATGATTAAGAAAACACTCAAAACTTGTTTAATACGATATTGCACCTGTATCTAATGTTTAACTATATCAATCTTTTTACTTTTCGCTGCTTCTTTTCAAGAGAATCATAGAGAACAAATTCTTTTTTTTTCTCTAGGAGGCTTCGCGAGCATAGAGGACAAAAATACATACAAATATACAACTAATGTTATTAATGTCTCATTTATTTTTGTCTGTCCGTTCAACTCACGCAATTAAGTAGGTAATAATCAGTGACGGGAACCGAATGAGCTGGGCCAAGGAGTCAAACCTATTCCTAAATCGTTTATAAGACGTTTATTGGTATACTTCATCGGTCAACAAAGTATTTCTTATGGCTTCCGATCAAAAATCACAACGCCTGTTATCAATTTTATCAGTCGACTGGAATTCAAAGATACCGTTATCCGGCGCTTCCACGAATGTATTGAATGAATAAGTATTAGCGGATAATCCTTAGAGGTTAAATAGACGGCGGTTGATTATTAAGGAACCTATTATTGGGTACACGCTATTATTCTATTCTGCTGAAAAATATGGATTGTTAAAAATTGTTAACAACAATATTTATTATGGATAAGACCAAATCTCTTTAAAAATAAATCTATAAAAAAGGTAAGGTCGTCTTTTCGTTGGCATATAAACGTTAGTGTAAATTGTTTTAACACTAATTCACATGAAGTTTATTAACAGTTGTTTAAGTCATAGCGAAAACAAGTTATCAAAAACGTCCGTTTGAATGGCCAGTGAAATTCGATAAAAAAAAGAAAAGCGATTTAAGAACGAGCGCATCGGAGCCTGGCCCGCAAACTTAGAGCTCTTAGCCCCAAATCTAGGGCGAAAATAAAAAAAGCCCGTTATGCATTAGGTACCGGGTTTTTTGGGTCCAAAAGTTAGGGCCATAAATAATATTTCATTTATCACTATTTTAACTGACCAAAATGAGTCGAAAAATGGAAAGTTTCTATTGATGAGCGTGCGCGATGACATTACCTCGTCGGCAGCGCTGAGGTCTTTGAGCATCTCCTCTATGAAGTACTTTGTTCGGCCGTAGACGTTTGTGATTCTCCCAGTGGGGTGGGTCTCGGTGATGGGGAGACTCTCCGGCTCGCCGTAGACAGTGCACGACGATGAGAAAACCATTTGATAGCAGTTATGAGACCTCATTACCTAAAAATATTTATTTAACAACTAAAGGAAATGAAAGGAATCACTTAAGCTACGTGAATTGGTCTATTAGGATCGCTTCAGCTTATCGCGGGACTTTACTTAACGCTAAAACCATCGAATACGGTAGTATTGAAGGTAATCAATAATGCTTAATGCATATAGACATAGATGATTAACACTACATATCAGAAATAATTATAGTGTTTAACCCAATAAATGTAAATAAAGCTTTCATTTTGCGCATAACATCCCCTCAATAATCAATTAATCAACAAAAGCTTTTCATGACAAGGAGCTTTTCTGGCAGGTTATAAATCACTATATAAGGCACACTAAAATGTGTGAACATGAAGTACAACAAGGTATTATTGATTATGAACGCGGTAAAAAAACTAAATGTATCCATGAATATTCAATAATAATTCAACGCAACCTTAAGAATTCTTTGCGATACGGTTCTAACCTAAGGTTGTGCCAAACAAATGCTATAAGCGCTCGTGATGCACGGATAATAGTTAATTACACACGTGTAAAATGTACAATGAAGTACCTCCAATAAGTTAAGCATTCCCAATAGATTGTTTTGGTAGTAGAGGAGCGGCTGTTGCATTGATTCACCGACGGCCTTCAGTGCAGCGAAATGGATGACGCAGTCAATTTGATGCTGAAAAATTATTTCAAACATACGATAGAACATAAAGTAAAACGCAAGATGATGATCAGAATAGCATAAAAATATATGAGAGGCAGAGAAAGAGAAAAATTTACTTTTTCTGATTTTGTATTACTTTTATGCAAGTAATATTTTTTTACTTGTAACTAAATAAATATATTTTCTTTGTTCGACATTATAATAGAATGTTCAACGAGTTTGGACATATTTTTCATCATTCTTCATCTTACTTCTCTCTCGAAACGATCTAATACCAAAATACCGTTAACAGAAATAAAATAAGCTTTATAAGATTCTTTAACAACTAGTGTACATGTGAATAATTAGAATACAAATATGTCTTGATTTTAACGTAGACATTTTTGATCGATAGACGTAAAATATTTAAACGCTGTAGATTTATGAACAGCGCATTTATGAGTTGTTTGTGCACAACGCCGTAACGTTATTTTCGTCAACAGCCCGTCATTTTGTCCTATGGCACGTCCTTTGACATTCAACCGGTAAACGGTAAAGCAAACACATGTTACCTTGTCGAAGATATTGTTTATCTGTGGCTTGTCCAGTAAATCAGCTTTGTAGAAGGTGATGCTTTTGCCGGTTATCTCTTCGGCCCGCTGCAGTGCCGGTGACCCTCCTTCGTCGCCCACCGCGTTCGCGAAGTTGTCTATGGCTACGACCTCATACCCTGCCTCGAGGAGGTCCACAACGCAATGGCTCCCAATGTACCCGGCACCGCCCGTCACCAAGATTGTCTTGAAGCGCGGCATTGTGTTTTGTGTCTTATAATATCTATAAATAATTAGTAATTAAATTAGTTAAATCGATCCGGTTGGTGTTGTGGATGACAAACTTATTAGTGACAGTGGGTTCGATCACATCTATTGGAAAAATATTGTATGATGAACATAGTGTTTTTGAGTTAGTTCTTTTTCATATCTATAATATTTATTTATTTACAAAGAAAAGTATATTTAATTATGACTTGCCTACCCATAGTACTAGTTATATCTTTAAGATAGTGGTGTGTAGTGATGTCTTGACAAATGTTTATTTTTAACAACAGACGAAGATCATTAGACATGCTTTTATGAAATCTACAATTTTCATTTCACAGAGAAAAAGAACACCAAGAGCAATAATAAATAGATGAATAAATTTAGTTCAAGAAATTGTCCATACAACGTCGAATCCATCCAAATTCTTATTAAGCTTTATCTTATATCATTAATTAATAAAACATTTATATTGCGACAAACTTCTTTTTAGGGTTCCGTATCTACAGGCTAAAACGGGACCCTATTACTAAGACTCCGCTGTTTGTCATGAACCGTGACAGTTAGTTTAAATTTTTACAGATGGTATATTTCTGTTGCCGCTATAACAACAAATACTAAAAAACAGAATAAAAAATATTTACGTGGGGCTCCCATACAGAAGACATGATTTTTTTGTGCCGTTTTTATAGATAATGTAGGGAACCGTTCGCGCGCGAGTCTGACCGCACTTGGCCGGTTTTTAAAAGGCTAACCTCACACATGTGTAGGTTTATTAAGACATTCGTAAAATCGAGCATCTAACGTAATAAAAGTCACCTGTTACACACGATTCACGAATATAAATTTTTTTTAAATGTACCGTAATCAGTGTAAAATAAGATTTACCGGATCAATTAAGTGCATGTAATATGTAATTTACCCTAAAACTAAAGTACAAAGTTAACGACGTAAATGAATGGCCAATCAGTTATATTTAATTCCGTCTAGTAAAATATTCGCGAAACATTAGCTGACCGGTAGTCCTAAAGCGAGAGACAATGTGCCATTTGGTCCGTGACTGGTTAAAGTGTTTGTCAGTTCCAAATATTACAATGGCGACAAAAATACGTGACGTTTATAGTAACGCGTTACAATTATCGTTACGGTGACATTTGTATGTACATGCGGATTAATTATTAAAACGTAAATCTTTACTGGTATGCAGGCAATAAGATGACTGTGACTTCAGTCGATATTACTTTAAGTCGCTAAAACAAAGTCGTCCCGCTGTCTGTCTGTCCCTATGTATGCTTAGATCTTTAAAACTAAGCAACGGATCTTGATACGGTTTTTTTTACTAGATAGGGTGATTCAAGAAGAAGGTTTATAATACATTGCACTCGCGCGAAGTCGGGGTGGGTCGCTAGTAGTTATTAAAACGTAAATCTTTAGTGGTAGGCAGGAAATAAGATAACTGTGACTTCTGTCGATAATACTTTACTATATTCTTCCTTTGATTTGTCTATTGATTGATATCGTTTATCAAGTTTAACGCACCTATAGAGCAGTGTTGAAACATAACTATCGATTTCACTATCCTTAACAGCCCTTTCATGTATTTAGGGTTATTTCACCATAGTAGACAGATGAAATTTAATAAAGTAACAAGTTTATTGAATATCCTGCTAAATGTATTTGTTGGACCGTTAATGGAAGTCCGTGAATCTTAATGCGCTAATGGTTCTTGAACTTTCTGAGTCAGCCGTTAACACTACTGTACAAGTCCATTGAATTTGTGATATTAGCTTTCTGTCAAGATGCAATGACCTATGATTTTATTTTGCAAGAGCAAAGGGACAACTACTTATGTAATTATTATCTGTAATTGAAAAGTCCCAAGTTTTATTTTAATTGCTCTAAGCTAAAACGATTTACCATTTAGTAGCAATACTTGATACGTAATGAGTTATTCTATCAAAATGAAAGAATTTGATCATACACGATGATATTATATTTCGCCAGTTTTATTATTTGATTTATTAATTATAAAGCAGTGACTGTAATCTTATGTCATATATTTTTTTTATTCTTTCGTCATGGAATGTAAAATATTATTACAGTTTTGTTCATTTTTAAGAGAATGACTATCTAGATAGCCGATTAAAAAGAACTTTGGGAAATTAGAAATTAACAGGAAATTAATAGAAGCCAGAGGGTTGTGACTAATCATTATTTCAGACTGTTTGAGTCCATTACAGAACACAGGCCTCCCTCATAGTGCCGGATGTCCCTCAGATGATGGATGGAATTAGGGTCAAGATCCTGATTCCATCCATTATCCATGCATCCATCAACTTCCCGGACATTGACGCAGGTCGTCACTATATCTAGTGGGTACGTCTAATGGGCCCATACTTTACTTTTTTTTTATAAAACATGGTATGACGTTTTTTAACTCATATATTTTCCTTTAGTCAAGGAAGTAAAAACCCAGAAGAGGGGAACCCCTTCCGGGGTTTTACGTCTTTGAACGTCTTTTCGTTTTATTCGGAAGTGTAACAATAAGAGTATCCTGTAGGAGGAAAAAACAAATATTCACAAGTACCTAAATATGAGCGTTGTTTTCCGATTGATACAAAATGGATTTATCGTTTCAATTTAGTACCGATTGTAAATATTAAATGAATGTTATGGTTTTATTGCGTTTTAATTTTGATAATTTTATTCCCGACATTTTGGACCCCTTCCAGCGTTCATGGTCTTTGATCTGTCCCATGAATATTCATTTAATACGTATTAATATTCGGGTATAAACAAGAATTAATGTAAAAGTGATTGTATGTATTAATTGTTTCAAATTAATTAAAAATTAACGAGTTAGATTCACTCTATTTCACAACTGTCTAAGTTGAATAGATATCAATATAATAATTATTAACAAATTAGTTATGTAATTATAGATGGTAAGTACGTATTATTGCAAATTAATATTTAAATTAGATACCTACTATTACATAAAAAACAAGATATTCAAAATACCACAAATATAATAAAATACCAAACCATTTCTGATGACGTCAATGATTCACCATTTCAGTGAATCATTCGATCATTAGGTTATTTAAACGTGACTTAACAGTCATAACAGGAGGCCATCGATTACTTGTTTGAGCTCAATTAAAATTATTCTCATTGAAAGATTGCCATGAATTTTCGGTAAAGGCACTAATATATTATAGTTGCAATACAATCATATACTATAAGGTTATACATTTGTGCATTGATTTTATATTTTATATGAAGAATTATATTATACGTAGGGGTGTCAAACCAGTCCATACTGAAGCCGATTATTGGTCTGTAATATACGGTGCATCATCATCGTATTATACATCGCTTCCTCCTCGCGTAGACAGGGCTTGTGAGTCGATGGCGTTATTTTTTTTTAATAAAAACTATAACTCATGCACTTAAAAGTTGACTACCGTTACATGGATACACTTATCTTAATGTTTTTCATATGTTGGCATGAAGAAGGGCACTCATAAAAACACTAGGTAATTCCTTGTTGAATCCAAACGTCTCCATCATGAAATAAAATTGACGGTCACGAAATCTCTAGCTGGAATCGATCGCCGTCTTTGTTTGAATCACAACGCTGTACTAATTAAATAAATTCAACGCATGCATAAATAGAGGCATTGTGGCCTCGGCTCGTTCAAATATTAACCGATGAAATGTAAGCTTTGGAAGCACGGCGGGTTATCATGACGCTATGTGCTTTCAAGATATTAGGTCTCTAAATTAACTGTTTTCTTTTCCTAACATTCTTTTGTGTTAAATCACTACATAAGCAGGTTAAGTGTTAAGAAAACTTGATAGCCTAACACCCGGGTTCGAGTGTTTTACACTGATCGTCGTAGAAATTTCCTAATCAGCTGTCAAATAGCTTTTCAAATGTAATTTGAGTTGCCAAAAGGATGGTTAAACTCTTTGAGTTGATCATTGTGATCATTAAGAAGATTATTCTCTTTACATTGATCATTAGATCATTCTATTGAGTTTAAGCATCCTTTTGACAACTCAAATGACAGTTAAAAACTATTTGACAGCTGATTAGTAAATTTCTACGATGGTCGGCGTTTCAGAAAACGGGCGTGAGTGATAATCGCTTACGAAATCTATTGATATCAGGGTTTTTGTATTAATACGATAAATTGAGTCTTTCCTAAATCTAATTACTAACGCGACGATTATCATAACATAATATATTTAAATTGTTATGAACTGTTACTTCGCACATTTCCCAGAGTTGACCAAGTCATAAAATAAAAGCTTGTTAAAAGTGGTTTAATTGCCAATATTAATATATTTACAAGTACTTATAACAGACAATGTTTACGCTTCTAATCCCCAGAATAGATTAATCGCAAAAATGTTCTAAATATCTCTATTTTGTGAAATGATTATCCGTATTTACAATTATAAAAAAACCCTAAGGTTTACCTTAAAGGACTAATAACCACTGGTCTTCTCTCTACAAAAGGTTGACTGTAATGAGTTTCAAATAAGAATAGGAACTCCAATGACTTCGAATGACCGCGATCTATAAACTGTCAATTGAAAAGTATGGCTTGTAAACAAAATTAGTTTCCCACTTTTAAAATTTAATAACTTTAATTTTATAATTAATATATTGCTCAATTACCAGCAGTCACAAGAATGCACGAGGTCAGTCCTATTCTTATTAGAATCGTATAGCACCTAAACTTTTCACGATCTTAGCTTTTTTTAAATAATGCATCACGGGATTATACAGCGACAACCAGTAATATCCTGTGGTATTTTCCATAACAGAATGCCGCAGGACTTGTGTTTAAAATCCCCGAACTTACTTATTATAAAAACATATACCTACTTGTTGGTATTAGATGTATCCATTTGCCTGATTTAACAGATTTTTATAAATCGTGATATTCTTTTTAAATATTTATTAAAAGTCAACGCTACCTAAACAGAAACAAAGAATTTATAACAAAATTTATGCACGCATAACTTGGATATTATACCACCTTACATTTATTAAGTTTTTCGGTTTTAAGAACAGCAGAATGGACTTATCATACCCCGTAATATAGAATGAAGTAAAATAATTATTGAATGAAAAAATAAATATAAAAACTAATGTGAATCTCAATTTCAATTAAAAAAATATTACTTTAACATGTGAAGACAAAGTGCTTTTAAATGTGAATGCAATTTGGAAATCTATAATAGCAAAATGAAAAAAAGCGAAATTAACATAACCGTCTTAAGATAGCATGTGCGAGAACGGGTAGGAATTTATTGCATCTTGACGCATTTTTATTTGCATCGGTTCGTGGGATAATACGTGACATTAAGTGCTGACGCGTCTGCTAGCAAGATTCCCGCCGAGCTCTAACATTTTTATGATTTTCTTCACCCTTCAGCATAAGGTCATTAACCTTAGAAGACACGTATTTGTTAAGTGAAATTGCAGGCTACTCTTTACTATGCAACAAACTGCAATTTTAAATGTGTAGTCTTAATAATGCGATGGTGTGCGTTGAATATTAAATTCAACGCACACCATCGCATAAAAAAATTACTTTTTAATATATCAAAAACATTGAATATTAACTATAACTATATAACATTTAAAAATATGATTAAAATTTACGAATACCCGGTTAAACATAGACATAATCCTTACTCAAGAAATGCTTGTACTTAATCAGCAAAGCTCAGATGCAGAGGTGCCGTTATCTATACTGAATTTTAATATTCTTATAAGCTCATTGCAAAAAGGTTTCTAGCATAACTTGGTTTTAAAGATTTATAAAAATAAGTGGCTAAGCTGATTGAAACGGGCTTAATTCACTTAGATTTTCATTTTAAATCATGATACAAAGCCAGGAGTACGAAAAAAACTTCAAATGCTTAATGGATGAAGGAGGCAGGTTGAAATCCAATAGAGAATAAATTATTTATAAAAAGAATAATTACATCAAGGTTCCGAATTCTGGAAGATATTGCATGTCGAGCTTTATATTAAACCTCTAAATTCATTACCTCAATAAATAAAATCGTTTTCGGTGTTTCAATTGCAATACTAAATACAAACCCCTTAGAGAGCATGATATTATAAGTTATGGATTCCAAAACATACAGAAAGCGTTGATGTCTGTTAAGAGAACTTAATACAAGCTTAAAAAAACTTGTAACTTCGTATGTCACATACGATGATCCGAAATCAACAAACCAATCAAGTAGTGGGTGAACATAACTGTTTCCACAAAAAACCTTCGGTCGATTTTATCGCACCGTTATCTCAAATACTCACCTATTCGATTTCAACTCCCATTAACGTAGAGGGGCGGCTGCGACATGCACTGCCACTGAATTATAATAAAACTCGAAATACTAAACTATATATTGTGCGCAAGCGGCGTCCGTTTGCCGAGCGCTCGCGCGTCTGACTCTAAAATACGCCGTGCAGCTCCGTGCAGTGTGCGACTTAGCTCGGAGAAGAGTAGCGCTAGGGACGCGATCGCGTGATGCCCGTTCGTACGTACCGTACGCCACCGCGCTACCACAGCTAATGTATTGCAAACTGGGGCATAATAATTACACCGAACGGTTTTAGCGAACGTTCGCACGAGCGAAGAATGTAAAAAGGTGATTCAGTACAATTAATAAATGTACAAAGGAACAAAAGTTTTGGTTATTATCCCTCCAGCGTTTCTCTACGAATATTATTGATTGCGTAAAGTTATGACTATACGCAATATATATGGGTGGTTAGGGAACCCAAGCCTGTTAACTAATTATAATTACGTTGCTTAATTACTGGTATTAGTTAGAACACTTAATTGACCCATTAGTAATTTCCAATGATTATCATAAGTATTAATCTAGTTTTCAAATATTTACTAATGTTTTTGCCATAATAGTACAAAATTACAAAACTGACTGAAATGCCACATTACAATATTTTTTAAATGAGACATTATAATCCGCTTTGCGAAATTATTCGTCTACAGTTTTTGCAACATCAACATCAAATTTAAAAAAAAGTGAAATAGTCTTTATATAATACTACAGTAGGTATCACACTACAGTAGTATTTTACCCATAAAATCTGTTATTAATAGAAATTGATAAAATGGTTGTCATCAATTTTTTGTAATTTTATTGCAAAATTTTATTGTTTTCTATTATATTTCAATTTTAATGCAGAAGCAATTGTGTTATAACAAGACATAATATTTTTATATTCGAATTAATGTTCCAATTGGTGTAAATGGTAATCGAAGTCCGTCTATTGATGACAGTGACCTCGATCGTATGCCTTTCCTAAGCCAACCTTACTATACCGTAAGACGTCTTCGATACTCCATTCGACCATTTCACACCACGAAGACTCAATTCATTAGCGTGTATAATTTAAGCAGTTCATAATTTAATATTATATTGATATATATTTTAATGGCATTTAATATTCCCGTACAGACGTCGAATTCATTTGAAAAAAAAATGATGTTGTCTATAAATATATGTATGAAAAGTACTGGAGTTTAGTCAATTTCTTCAGTTAAAATAAATAAATATTATTGTCATGAGCCATGACAGCTCAGTCCGGGCGCTCGCCTTTAATTCAATATACTCGAGCAACCTGAGTTCGATCCTCGGTGCTGGCACCAATGAAGTTTTTAACTTTAAATGCTGACTTATCACGTGCTCCGCGGTGAAGGAAAACATCCTGAGGAAACCTGAATATTTTAGAAATAATAACAAAAGAATATTTTTCGAAGATATGTGATGTCCGCCAATCCGCAGTGGGGCCGCGTGGTGAACTTTGCCCCGATACCCTCTGTATAGAAGAGGTCTTTGCCCAGCAGTGGGAGATGTATAGGCTGTTACTCTACTTTTTCTTTTTTATTGTCCTCTTGATTTTTTATATAAATAAAATGGGACAGTGAATAGTGAGTAACGAAGAAACTTGTTTTTATATTGAATATATGTGACGATGATGTTATAAAGCACTAGACTCTTTTGTCAAGCTTCTAAAAAAATTTAAATCACTACAGAAACAGATTTGCTCATGCAAGTTTAAGACTATGTGTTTATATCTGGTCGAGCCTCGGTTCTGAATCAGCCTGCAGCTCGCTTTACCAGGCATCTTGTTCATAGTAAGTTTAATTTTCAGCGAGAATAAGACCTAGGCGATATGGTGCCATAAATGCCCTTAGCCAGGGAACCACACGACTCATGCGGCCGCACCCTGACTATAGTCTCAAGTATACGACTTGAGTCTTTAGTTAGGGACCGGTAGTACATGAAGTACCTGGGCTTATTTATTTATTTATTTATTCTTAATGCACATAATGTACAAAGGCGGACTTAATGCCATAGGCATTATCTCCCAGTCAACCTTAGGGTGGTACAGAGATAGGTAGGTGCACAGAGAAAAAAACTACTTAAGAAGATTACTACCTAATAAATGAAATACATACCTATATAAATAAATAATATAAGGGCTTCAATCTGGATAGTTGCTGGAGCTTTGATGAATAATTCTAACCCCTAGTTCAGCGGGTTTAGGGTAACGAGTGCAATTCGCAGAATGCTACCCAATCATGGGGGACCTAAGGAGGAAATTCACCATCTATATGCAGGGGTCGTACAATCCGTTGTCTTCTACGGTGAGCTAGTATGGGCAAAATGGCTTGCCGGCTGTCCCTGTATATCAGCGGTAGCCAACCTTATTCAAAGCAAATGCGCAATTTTTTTTACAGGGCAGTGGGCGTTTTTTTAGAGATTTAAGATGATTTAATTTCTGACAAATATCAGCTACAAACGTATATCACATAGCCAGTTCTTCAAGTAAGTATTTTGAAAATTTTGCAGCGGGCGCGTAACAGATCAAACGGGCACGGGTCGCGGTAGATCGTCTACAGTGTTCAAGATATAGGATTAGTGCGGCAAATATCTTGGCTCTACTTCTACACATACTGGCAGAAATAGATCTTTTTTTTAAACAACGTTCTAACTTTAGGATAACGTAATCCTGTGTTATAAGGAAATTTTACAAACATAAATTTCACTTGGATAAACATCCAGATGCGATACAACTATCTGTAGGTCGCACAAAAGTCCCGTGTGGGGATCGAACCCACGAGCCCCGACGCCAAAGCCAATACCTTGGCAACTGCGCCACGGAGAACCGACCCAGTGCCCTCCGTCAGAGCGGTCCCTCGTCCTCGTCCCGCCGGATGAGCGCAATCGAAAGGGTGCATGATCGATTGAACAACGATACGTAAACGAGTCTCTCCAGCTTTTTTATGTGAGAAGGCGGCAAGCGAGCTAGCGGTTCGCCTGATGTTATGTGATAACCACCGCCCATGGACATATGCAACACCCTAAGGGTTGCAGATGCGTTGCCACCTTTTAATACAGTGGGCCCCAGCTCACCAGACGAAAAGCAGAAGTGTAACACTTCCAATTCACGCCGGCCTTTGTGAGGCCCGAAGTCGTGGTACTGCCCCGGATGGCTCTGCCCATTCGTGCAACAACGAACTGTTGCGTGACTCTACCACAGTGAAAAATAGATTCTAGTTCTGAAAAATAGACTTACACACCAGTCGCAGGTTTTCTTGATGCTAAAATCACATACAATATTATACACTAGCTGCTGCCCGCAACTACGTCTGCGTAGTATAGGCTGAAGGCGTAACATTCAAACAGAAAGACAGATATACATAAAACATGTATATAAATTATAGCTATATATGTTTTATTCTGATGTATGAGCTATATTATTGTAAAGTTTCATTAAAATCCATTCAGTAGTATTTGCGTGAAAGAGTAACAAACATCCATCCATACAAACAAACTTTCGCCTTTATAATATTAGTAAGGATATATGCAGAACGAATAACAAAAGGTAATAAAACTCAAAACGTAATAAAACATTTTTAATGCTTCCTTTAACATTAACGAAACCAATACTGTCATTTCTTTGATACATTTTTGTAATTATATGGTACATTCAATTTTTTTTTCTGACGTACGAAACGCATGCCCCTCATCGCTTGCACCCACGCGATTCGGTGAGACGTTTCGGACTTACAAATCGAAAATTAATAACATTAAAATTTAATTAAAATCAAAAACATTACAAGTTTAAAGGAAGTCGGATATGTCGAAATTCGGTCGAGAGTTTTAAATAATATAATTAAAAATAAAAGAAAATATAATTCAATGCTCAAAAATTGTTTCACACAATTCATTTCCGTGGAACTAATTAAAAATCAAACTGTTTTTAAGCAAAAAAAAATGTTATAGTATACATACGTTAAAAGTATTATTAGGTTAATTAACGAGTAATAATCCTACTATTTCTGCGATGACATAACACTGGCAAGCGAGGCTCTTTTGGCTTTAATTCTTAAAAACATAAATTATAACAATAACCTTTGGACAAAGGAACTAAACAATTGCAAAAACACAAAACTTAAATTAGGTAAATACGATACAATCTCTCTAATACCTTACGTAACGAAAAAAAATATTATGACTAGTACAACTTATAAATATTAACATTGGTCGTTGTGCCATTTTTTTTTTATTTTTAACGATTTTTCTATTTTTTTATATTTTACATTTTGTGATGATTATTATCAATCATATACAATAATAATAATAACCACTAAATTAATATGATAATTATTGCATTTGATTGAATATGATATAAAAGGTCGCAATCAATATTGTCGGTGTCAATTGATAACGTAACGAAGTAATGTCAGCAGCCTGCAACCAACACAAGATTTATAAGAAGGAAGAATAACAAACTCTAAAATGTCTTCGTAAATAAACGAAAAACTGACACCAATTAAAGCATAATTAAAGCATGACTACAATGAAGAAAACTTAATTTGCATTCTTCAAAGTGAACCAGAATCCACTATTTATGAAAGCTTAATTCTGTGTAACGATATAAAATACAAAAATACTCATTGGTTTGGGAAAAAATAGAAATGCTGCGGTCTGTAAAGTTTTGACGTTAGATTTTATTTCATAAAGAATTACAAAACATTTAGCTATATTAATGAAACTCTGTTTAATACTTAAACTTAAATTTTATTTAATTTAAAGTAATTCTTTGCAAAATCGATACACGCGAAATTATATCACTTAAGTAATATTATTTATTTTTCTCTATTACTTAATCGATATATTATTATATATATAAGAAGTAACTTTGTATTAACGAGTAATCCTTTAAAATTGTTTTTTTTTAAATTAGTAAGAAACAAAAAGGATCGTCCACAGATTATAAAAGTTCTCTATAGGTAAAGAAAACAGAAACTTACGCACATAAAGAAATCGCTAATTTGTCTTTTTGTTGTCTTTGCTCTCTTCTTTAGGCTGTCCCTTGCCAAGGAATTTGGCAAGCGAGTCCCAGATCCCGCCGAGGAATAGTGCGCAGAACAGGTTCTCGAAAGGCACGAAGGGATCATGGATGCCCAGCAAAATGGAAGACAACTGCGAACAACACGCCGATTGTTGTAATTACAAAATAAAAATATGCATATTTATTTAATGTGAATATCTGGGGCATCTCGTTAGTTTTAAACAAGCATAGATAAAATTAATGAGTTACTAAAACACTATTCTTTTACGTGGATATGTCGTATGCTCCACTTTATGCCATGTAGTGCAAGTTGTAGTGGATATTCAAACAAATTGCGTGATACACAGAGTTGTTCTAAGCTTGGGTGCACTTTGTGTTCGAGATTAAATGTATCCAAATGTACTTGAAATAAATCGTGTCGTAGTAGACGTGAAGTGATTTACGACAAGTACATTTGTATTAACGAAAATCCAAACCGACTTCGAATATCTTTGTTATTTATAAATAGAGATAGTAAAGTACTATATATTTTTTTTTCTTTCAAAATTAATGTTTGTAGTGACTTTTGACATAATATTTAAAATTTTGAATTGATACAATCATTTCGATAATAATATATAATAAATATATAATAATAAAAGTGGCCACGCTTCGTTGTGTCTTATAAAAAGTATAATAAAACGTGGGAACCAAAATATCAAGTCAATCCATCGGCTAGTTTTCTTATTTTGTGGACACAAATGAACAGAAGCTAAATTTTTCTACATAAAGACGATGATTAGTTGACCCGTGCAAATCATGTTTGGAACATTAACAATTTGGTGAAGAATTATGGAAGTAATGACTTATTTTTAAGTTTGGGAAATTATGTAAAGAAACACGTTGACTTAAAGAGACTTAAAGAGCAAGCTTAATATTTTATCGATATTGACTGATTTTATGCTCTATTTACGATAGGAATATTTTCATTCAGCATTTTATTAAAAAGGCAATAATTTTACGTAACATTGACATTAAATTTAGTTCTACATTATATGCATTAAAAGAAGTATTGTAGTAGTCGTTATGATCAATTTATTGAGTGAAATTTAATAATATCGGTATATTAGCTAATAGTATACTGTTATTTAGAAATGATTGTCGTATATACGAATTTTGAGAAACGAGTTTCGTTTTGCGAAATGTCTGTACGCTTAAACTTCTCTAACTACGATACGACTGAACGTATGATGGCGCCCGATATTTTTAGGTACATAAAATAGCTTTTGGAAAAGATTCGTAGTGTAGGCTTGATTTGTAAAAAACTTTTCCAAATTAGAGTATGATCCTCTATATACGATAATTATTATGTTTACGCACTGAGACGTGATAGCTCAGTCTCCGGGCGCTCGTCTTTTATTTAATACTAGCGAACCGCCCCGGCTTCGCATGGGTGCAATGTATTATACATATAAACCTTCCTCTTAAATATCTATCTATTGGTAAAAAAGACCCCATCAAGATCCGTGGCGTACTTTTAAAGATCTAAGCATACATAGGGACAGTGAGACTTCGGGACGACTTCGTTTTAAACTAAGTAGTGATACTCCGAACAATCTGAGTTCGATCCCCGGTGCCGGAACCAATGAAATTGTTAATTTTAAGTGCTGAATTATTGTGCTCAGCGGTGAAGGAAAACATCGTGAGGAATCCTGCTTATTTCGAAATATTAATTAAAAAAAATATTTCGAAGATATGTGAAGTCCGCCAATCTGAAGTCGGGCCGCGTGGTGGACTATGCGTTGATACCTTCTGTACGGACGAGGCCTTTGCCCAGCCGTGGGACATGTATAGGCTGATACTTTACGTTTTTACACACTAGCCGCACTGTATGCTTTGACTGTACTGTTTTTAAAAAAGTCAATTTCATAAATCACATGTGACATCGTGCCGCACTAGTGCGTTTTCGTACAGTTTACTTCTCCACCGATCAAATAAAATAAAAATAGAATATTGTAAGCCAAGTTATTTATAATTTATCATTTTCTCAGAAAGTGATTGGTTATAAAAGAACACTTAAAAAAAAAACTAAAACACAAAAAGAAAAAAAAACAGAAGACTTTACGTACCTTGAAGTAGACAAAGAAGATGACGATACCGAAATAGACCAAGGCGTGCGGCGCAGAAATGAGGTCAGTCTTCTTGTCCAGGACGAATATCACAGACGCAACTAGCGACGCCTTCGTGTAGCTAAAACAGAAAACAAGATCGCATCATTATTTTGTTCCCTGCTATTGCATAATCCAGTTTTACTTCAGTACAGTGACACACCAACTTATGCTGGCTACGTTCGAGAAATTACCACACACAGTTCTCTGGAAGCTGTAGTAGTTTGGTATACGTAGTTTTGCATTTTATCTGGTGAGTGGAGGAACTGGAGCCCAGTGATTACTGATTACATATGATGTATTGATTACTTAAAAAAAAACTACTCATCGATATCTTTATAAACGGCCAGGATTTATTGTTGTAAACTTTTAGGTCTAAATTGCGTATTAAATTAATAATAAAAATAATCTATTGTAAACTTTATTGAAGTCAGCAGTTGAAGACTTCGCGGGGCAAAAATTGAGAAAGGATATTTATATTATTCACTAGCTTTTCGCCCGCGGCCTACTAAAAAGTACCTAAGGAATCCTACGTGCGCGAGTCCAACTCACACTTGGCCAATTTTTTAACTTTATATAAACTTACAATTTAAATGATCATAATATACAGTTAACTATAGTGACATCCAATCAAACTGTAGCTATTATATAGCATTTTATCGCACAAGTCTTCAATTTGACAGTTCTTTAAGTTGATAACTTTTTCTTATTTATGAACCGATTTAAATAAAACTAACTACACTAAACGTTAAATGAAGCTTACTACTATTCACTACGTGCGCGAGTCCAACTCACACTTGGCCAATTTTTTAACTTTATATAAACTTACAATTTAAATGATCATAATATACAGTTAACTATAGTGACATCCAATCAAACTGTAGCTATTATATAGCATTTTATCGCACAAGTCTTCAATTTGACAGTTCTTTAAGTTGATAACTTTTTCTTATTTATGAACCGATTTAAATAAAACTAACTACACTAAACGTTAAATGAAGCTTACTACTATTCACTAGTGAAAGTTGCAACCAAATCGTTTAAGCCGTTTTTGAGATTACCGCACATAAACGTACAGATAAATAATTTTAACAATCATTATTTTGCTTCTTTTAAACGATCCGTATCTTCTAAACTTTGATATGCGAAGATCGAGTCGATTCGGAACAATTAGCCTTAAAATCCATTCAGTAGTATTTGTTAAGCCTATATTGAATAAAGATACTTTGGCTTGAAAAAAAAAATATAGAAAAAATTAAAATTAAAATAAATTACTACAGATTACTGTAAGTGAAGAATTTTGTAAATAAACTTTAAAAAAGTGTAGAGTCGTTAACGTTTTATGTGACACCAGTAAAGGTTTAATGGTCACATTCGGTAAAGCGTTTTATGTATTCAAAAATTATTTGCATTTACAGATCAATAGACTTTTATGGTGCGTGTATTTCACGCGCATCATAAATGTTGGTGTGTGTGTCGTGGGTATTACTTGCTATCTCTATCTATCTTAGAAACATCGGATGATACTAAATGGTTGTATAATCGAGCATCGAGCTATTAGATTGAATAGCACGTTTTTGAGTTAGCTATTACATGGAGAGCATACACGTGTTATTTTTTGTAAATGTCATAGGAATAATGTAGAGTCGTAACCGTTTTAATAAATTCAATTTCAAATATCTCCATGTGGTTTATGGCATGTCTGGCTTGATAGCGTATGAGCTTGCGAGATATAAAAATAAAGCTTGCAAATTACTTCCAAACGTTGCTAAGTATCCTTTATGAAACTATATACCATCATTTTCTGTCTTTGTCTGATGTGATAGCGTATGGGCTTGCTACATATAAAAATAGTGCTTACAAGCTCGGCTGCATCGTTTCCATCGCTGTAGGAGTCCAGGCACCGCGCACAAGTCTCTCTATCAGCTTTGAAAATCCAGCACCGTTGCCTTTAAGCGTTCCTGTAATAATATCAACGCCATATGTTAGCCAATTCCTACTTGACAAACAATGAATTCGTTACTGCCTAACCATTGTGAACTGAAATACCTACGCATAAATAAGAAGTATTTAAGAAATATATAATGAGTTATTCTAGATCAATTATAGGTTATTGGAATTATAAATTCCAGTCAAAGAGCCGAAAATATCGATTAATGTTTTGTAATTCATCAAATTGTCAATTATCTTCTTTTTATACCTGCTGCATTATGGCTGAGAGATTTTTATATACTAAAAACATGTACCCAAATAAGAATAATTTTGGGCACAAAGAGGCCGTACTGCTTAATATGTAAGCTACTCCTACTTTATTCACTGAATTCCTCTATTTACTGGATTAATCCACATTTAGAAGCAACTAGTTACTCACCAACTATGACCATAATTATATAGGCATTGGGGTACAACTTGGCCGCGTGACTCACACCGTCGTAAACTTTCTTAGCCCGGTATATCTCCTTCATGGCGGACGCTGCAATCTTCACCGGTAGGAATTTAGCCACTTTGTAGCCAACGTCGAACGGCGTGTAAAACACTAAGTACCTGCGAAAATATAATATACACTCTTAAGACTCTATTAAAAGGGAAGATATATTTCCCTCGGAAACGAGTTCAACGGGGCACTGTTAATAAAGCTCTAGATAGCCCCTAGGATTAAAATGGAAAACAGTATCCGAGAAAGGAGTAGACTAAAGTAGGCAGTGTGTAAAGTTAATATGTCTTATTAGGTATATGTTCTAGAACTTGATGAACATCTGTGGGAGAAAAGAGCTCTGCGAGAGGTTTGCGAAAGAGCTTTGCTAAACTTAAACTTTTTCGAGTATTTGACTCCACTTTAGATTATGTTTATACACAATAATTTTCGTACAAATACAAATATAACTTTTAATGTAAACATAATTTTACGCATTTCATCGCATTGAATTTGCTATTAAAAATCTCGACGTTTCGAACACTGTAGTCTCTTCGGACACACAGTGTTGTTAAATCCGTGCAAACAATTTTATCGTTTTACGTGTACTTAGTTTAGTTAATCTGCTAAAACGCAGTCAATGAAGTAAGATTAACAAAGAAATGAAATGGCGTTACATAGTGAATATGTTAACACATTTTCGGGCGCGTTGAAATCTAGAATAGTACATAAGACACGTTTCAAATGCGCGTCGTTTCTTGTGTGGTCAATACTTGACCCGATGGTCAAGTATTGACCACACAAGATTAAAAAATTTACCCACCAAGTGACGGTGCCAATGAGGAGTTGCGGCGTGTTCTTCAGCGGCGCGAGTATCGGCTCCCCAAGTAGGGCGTTGGCCACCATGCCACCAGCAAAGATCACCAGCATCGTGGACAGCCAGCACGCTAAGGGGTGCTTGCGGGAGAAAGCCTGAGCGCCTGTAAAGCATCACTGATATAATACCACGTAGCATTTGCTATATCAATGTATGATTCAATCCCTTTAAGCGAGGGTACGTAATGTTTTTAGGTTTCCGTACCAAAAGGGTTAAACGGGACCCTAGTACTAAGACGTCGCTGTCTGTCTCTACGTCTGTCACCAGGCTGTGTCTTATGAACCGTGACAGTTAGACAGTTGAAATTTTCACAGATGATGTACTTATGTTGTCGCTATAATAACAAATACTAAAAAAAAACAGAATAAAAAAATATTTAACTGGGGCTCCCATGTAAAAGACATGATTATTTTTCCGTTTTAATAGATAATGGTACCGAACTCTTCGTGCGCGAATCCGACTTGCTCTTAGCCGGTTTACTTTATAAAAGCACGTGGCAAGCGAGCAAGCGGTGCATATGATTGATTTGTCTACCACCGCCCAAAGGTATCCATACAATACTCATCGCCATTGCATTGCTATTGTACTGCCAACGTTAAAGAGAGTATGCTTACACTATTTTTATGGTTGGTAGAGCAACGTCAATTGAATTTCAACTGAAACGCAAGAGTATAACTTCAGTTTTCTCGGTTGTTAATACTTAAAATTAATACTAATAGGTATCCTTTAGAATGTAATTGTAATTTTTGGTAGCACCGGCTACCCTTAAAAAGCTTACAATATTTTTAAGATTGGCTGCTGCACATTATCAATTCAACTGGACTTGCTTCATTAACAACGCGAACGCAAGAGTATAAATAAATTTAACTTCGTCCATTTTCTCAGACACCGTGGTATTTTCCCGGTCGTTAATAATTAAATTATTACTAATAGATGTTCCTTTCAATATAAGGGTTTTTTTAGAATTTATTACTAACTCCAAAATCTTAGTGAGCATGTGTATAAGTGTTATTATTTACTACAACATTAACGTTTGTCACGTGTTGCTTTAAAATTTTAAATCAGTTCGATGAAACGAAGATACTAAATCCCTGTTTACTACGTTTAGTTTAACTAGTTTGTTATGAAGAGTTAAACAATATTTTATAGTGTACATAATTATAGATTTTGCATTAACAGATTCATAATTTCAACCTTATTCACAACCGGCTCGTTGGTCTAGGGGTATGATTCTCGCTTCGGGTGCGAGAGGTCCCGGGTTCAAATCCCGGACGAGCCCATTGTATGTTCTATTTTTGTTGATTCGATAAATTAACAGTAGTTACAAAGCTATTTCCCGCTACAAAATACTTTTGTTTTAATAATTTGAGGTATTTCTGCTTTGCTCTTAAAAATATTTTAAATTTGCGCCATCTATGAGCCATCGAGTAATATAAATCTTTCCTGATGTAGTATTTTCGAGAATCAAGGACATCAAGTTTCTTATCAAAAACCTAACCTCTCTCTATCTTTTATAATATGAAAATGATAATAATATATTAAAAATGTAACTGTTTATCAGAATAATCATGCTTGGCATTTTTAGGTAGAGATGCAGACTCTAAATTAGATTTTATCATGAATTTATATTTACAATATTGTTCTCAATGCAATTTTGCATCATAACCGATATCAGCCCTATCTTCTTTCAAGAAGATAAATTTACTTTCAGTATTATTAAGCGATTACCATCATACATCGATAAAGTTAGCCATCAGTAGTATATTTATGACGCGGGGAACAAATCTATTTTTAAACGGTAGCTTTATTTTTGTATATTGCCACCGCAGTACATATTAAACGCTTCAAAGAGTAATGTAAGGATGCGGAAGTGTTTCCCATCTAATGTTTCAGCGGTATGCTTTAAGAGCGAAATTAAATAACACTTACCAGAGCCCAAATCTTCTCTTACCGCTAGAGCGCATAATAATGAATGTGCGACGTCGAAATAAGGATACATTTTCAATTTGATGACCTGGTTGGCCAGATCCAAGAATGCTTCGGGATCCATGCTGGTAGATTTTCGTCGAAAAGCCTGTTTTCAATTAGTTTTGGTACAACTTAACACCGACAATAGAGTGACACGATAGCGCCGTGTCAGCGACTTGCCGCGGGCGTTGTGGCCGCGAGACTGAGTAAGTGGGAATGCGGCCTGCCTGGACCGAGCGATGTTGCGTTTTTTGATTATTTTGGTCAGAACCACGGAAGCGCCTATATCGGTTGAAGGCATACGTCGCGTGGCTGACATTTTTCCATTTATAAGTCACTGTCAATTTGTTTATTTTCTAAACAAGATATCGTAGTATTTGTGGTGTGATATAAAATTACGACTCTCTCAGACAAGTTTCCGTAGTGTAGCGGTTATCACGTGTGCTTCACACGCACAAGGTCCCCGGTTCGATCCCGGGCGGAAACATCTTTTTTTAATTTCATTTTTAACTTTAATATTTTTATTTAGTTTCTTTGTCGGAAGAAAAAAAAATTGTACCGTTTGTTTTCGTATATATATTTACTTTTAGCGTTCAATGTAATATACACCTCTTTTAAACTAACGCATAATTTAAATTTGTTTAAATTATGCGTTAACATATCAAAAAATAAAAAACATTTACTTTTAAATGATTATATTTTATCTATAATTATAACGGTTGTTGACAACAAAGTATCAAATTGTATAAAAGTATAAATTTCTAAAAAAGCTTATAAATATAAAAATAGTTCGAACATTTCCAAGCACAGGGAACAATTTCGTGTTTTTTCTCTTCAGTCTTTGCTTGTTAAATACACAGCCAAAAACCTTTGGAAAATCATTTAAGAATCCATATAATTTTTCTCTTTCAATGTTATACATAAATACTAAGTCAAAATTACATATTTTTACATTATTATTGCAGAGATTCTTATCAGAGAGGGACTTATCTTTCATATCGGTTTAAGGGTTTTATTAAAATGACCGTCATGTTTTCAGTAAAATACAGAATTAAAGATTCAGAAAAGTATTTTCTTACAAAATACTGTATACGTATAAACTGGCTTTTATTTCCATTATCAAGCTGCAGAAATGACATATATTAAAGTTCATGGTCAGATAATTCATACATTTTATAATTGTGACTAGGATCTCTTGTGTCGCTGTGACCCATATTAAAATTCAAAAGTTTCGTAACTCCCACCAGTTTGAAGAAATGCAAAATGCACTATTTATTTACCATAAATTTTGTAAATATTTAATAATATGTTATGTTATGATTACCATAGTATTAGTGCAATTAATAAACATAGTTTCAAACAATATTTTCTATGTTTAAATATTAAATTAACCTAACCTTATATGCTTCAAATATAATAAATATGCTTAAAATAAAATATAGTAAAGCGATATATGTATTAAATAATAGAATGCCTCGATCTATGTCGTCAATTAAGGAACCATACTTTCAATGCATTTACAAAAAAAAAAACATTAAAATAACCTTATTTATACATGCTTAAATTATTAAAAAAAAATAGGAACAGAGAACTCAATTACATTAACACACCAGATATAAAAAACTTATATAAACTTACATGCTTTGCATGTATTTAAAAATAAAAAAAAATATATGTAGAGTGGTCTAGTACGCCTCTACATTATGTAAATAAAAGTTTTATTTAAATTTTTTAATTCAGTCACACGAAACTAGTTCATCATAGTATCAATAATAATGCCACGCATTCATCTCCTCCTACGGTCATCAATATAACAATACAACACCGCAGGCAATGAAACTTAACTTCTTCAAATTATTATTGATTAATCATACAAGAATGACACTTGAAAGCGCTCTTTAGAAGAACATACTTGCCAATTGTAAATACATTATTTATTTTTATACAATGAGATGTGAATAAATAATGTATCTATTTGTTTGGGATGTTTGAACAGCTGTTGCAACCTACAATAGTGAAAATTTCAACATAAAACTTCGTAATAGTCGGCTTATTTAAGCTATAATAGCTCTTAATGTTTTTAAAATGTTCTTTATAAGAATTACTAGGACAAGGCAAGCAGAGTATTATTAAACAACCTATTATTTTTTTCTTTCTGCCTTTAGCCTTTTTCTGCCTGTACAAACAACATAAACAGAAAAAAAAAATTAGAACACATATTTAGACAAAGTTTTCTAGTCCCAAATTAAGCAACGCTTGTACTATAGGTACTAGATAACTGATAAACATGCTTTACTTTTTGGAAACAAATATATAAAAAGAAACGATAAAAAATGGGAAAAAATAACAATAATATGTAAAAAGACATGTTCAGTCAGATTTGTACTCTTTATAGTAATTTTTTTTAATCTTAAATTATCCAATTTTTATTGATGGGAATGTAAAAAGTAATTTAAACCGAGAACATCAATTGAACTTAATTTTTAGTAATATGGATTTTGTATTCGGACCTAACTCCAATCGTTATTCCAGTGCTTTAGTAATTTAGTACTTTAGTACGCTGGAATTTGGATACTCTACTTGCCTTACAGATTTTTTTTATGTGAAAAGTTGCCAAGCGAGCAGCCGGTTTACCTGATGTTAAGTGAATACCGTAGCCCATAGACGTCTGCAACACCCGAGGGTTCCAGATGCGTTGACAACCTTTTGAAAATTGGGCTCTGGCCACCTCACTCACCAGACGAAACGCGAAAGTATTATATACTTCCACTTTACGCCGGTCTTCTGTGAGGTCGTGGTACTTACCCAGACGAGCCTGCCCATTCGTGCAACAGCCGAGGCTGCTGCGTGGCCCTACCACCGTAATGGGTGACCAAGATGATGGGTGTTTTAATTATTTTTTATATATTGAAGTAAAAGACAACACAGTTTTACTATTGGCATTCGTAATATTACATTATCCATCGTAGTAAAATACGATAATAAATCCATTACTTCGATGCATAGGGCGTTTGAGCCCTACACGAGATTTAACGGAGATGGCAGCAATACAAAAACGTATTTCTACTTGTAATTTACGCTCGTTGTCCGCATTTTTTTATAGCTCAAAATTATTTTCTTTTTTTTTAACATTAACCTTACCCCAGAATAATAGTATCTGTTGTAAGAAGGTTTTACATACACTTTCACGCGAAAAAATATTCGAAATAATACCGTACGTCGGTCTCAAACATACTTATCGCGCGCGTACATATCGAACCCAAGGCGCAAAGACCCGGTGAAATGAGAAAAAGAAAAGTCATTGAGCTTGAACTGTAGCGTAGACAATACAATACAACATTACAATAGTAAAATGATAAGTATAATAATAAAATAATAAGATGCCTTTAAATAAATTATCAATTGTTCGTCATTGGAAAGAGCCGCAACAAATGTACTCGAACTGTGATTTGTGGTCTCACATTTAAACACAAGTGGTTTACATTATCGATTTACCAAAATAGTAAAGTACAGAACATCGTAAAAAAACTAAATATAACGTTAGCAACCACAATATGATGGAGAAATCTATGAAAGAACGTATTGTCGAAATTTTACGAATTACATCGCGCCGGAAGTATGCAGTAATTCTGCGGGGCCACCTGTAAATAACAAACAAAATTTTATGAAATGAAGATGGAGTTTAAGAGGAATATGTCAGTTAATAAATATAGGTATAATAAAAAATAAAGGTCAATCTTATCTCTACAATCTACTAATGAACGATGTTCAAAGTCCGGATTTGGTAGGAGGAAAAAATTCAATCCCTTCCCCACATGTATATTCCCCACTTTATGAATAAATATCTCTGTTTCATATTATGAAAAATTATCAATTTATTTAAACTTAACTTGCGCAATTAGAAAAAGACACTGTCTGACACTGAATTAACACTATAATTTCAATGTTTGTGCAATGTATCTTATTACATTATTAGATTTTATACTAATAGGTTGGGGAAAAAGTATCTTCGCATTTTATATGAAAATTCAAAACATATTTTAATAAAGTTTATTTACATTTAATTAAAGTATGTAGGTGCCATTTTGTTCGATAACTTTCTCCCATCTTGTAGGTAGGGACATGATCCCATTGCTATAGAAATTATGGGGCTTCTCCGCGACAAGTGGTTTTGGCAGTCCTCTCGTGATGTTAACCTGACACTGCCTAAAGAATTCTGAAGAGACCGAAACAAGTGGAGATATGAAGGTTAAAGGTCAGGACTATACGGCGGATGCATTAACACCTCCCAGTCAAACTGTCTTAATTTTTGCTGAGTGGCTAAAGATGTGTGTGTTCTAGCGTTAACATGAGGAAAAACCACAGCCCTTCATCAGGTTTTCACAAAAACGCTCTGGCGCAAGAGGCAGGTGCAGTACTCATTACGCTAATCGGGTCTTATATAACAACGAATAACGCTTGATCTGACGAGCTTTTGATTTTTTTTAAATTTCCAGATTTTAGCTAGTTCACGCGTCAGCTTTGACGGGTCTTTATAAGTTATTGTAGGACCTAGTAAAGCAAGCCATTAATAAAAAGAAGAAGAAGAAGAAGTAGGACCTAGTTTTTGACACTCAATATTTCTTGTGTTGTAGTTTCTGACACTATCGTCGGCCTAGATTCTGACACTCATTTATAAAAATTATACATTATCGATTAGGTTTACATTATTTAATTAAAATAAACGAAATTCATTCAATAAAAGATAAATTAAACTTTTATTAAAATTAAAACACTTTTTTGCTACATTTAAGTATTATTAACAAATAAAAAAACTGTTACAAATATTTAAAATTAATCTTAATGATTTTTCTTTTGCTTCGTTGTCAACTTTTTCTTCTTTTCTTCGAGTTTTTCTTTTTTTATTATCTTTTCTGCTTCTTTAATTGCTTGTTTTCTTTGCCTTTCAGCTTTTTTAAGTTCCTTTTCATCTTCTAGTTTCTGTTTCTTTGATTCATTATTCTCATAGTATTTCAGTAATTTAATTTAATGAAGTATTTTTTGACAGTAAATATATTGTTCTTATTAAAAAAAAATTATGTTAATTTAACACTACCATTATGGATAAAAGCATATTTGTATAATATATTAAGTATAATAAATATAAATATTTAAATTTTCATCCAGACGCCAACAACCAAATAACCTCGATAATAGGTTAGAATTGGGGTGTCAATAACTGTGGCATTTCTAAAATAATGAACCTAGTTATTGACACACACATTTTAATACATAAATGTGATTTACTGTGATATATTATAATTAAAAACTAAATAATATATAATTATTAACTAATCTATATATTTTTTATTATATTTTTATACTTACATGATAAATAATTGACTGATTCGATCGACGAGCGCTCTTACGTATGCTGCTTAGATTATAGCTTAAAAATGGCTTCAACAGTCATTCAACACTTAAAAAATTTTTTTATAAAGTTATTTTTTTTTGACGGTTGGAAATTTAATTAATTACGTACATAATTAATCAATTTAAATTTAAAAAAAAATTATTAAACTATTTAACGAAATGTTTTTATTTTAAATTTAAAATAACGTTCGAAGTGTCACTAACTGGGTCAGGGTCAATAATTGGGTCTTTTACCTTATACACTTATAAATAAAAGTATACTAATCATTAATGCAAATGACAATGTGCCTATTTAATAATTCTATATGAGTGAGAATATAACTTGAAACATATTTATTCGCTGGTTGGAATCTTAATGAATCTTAAGTTTTTTTTTTAATTAATTTTTTGCACATGACAAACCACCGTCCAGCAATATAAGCTACCCCGTTTAAGAACAGGAGAGCTTGTCTTGCTTTGCGTTTCTTACTTTTAATGAAATTATGCATCTTACCATTGCCTTTACTGGGTGATTTCCTGCACTGTATTTCCGTTAGCTGAAAGGGAAGGAAAAATATTTTATGAGTACCGTATGTATATACAATTTCTTTAACTAAAATATTGACCGTTTTTAGGGTTCCATACCCAAAGCGTAAAACGGAACCCTATTACTAAGACTTCGCTGTCTGTCTGTCCGTCTTTCACCAGGCTGTATCTTATGACCCGTGATAGTTAGACAGTTGAAATTTTTACATATGATGTATTTCTGTTGCCGCTATAACAAGAAATACTAAAAAATATATTTAAATGGATCTCCCGTACATCACACATTATTTTTTTTGCCGTTTATACGAACTCATTTGGCCGGGTTTTAAAGTTTTCTTTAATAAGCAAAGCGTGGAGAAATACATTTAATTATTATTGATAAGCCCATTTGCTGGAAGTGGTTGGATGCAGTATCGTTTTCCATGGCTGACTGTGGGAGAGGACTATGTTCAGCAGCGGACTCAAACAGGCTCATCTCGATATTATAGGGAAAATGTTCTTCCTATTCGCTTTGGAGAGTCAAACATTTTAACTTTTCCGTTAATTATTGACACCCCTGCGTGCCGATCAGTGGCGGATTTACCAGCAGGCTATGGAGGCTGGAGCCTAGGGCGGCAGATTTTAGGGGGCGGCAATTTGGCCCAAAAATTTTTGCCTTACAGAAAAAAAGAAAAACATCATTGTATACATTCATATTTAATGAAGACTAAAGTCTTCATTAAATATGAATGTAAAAAAAACTGATGTAATAACGGCGAAAGAGCACAAATCATAATTTTATTGACAGAATAATTGTAATTAATATGATTGCGGACTAGGGTATCGAATTTCAAAAGTCAGTAGGGGCGGCAAAACTTTAACATCCTATTGACGGCAAATTTATAAATCCGCCAGATGCCGATGCGGTATCATTATTATTAATTCGTATTGAAATATATACTGTAATGTAGGATGTGCGTCTTCAATATGCTCTATATTTCCGTACCGTTTTGCCCTATAATTATCTACATTACATAAATCGAACATGATATAATACTTTGTAATATTTTATACGAAAGAAGTTGACTCGATAACAAGTGTTACCCGCCAAAAAGGCCAAAAAGCCAAAAAGGTTGGCAACCATTAAAGAGTCAGAGCCCTGCTTCTCACATAGATGGAAAAAGAATAAATTCTTTTACGTATCGGTATTGCACTTGGTACATGGTAAAGGTCCATTCGTGACACAACACAAAGCTTGACTTCTAACGATTGCTACCAATGCTTTCAGTCCGTAGACCGTATAAAGCTTCGCCGGACAAAGTTTAGGCTGTGTATTGTTATGAACACACAAAGGAACGAACGCCATCTAGCGTCAACTATTAAAACCACTAAAGAACAAAGACGACATAAAACCCCCTATTCAACACTAGATGGCGTTAGAGGAACTGCTGTGGAACTATAGTCTCGAAAACCGGGTACATTCGCGAACGTTCCGGAATCATGAACATGTTCGTGCGTGTCGGGTACGTTCCAGGAATGATCTTTCTGGATTATTCCGGAACCGGTCTCGGCCCATATAAAAAGCCGCAGGGAGGCGAGCGATGACAGTTCAGTTTTTGAGCTACCTTCGAGGCGACTTCGGAGCGAAAAAACTGTGATCAAGAGCGATACCAGTGAAACCTACGACTTGGCTACAAAACAGGACACCGTTAGTGCTTAGTGTTTGGACCTAGTGCTTTGTGTTGGACCTAGTGCTATTGAATAAAGTCTTCAAAAGAGTCAGCAGGTCTTTCTCTCCAAATCCTTCGAACCCCTAACACGTAAAAGTATGTTACGCACAGTTAAATAATAGTTTACTTACGGTTTCTGAAACACTGAACATCAAGAAGATCATTTCTGATCAATTCAGAGAGTTTAACCATCCTTTTGACAACTCAAATGACATTTGAAAACCATTTGACAGCTGATTAGTTAAGTTCTACGATGATCAGTGTTTCAGAAACCGCGCGTTAGTGTGCACTGTTCATTGGGTTTTTTTTTGTTATTAAATCCACTATCTACTCAATAAAAAACACATACGAATCAGCCCATGAGAAGACTGCTGCGGCGTGACAGCTGCTAAGTCGCGCTCGTTCTGAAGCAGTCGTTGGGTTTCCCTCGTAAACACATTCGTGCAATCATCTATTCCAGCCGATTCGCTCTCTGTCCTTCTTCGCCAGTCTGTGCGCTGTCAAATCGCGAATCACTGTGCGAACTGTCATCGCCGACCGCTCTCGAACTGTCAACTTGACAGCTGTCATTGATCTGACATTTCGATTGGCGCGGAGTCGCGTCGTTTCGCGGCGACGTCTCCTGCCCGGAGTCAATGCCGATGTCAGACTGATCGCTCATTCCGCTGGTCGGATTGGTTAACTGCACATAGAAATTGATACTTGTTAGGGGTCGTCATTTAATCACTTGGAGGTCGAAAGGGGGTTGGGGAGATAAAAAAGATATCCCCGCCCAGGGACATTTGCAACACGCGTGGGCTTGCAGACGCGTGTTGCAAAATTTTAATTTTAGTTTGCGCCTTTTAATGTTGCACGAATGGGTAGGTCCGTCCGATTAAGTACCACGACCTCACAGACGACCGTCGTAAAGTAGAAGTGTTCACACTTCTGCGTTTAGTCTGGTGACTGAAGTAGACGGGGCACACTTTATTTAAAGGTGGCGACCCATTTGCCACCCTAGGAGGGTTGCAAATGTCCATGGGCGGCGGTTATCACTTAACATCAGGTGAACCGCCAGCTCGTTTGCCACTTTAACACATAAAAAAAATCCTCACAGTGTAGCTGCAGTCATCGTCCGAGTCCGCTTGAAGGTCCACCATCATCTTCTCGATGAGCCTCTCCATGCTGGTCTCGCTGGTCGACGCCACAAGACTGGCTTCCTGCCGGCCGCGTTTGTTGCGCTTAACGACCTGAAGGGATAAATCCAACCCTATATGTTAGCATACGCAATAATTGTGTTATTAATATTTTACTGAGCCAGCACTGGTCTAGAGTTATTTGGTCCATGGTGGCGATACCTACAACAGTTATTCGACAACCGTATACAATGTTGTACTAAAATGTGTTGTTGAAACAAAATGGTGGCGACACACCATTCGGGTGATTCAGGTTTCGGGTTAACGATGTCGAATGTTAAGAAATATATCGATATTTATCGGGGTGCATTCTTTCAAATAGAATGCTCTTTGCTTGTGTTCCAAATGTATATCGAATGTATGTCGCATCCTGGTCATGAGTACGGGTGCTTAAGTGAATCATGGGACTCGTCTGAAGTTGCACCGATCAAACTATGTTGCGCGTCCCTAACACCCCTCCATGAACCCATGTTAGCGGGCGTACGCTATAAGGTAAGATATTCGTGCTTTGCGACGGTTATCCGTTGGAGTTCTGCTTTGTTCCCTGTTCCACTAATTACTTTATATAATAGAACGATTTAGTCAAAATTTGACACTGCCACGCCGACATTAAAAAGAAATATAGGATACTAGCCTTTCGCCCGCGGCTTCGCTCGCGATGAAAATATATTTTTTTTATAAAAATAAATTTCTTTCTTTAAATAAATATCTGTCTTTAAAAAACATAAATATTTTTTAAAGGAAAGATATTTTCAAACCTTTACAACACTTTATCCTTTCTCAGGTTCTAGACTATCAATATACCAAGTTCCATTTAAATCGGTTCAGTAGTTTTGGAGTGAAAGCGAAACAGACAGAGTTACTTTCGCATTTATAATATTAGTATGGTTTAAGCTCGAATATACAGATAGCAGAAACATTCTATATACAGATACAACAACGTACAACATTCGGATGGGCGCAAGCTTTCCGCTTACCAGCACCTCTTCGTTGTTGCTGACCCTACTGGTGTTGTTGTTGCTATAGACGGGCGTCTGCCGTCGGAAGCACATCGTGAGCTCGAAGAGGGACTGCGCGCCGCTGTACCAGGGCCGGCGCGGCTGTACGGGGTTGCCGCGCGCCCTCATCATCCTGTTGCCCTGGTACTTGAGCGTGCGCAGGTAACGCCGCTTGCCCTGGATGTACGTCACCTGTGTACGCCGTGTCTTGTTGATATTATTCGCCAATCGTTAACCAACCCGGTCAAAAAACCCGGTAACAAAGCGGTCAACGAAATAAAAGTCGAAAACTTTCAAATATAATTTAATGTAACTTCATTATTACCTAATTTTGACTCTATCGTGGGCTCTCGCTAAAACTGTCGCTATGTCGCCCCTGAGCCCAGGATCTCCGAGGCTCTGCATTTTTATATTCACTCTAGGGGTACAAGTCCACATGGAATTGGGGTGCTCTGTGTCGGATCTGCGACGCACTTTCAACCTAAACTATTTCTCTAATAACCTAGGTCCTACAAGGCCCCTTGTTATATTTAAAACTTAAATGACATTTGCGCCCATCCAACGGAAAAGTACCTATTATTCTTGTGTATCACACCTGCAGTGTCCAGGCACTCGCTTTTAATTGTTGACGCCAGTTAAATTGTTAATTTTAAGCGCTGACTTATCGCCAGCTCAGCGGAGAAGGAAAACATCTTTAGGAAACTTTCATATTTTCGAAATAATAAGAGCCCTCCGTACAGAGGAGGCCTTTGCCCAGCAGTGGGACATGTGTAGGCGGATACTTTATTTACTTTACAGTGCCTCATGCCTATCGAATAGGGCTAGGGTATCCCTTGCCAGCCGTAAAAGGCAACCGAATGTTCCCTAAAAGTCCTGTGAAGACGGCAAGGCGAAGTGTTCTACCGACAGAACCGCAAACAGATCGAGAAACTTGGGTAGGCACCAACCTTCCCTAGGGCATGCTTAAGCGCAATTCAAATACCCCCCTTACTCTCCCCTCAACACACTGAGGGAGTTGTTATGGGTAAGCCTGCCATATCACCCTACCAGAAGGCAGGGATTCGAAGATATTCGCCTCGACATCAGAATACAAACAAAAAATTCCAATCCATACGCAAAAATCATTCAGCGTCGCTTAAACACTACACATTATTAAACTTTTACCGGTTTTACTGACTTTAATGAATGTTTAAACTCCCGACTTTGCGGTTAGTAAACAGCGTTGAAGCAATCTTAAAAAGGTTTGTTTCAACAGTTTGATCGACTGTGTAAATAACACTGAACCACTCACCATCTCTGCCGACCTTAACGGCGGCTTCCCCAATACAAGGTTGAGGAGGGACATCGACTCCCTGACCACGCGGAGGACTATGAGAAGGGCAAGGAAGAACACCCAGGGTAGAGGACGAATTAGCTCCGGCTGTGGTTGATCATCCTGGTCCACTGCAAAACAACAGCCCAACCACCATCAGAGCATCAATACAAACAATTAATCATTCGCGAAGCCAACAAATATTCTAGGATCTATAACTCGAGAAATACTAGCTCGCGCTTCAACATTACAATAATATTAAAATAAAATTACTCATAAGCAAAATGAAATTTTATACTACTGTTATGTTAACATCACAATCGGGATTTTTTGGCAAACGAAGAATGAGGAAACAAATAAGTTTAATACGCGGATGAGAAAGACATGCACCGCGAGATTTTATTAGGAAATCTGAAGTGACGGTAGTTCACTCTCCTTTTTATAACGTTGCAAGGTAACATGTTAATGTGCTGTCACACTGTTAGGAAATGAGAGAAGGTGCCCCCGGGCCCTAGGTACTTCTGTCACCAGACGAAATGCAGAATTATAACACTTCCACTTCACCCCGGTCTTCTGTGAGGTCGTGTTACTTACCCAGACGGAACTCCGCAACAGCGAAGCCTTGTCTATGTTTATTTAAAACTGTTCATGGATAAGTTTTAAATGATAGTAGTAGTAGTTATGGCTACAGTAAATCAATGTACTTTCACCACAGATAGTTTGCCGTGAACATAATGTGTTAAACCAGACTTCCCGTGTGAATGTAATGCGACCAAAGCATCTAAAAAAACCCACGTCATCTTATCTCCGAAATTTATCGGTTATTGCTGCGTTTCCCTTGAGTTTAAACGCGGAAACTGTTGCGTGGCCCGACCACAGTAAACCGTTATGCGTCACTTACATAGTATAAAACAAAGTCGCATCTTTAAAATTACGCAACGGATCTTGATGCGGTTTTTTTTTACTAGATGGAGTGATTCAAGAGGAAGGTTTATAATTATGTATAATATATTGCACCCGTGCGAAGCCGGGTCGGGTCGCTAGTATAACATAATAACAACAGAGTATCATTGCATAAGCAGAAATGTATTTACATGGCGGCGGTACAGCCCACAGCGCGCTTTTCTCTATCGTCCACAGCACCCTGTCCACTTGACGCAAAACAGTCTGCCCCAGGCGATAGCTTACGGCGTACTCTGCGACGCTCTGCAGCGTCTCCTGTGCGAAGAACAACACCTCCATGGCTGGAATGGACACATTATCCTCGTCAAATGTCAGTCCAAACGTACAGTTGACCTAACTTCTGGGATAGTCCACGAAAACGCTGCAAATTACGGGGTCTACAGAAGCTTCAATAAAAGCGTTTATTTTTTATTTTTTTAATTGCCCTTGCTTTAGGATAACATAATCCTGTGTTGTAAGGACGTTTTACAAACAGTACCTGGAGGAGGGAGGTTCGTTTTTTTTTTTTTTGGTAATTCGTGTATTTTGCGGCGACCGAGCTATTATAAAATTTTTTTTTGCGGCGAAATTTACCGTCATATTCGAATGATATTTTTCATTCCCTGAAAACAGGGATAAAAGGACATTTTCTAAAAATAAAACCTTTCCTTTAAAAATAAAAATTTCATGAAAATCGCTGGAGCCGTTTCCGAGATTCCGATTATATATATATATATATACAAGAATTGCTCGTTTAAAGGATATAAGATAAATTTCACGCGGACAAACACCCAGATTCGGAACAATTATCTGTGGGTCACACAAATAGTTGTCCCTTGTGGGGATCGAACCCACGACCCTCGACGCCGAAGCCAATACCTTGCCAACTACGCCACGGAGTCATCATTATAGCATATATTATAGCATAGGATTCGCGAAACTAGCATTTCCGTCTTCTATCCGTAATGATAAGTTTTAACACCTTTCCCGGGTAATAATGGATTCGGTAATCGTATCGATTACGAAAAGCCGGAAAAATATATTTTTTTAAATAATAATAATAAATATTTTATGACATATTTTTACACAACGTTCTCTAGTCCCAAACTAAGCAACGCTTGTAGTATGGGTACTAGATAACTGATATATATGAAAACAGATATAACTGATGATATACATACTTAAATATACTTTTCTTTTGTAAATAAATACATATTATATATATAAACATGCAGACATTAGTAAAACACTATGTTCACCACACAATATTTTTCCAGTAGTGGGGATCGAACCCACACTCTCTGGCCCCCTAGGCCATTCGGATCCCTATTGTATCATCATTATCATATCAGCCTGTTTTAGTCTTAGTTTTTGTCGTCTCTTGGACATTGGTCTCCATCGACCTCGTCACATATTCACAGTTAATAAGTAATCTAACTATGGTAAAATCCATCCTTATGTATGAAAGCGTTGTTTATGAATAACGAATAGAACGAATTTGTTAAAGAGCTAAGACTATAAATTAAAATTATTAATTTCATGTTTGTTCATCAAGCATCACTATTGTCAACGGTCTAGTTACTTTCAGCGAACGTGTTGTCAAATTTTTCCACGTTTAAATAAACGTAAAACACTCCCGATAAACACTTAGCGATTCATTAAACAATAACATGTAATAGGGAGCTATCGATAAAAACACAACACTTATCACCAGGGCAGACCTCAAGGAATCAAGCACCGTTTTAAAGACGATTGTATTAACTCACCCACACTCGATAATGAATATTACTGACTAAGTCCCTATTTACTCAAACAAATATTACATCCGTGTTGGCGAATAACAAAAAAGCGTAAGTTCACATTATCTACAATTTTCACTTCTACTCAACAGGGTTATCATTTTACGCAATATAACAGATATTAAGGGTTTTTTATCGACATCATATTTCTATTCAACTCTAAAAAAGTTATTATTTACATAATATATTTTATTTTAAATAATATACTGTAGTATTTACATAATATATGGTTTTCAAAAAATATTATTTTCCTTATTACATGAAATGTTTTTTTATGAAAAAAATTATGATTTTTAATCCTAATATACTTTTTTATGGGAAAAGGGGGCTTTGTTTGCCTGCGGGTCACCTGATGGTAACTGATCACCGTCGCCCATGGACATTAATAAATCTCTAATGCCCGGGTATGCAAATTTTATTCGTTTATTACGCGAGAGCGGTACATACTCAAATTACAGAAAAATTCTCTCTTTACCAATGCTTCAGTCGCTATTAAAATACCTCTCGATTTCGCACATTAAACACACGTTTTCACCAATATCACGTCACTAAGAATGACAATATTATTGCCGCGAAAATGACTGCATAGGACGCTCCGACGACGGTCTTGGAACTGTGCTTTTAATATGGTCAATAAGCACAATTGAAACGCAAAAGGGCCCGAACTACTAACAGCCACTTACACAATGAATGGCTGGATTCGATTATAATAGTTTATCGTTTATCTATTATACGTATATAAATTATATTGTACTACATTTGTCGAGCAAATTTGTCGACGGTTGAGTTAACGTAAATATTATTTTTATAACGACGGCTGACTATTAACCTGCATAGTCAGCAGAAATTATGAAATCCACATCGTTTATCCTGTTCGGATTGATATAAACAATTCGCGTATTATCAACGATGAACATTTTCCCTTGCCTTCTCTCTGCAAAACTGAAGGTTCAAGTTCATGCCTTCGTTTAAAGGCAGAGGTTTGTATTCAGATTATTATTGGTAATCGTATTTAGATACTTTGTAGAGTATTTAAAGCCCATTCTTGTTTTCGCCTTCTTAGAACCTTTTCCATTCTTGTTGATAAAAGAATAAGTCCAAAACACCTCACAACTTAATCTTCATAGTTAAACGCACGCATCAGCACTCGTGGGTTCTGGCTAGCCCACCGGTTCTGCGTCAGATGAAGCTTTAATAATCTCGGAAACAAAAACAAAAACATCAGCTAATACAAAATACTCAATCTTCCTCTAGGCCACAAGAATATCGGAGTAATGTTTTTTTTTAACGGAAGCGAGCAAGCATTTTTTTTTTAAATTATAAATGATGCCCGTCCAACGACACCTACAGCAAATTCAACGACAAATATTGCGTAAACATGATTGCAATCATCCCTCACGTGAGTAACTTTTATATTAAAACATATCAATAACCATATATAAATATCAAACAAGCAGGAGGCTTTTTCTCTATAAAAATATTTCGATTTGTTTAATTATCTCACAACAACCCTATCGAGAACGCTAATGAGTGCAAGAGCGGACATAAATATGTCGTTTTGACTTCTTTATACCTCATTGATAAAAGGGCCATAGGTCGATGCAATCGGATGCTGATACTGAGGAGCATACACTGAACGTAATTCATTAATACCATTCGGCCAGATATAGAACACCTTGCTGTTCATTATTAATTTTTAACGGTTAAACTACGGTTGTACGGAGAAAAATAGTATCGTTTTCTTTAAAAATAAATTTTCTCTACTTCCAGGGTTGACTGGGAGAGGATGCTTATTAGCATTCAGTTTGCCTTTTGTTTGACCTTATATTTAGATATTTTCAAATATAAAACTATTTTGAATCAAGGCATGTTGTCATGCTGTGATTAGTGTTTTTGTGTTTAAGAAAAAATGCGAAAACTAATTTTAGCCTGTACACTGTCAAGTATTTTGAATATATGTTTTAAAAAACATTACATTCACTTGAATGTCGCGATTAAAAGAAATTGTTAGTCTGTGATAGGGCGACACAGCAGTCTCGCTGTTGTACGAACAGGTAGGTCGGTCCTGGTAAGTACAGCGACCTCATTTAAGAACGGCGTGAAGTGGAATGTTATTCTGCGTTTCGTCTGACGAGTGAGGTAGCCCGAGCTAATTTTCAAAAGGTCTTCAACGCATCTGCAACCCTCGGGTGTAGCAGATGTCCATGGGCCAAAATGTATTTAATTAACATCAGGTGAACCGCCTGCTCGCTTGTCAACTTTTCTCATAAAAAAAAAGAACAGTTTTTAATTTTTTTTAACACAATAGTTCGCAATACAAAACAATAAACATTCATACAAAATATGCTATTGGCGATAAAATGTTTACTATGATAACTAGAATTTTCAATTTCAAAATAAAAAGGTGTTACTTAAAAAATTCTTCGATTAACAGAATTAAAAACCCACCTTCGGTAAGTTATTGATAAGAAATTAGTTCCGTAATAAGAAATTAGATGGCGTCGTTAAATTCCTAAAATGTGCTATAGCTACATTTTCACAACTTTAGGATATTCTTGAATTTGCTTTGCGATTTGGTTATTTGTTAGGAATAGTAAACAAGAACTTAATCCTTTTTTTTATTTCACTCTCAGTTCACGTTCCTTTAATGTTTCTAAGAAACTTTACTTCACCAATATTGTGCAATGGCGAATTCCATTTTAAAGTAAATTCTGTACAATGGCAAATAATTGAAGCTTTAATGTGAGAAGGTTGTAAGTACGCTTTCAATTCACCTGATGTGAAGTGATTACCGCTGCCTATGGACATTCGCAACACTAGTAGGATTGCAAATGCATTGCTACTATTTAATAAAGTGGGCTCCAGTACTCTCTTGCAAAACGAAAAGCAGAAGTATAACACATCCACTTCTGCGAGGTCATGGTACTTCCCTGGACGGGCCTATCCATTCATGCAATGAATAGGCCTATTAATGACCCAAAATACCACAGAAACTGGCTCCGGGGAAAAGTAATTATAAATTAATAAATATTTTGTGAATACCACTCATTCCCAACAGCTTCCCATTCCAATTCAAGAGCACACAATTGCCAGCAGTAGCTTGCTTCGTGATGACTATAAATAAGACTCAGGGACAGACCCTAAAGTTGGTGTTGATGCAACATAAGCAAACCCATGAATGTGGTATATAAAGACATATTTTTATTTATATCAATTCTTTCTCTCTGAATGTTACGCCTTCAGACTATTCTCTGCAGACATAGTCGCTTGCAGTAACTAGTTTTTATCATACATGTAGAATAGATTAAAGTAAAAAGAAATATCAAAACACTGTTCAATAATTTCATTAGAAATTTATAGTAGAGAAATTGTTTAGAGTTTTATAATATTCTTTCATTACATGTAGAGTTTAAATAAACTACAGATACTGGGCTACTAATAATATGTAATAATTATTTATATATAAAAGACCCATCTTTAAAATTGTTATGGGCTGATCAT